TTTTTTTTTTTTTAAAAGCCTTTTAAAAGTGAGCTCTACACCCAATTTGGAGTGTGAACTCATGATCCCAAGATCAAGTCACATGCTCTACTGAGTCAGCCAGGTGTCCCCTCCTTTTGTCTTTTAATATGATGTATTAGTAGTAGATTTTAGGTTTTGTTCCTAGGACAAATCCAACTTCACCATATAGGTTTTTAATACACATTGGATCCTGTTAGCTAACATTCTGTTTGGTGTTTTTGCATCTATACTTGCATGTAAAACGAGTCCATTAATTTTCTTGTAGTGTCCTTTAGTTGGCTTTTAAAATCTAATCACTTAATTTTAGTCAGGGGATAAATGCTCTTGTTACAAAATGTATACACTGAAAGCAATGCCACTTGTCTAACATTCACATTTTCTCCCAAGTGTCACACTATTTCACCGCTTTTCCCTCTCCATTCAAGTTAATGTTCCCATACCTCCTTCATGTCCTCCTATTCCAACAATTTTTCACCCTCCTTCCCCACTTTAAAGTTGATGCTCCCCATCAAAGCCCTATTATGAATTGTAAACCCTTCCACAGGTGGCAAAACGCGCCACGACCATGAAAACGAGTAATACCCTGTGGCAGTGTGTCTCATGGGGCAGATCACCTTGGTTTTGGGTTGGTCATACTTGGGCCCAAATTCCTGCTTTTCACTTCTTCACAGGTGAACTGGCCCAGTTAATTTAGCCAAGCTTCAGTTACCTCACATAGGAGATGAAAATAACATATACCTTGCTGGGAGAGTTATTTCAATATTGTGAAATACGTGTAAAGTTTCTGGCAGAATATTTGGCACAAAAAAAGTTGCTCAGTGGTGGCTTGAATTTCAACGTGATTTTACTCTTTCCAAAACTGAAGGTTGAAAAAGTACTCCTGTTAAAGGTCCACAATCTCTAATTAATCCACACTTAGAAATTCAAAAAGTTCTGAAACCAAATGTTTCAGGTTTACCTGAACAGTGAGAGGGCTTTTTTGTTGCATTTCTTTTTTTAGTTGTGAAAATTCAGTTTCATTACAGATAATTAAGGTGTTTGATTACATAAGTACTACTGCTGAACTCACTGGTGATGACCCATTAGTGCACAGTATAGGCCCCATTACTTTTAAATATTTTGGAAAAAAAATTAAACTTCCAAACACACATGGCCCCAATGATTTCCAACTATACAGGGATTGTGGACCTGTACTACATTCTATGTGGAATCAAATACAGTAAACGCAAATCTAGTAGAAAGGAGAATAGCTAAAACTCATGCAGTTTAAATACAGTCTTGCTATTATTTCTACATTTTAATTCCTTTGGCTTCAAAGTCATCGCTGGTAAACTTAAGGAATTGGACTTAATCTGCAAAGTTGTTTTTTTTTTTTTTTAGTTTTTCAAAAACATGCTTTTAGTTAAAAAGTATCTCTGAAAATTATTTTTAAGTTGAGTTGAAGAAAACTGCTCTTATTTAAAATAATTTTATATCAACCAGTATGAACCTATGCTTTCACATCTAAACTTTAAGGTTAAAGGTTCCTTGCAAGCTCAAGTACTAAACAAAAACCAACCAGATATCAAGTACACTTACATTACGAAGAAAGGAGCAAACACTGATCTGAATGACTTGGATCATTTTCAATAAGGGAGGAGCATAGTATATGTACTAAGCTGAATTTCAAGAAACCTGGTTTCTAGTTTGGGCAAGTCAGTGAATCTCTGAGCTTTCTTTCTCCTCTTTTACAAGTAATGGTATTTTCATTCCTTCTTCCCAAGAATCATGGAAGCACTTTGAAAAGTTAAAAGTGCCATATACTACAGTAACATCAATAGTTATGAGGCAGAAGGTAAAAGTGATTATTATAAGGGTGAGGATGAGCAGTCCTGAGAATTAGGACATCTAGGTTGTAGGCCCAACCTTTGCATCCAGGGTGTGATGCAAGGCACTTCACTTGTCCAGGTCCCCATTAAGTCACTTGTAAAACGAATCTGCCTAAATTTCCTTCTAGCTCCAAGACTGTAATTTCATGCTCTAAAATTGAACCCAAGGCCTAAAATATTTGAGCTCTCGTTTATATGCAGTGAGTCAGATGCAGTAAAAAGGCAAAGACAGCAACACTATATGAACAAAACTTAGTTATGTGTTGCACGTGTCTATGGAAAAACCTGCTCTAGCTCATCAGTTTATTTCCTGCACACGGAAATTGGTATCAAGCAGCCATTAGCACAGTTCTAAATATCTTCTTTAAAAGCTCAGATCAGTATTAAAATGAAAAATATTTACAGTAAATACGAAAACCAGAAAAAGTTCCAAAATTACATATAGGACTAAAGGGCAGAAACCCTAAAAGATGCGCTGACACTTATTTTCCAACTTGTGCTTTTTTTGGGTTCATTTTAAAACAGGTTGGTCATTCTGATATCTGGTCAAGCTCTATCATTCATTTTTTTATTAAATGCCCCCAGGTATATAATATAGATTCTTTATTTACACTTTGGAACCAAAGCAGTTCCCTAAGGCAGGACCTTTTTTATTGCAAAATTTAACAAACCACCAAACTCAAGTTTAATTATTTCTGCTTTATTATTGGTCATGAGTATATTAAAAACTTCAAATAAAGTTACAAAGAGACTTCATAATCACTAAAGTATATAATCAGAAACCAAGTTGTCTTAAAATCAGTTAATATGAAAGTCACCCCAGAAGCCAATAAATTAATTTCAGAATTCTTCGGTTAGGGGCAAATAGACAGTTAAAATTAGTTTTAACAACATCATCAACAAGAAAAAAGTCGTGCAGAAGTCCCAAGGCCTCCAAAAAAGGGGACAGAGCCATGCTTAACATATCCCCACCTGGTGATACCAAGAAACAACAACAAAGTTTTCAAGTAAAAGAAAAAGAAAAAAAAAAAAGTTCCGTTCGTGCAATATCTAAATCCGGGAACACAGATTCAGGCGGATGAGTCTAATAAAGTCACAATAACATAAAAAGTGATCAAAATCTAGTGAACCAATGTTGAAAGGCAGAAAAAAAAAAAAAAATCCAATTTCACCACACAGTTTACTTCCAGAGACAGGAGATCCAATCCAGATGAATCAAATCTTTATTACGATATTGTCTATTTAACCTGATCCTAAGGAAAATATTCTACAAGAACTGATGAGTACATTGATCAATTTCCATGCCAAAAAAAAAAAAAAAGGGGGGGGGGGTAATGCGTACTATAATCTGAGCAATCTATTCAGACTCCTTGCCAGAAAGTGGGCAAAACTCTTCCCGGTGGCGATGGTGAGTTATCAGAGACGCGCGGGCAGAAATTAGAAGGCGGAAAGGCGGTCAGGTAGGTAGGTAGGTAGGCAGGCAGGTAGGCAGGTAGGTAGGCAGGTAGGTAGGCAGGCAGGTAGGCAGGCAGGTAGGCAGGCAGGTAGGCAGGCAGGCAGGCAGGCAGGCAGGCAGCGCTCTCCTGACGCCCACCCCGAGCGCAGGGTGCGGTCCGCGGCCACCGCCGGTGGGAGACGGACGATCTAGCCGGGAGAGGAGAGCGAGCGGTGCGGGACAGACCCTTGCCGGGCTCCACACCTGCCTTTAGAGCTCTAGGTCAAAATACTCCCGTTTCTCACAAAACTTGGAACGAAGACGGGGAAGCAACGACCGTCACGACATGTTGCGTCTAGACCTTCACCTACTCAGCGGGCACCAAGCGCAGCAGCCAACCCCTACAGCGAAAGCGTCACCGACAGTGCGTTGGACCAAGTCCCGCGCCACCGCCCTCCACGGGCCGCACCTCCCGCACAACAGCCAGGCCCGCGGCAGGGGGGCGAGTCCACCGCCCGCGGGGAGCAGCAGACTTGTCCAGAGCCTCAGAACCGAGTCTACGGGCCACCGGCACCGACCGCTTTTCTTTTTTAGGTCGTCGCGGGGGAGCGAGAGGGTCACCAGCACGTCCGGGGCGCGGACGCCGAGGGCGCGGAGACCGCGGCCGCGGGAACGAGAACCGCGCGGGGCCTGGGCCGTGCCGCGCCGCTAACCCGCGCCTTCCCGGGCACGGGCGTCTCCCGAGGAACGGCCGTTGCAGGCGGAGGGAAACGGCCGGCGCGCCGCGGGGAGGGGCGGGGGGAGGGGCGGGGCGGGGGGAGGGGGCGGCTAACTCGCCCCGGGCCCCGAACCCCGAGCCCCGAGCCCCGAGCCCCGAGCCGGGGCACAGGAAGCGGCCACTCTCTTCCAGGGCCCGGTCCCGGGCTCCCGCTTTCGTCGGGAGGGGGGAGAACGGGCCCCGCCCACGCCCGGCCCCATCCGGGAGGCGGGGCCCCGCGGCGACCCTGCAGGCCAGAGGCGGGGCCGGCGGCAGGGTGCCCCTCCCCCCCCGCAGGGAACACCCCCGTCCGCGGGAGACGGAGGGCTGGGCGCCCCACCCCCACGCCGGCGGAGGGGCGAGGGGCGCCGGGCGAGGAGGGGCGGCGGGCCGCGCGGGCGTCCCCGCCCCTGCCCACGTGAGGCGGGGAGCAGGGCCCGGGCCGACCCCGCCGCTCGCCGCTCGCCGCCCCCCCTCGCCCCCCCTCGCCCCGCAGGCTCCGAGGGGGTGGCCCCGAGGGGGTGGGGCCTGGGTGGGGGCGCTGACTTCACACCCCTCCCCCTCCGGCCGCGGGCGGCTCAGGGAACACCCCGCCCGCCCGCCCGCCCGCCCGCCCGCCCGCTCGCTCCAGTGCGGCGGGTGGGGGAGGCAGCACAGCAGCCCGGAGCTCCGCAGCGGCGCGGGGCGGGGAGGAGCGCGCATGGGCGCGCGCGGCCGCCACCCCCGCGCAGCCCCGCGCAGCCCCGCGCAGCCCCGCGCGCCAGCGGGGCCCCCCACGCTCAAGGGCGCGCGCGGGCCCCGAAAGGGAGGAGGCCGCGCGTGGCACCGGGAGGGCCGACTGCAGGCCGCCGTGCCCCAGGGCCTCACCACTCCCCCCACCCCCGTCCATCCCGCTCCAGGCCTCGGACTCCGCACTGACCTGACAGGCCGAGACATGTTCGCTGTCGAAACAGGACCGAGTCGAGAAGCCAAAGACCGGGACCCCCCCCACCCCGCGCGCTCGGCGCCCCACCCCCCCCAACTTCGGCCGATGGGGCCGCTGCCGCCGAACCCCGAGCTGCTGGCTCCTCAAGCTCCGCTGCTGCTTGGTCCAGGGCCCCTTAACCAGGCGAGCCCCCCGCTCCCCCGTCTCTTCAAAATGGATGAATCAAACCAGCCGAAAATGCGCCAAAGCCGCGGTGCAACCAAACCCCCTAGGGCCTGTGGGCTCCGCCCCATCGCGTCCGGTCATTGGCGGTTTCTGCCCGACGAGCAGAGCTCATTCGTCCGTTTGAATCATCACGTCCCCTAGGCCCCGCCCCGCGCGCCGGCAGGCCCCGCCTCCTCCGTGGGGTCCTGCTAGTCAAGATGCCCTGAGAGCGCACGGCCGCAAAACAAAAATGGTCGCTGTTCGGCCCGCCCCCCCGGTTTCCACTCCGGAATTGCAGATTCGTCTTGGGTCGCGTCGCGGAGCGACTGGGAAAAAAAAGATTCACGTAAGGTTCAATGTCATTTAGTGGCGCTTTAATGATGTTTCATTTCGCCGGCCTTGATCATCTAGAAACTGCGCCGATAGCGAAACCCGTGGGATAGGCAGCTGATTCGTCACTAAGGGGGCTGCTTCAGAATTGGAGGGAAATTCCATAGGTTCAAAATTGTTGACCTTAAACGCACGAGCCCTTTCACCTGGCCAAGAGCACTAGCCCTCAAGGGCCCCAACCGCTGTCGGCGCAGAGAGGCAGGATCGGAATCGAGCGAGGACTTCACTCCCGGTTTCCATTCTCCATTCTGGACCTTGAGATCCACTTCAGGGTCATTAGAGCCCCAGTCTCCGGCATGACTCCAGGGGCTTAGGGATCAGAAGCCTGAGCTCTGAGGCCACAGCCTGTTCCCATTTGCACCCCAGGTCCACGACTTAGTAGTTGAAGGACTTTACCTCGCTGTGCCTCAGTTCTTTCAAGTGTACGATGGGAAACGAAGATACTTAACCTCATAGGGATATTAGGATTGAAATGGGTGGCGCAGCCGTTTGGCGCCCGCCTTTGGCCCAGGGCGCGGTCCCGGAGGCCCGGGATCGAATCCCACGTCGGGCTCCCGGTGCATGGAGCCTGCTTCTCCCTCTGCCTGTGTCTCTGCCTCTCTCTCTCTCTCTCTCTGTGTGACTATCATAAATAAATAAAAATTAAAAAAAATTATATATATTTATAAAAAAAAAAGACTTGGTTGAAGGCAGCCCAGGTGGCTCAGCAGCTTAGCGCTGCCTTCAGCCCAGGGCATGATCCTAGAGACCCAGGATCGAGTCCCATGTCAGGCTCCCTGCATGGAGCCTGCATCTCCCTCTGCCTGTGTCTCTCTCTCTCTCTCTCTCTCTCTCTCTCTCTCTCTCTCTCTCTGTGTGACTATCATAAATAAATAAAAATTCAAAAAAAATTATATATATATATATATATATATATATATATATATATATATAAAAGACTTGGTTGAAGGCAGCCCAGGTGGCTCAGCAGTTTAGCACTGCCTTCAGCCCAGGACATGATCCTAGAGACCCAGGATCGAGTCCCATGTCAGGCTCCCTGCATGGAGCCTGCTTCTCCCTCTGCCTGTCTCTCTCTCTCTCTCTCTCTCTCTCTCTCTCTATCATAAAAAATAAATAAACGAAAAAAAATAAAATGAGCTGATGTATGAAAAGCCCCTAGGACGGTCGCCCGTGTACAGGCACGGATAGCAAGCAGTAAGTATTTGTGACATTCAGTTTTTGAAAAACGACTTGGCCCTTGGGTAGGTAGGAGTGGATGGGGTTGGCTCAAGACTCAAGACAAACAGCATGGGGCAACTCAGACCATTCCATTTAAATCCATGAACATTTGTTGGATGCCTAAAATTCTCAGAGGCAGAGCTGAGGATCCCTATGGGAACGACTGTTTACCACTGTAAAATACATTTCAGTGACTGCCACAGGCAGCCTGTTAATGACCAACAGAAGATGCACTCCATAAACAAACAAACCTACCACTGTCTGCCTCCTGGAAAGTCTCTCCTTAAAAAAAAAAAAGAAAAAGAAAAAATCGGCCTTCTCTAAGGGAAGAGAATGCACAGCCCACCAGTGAAGCATTGAACAAGTTATCTCCTCCCTTTAGCTGTGTCACTCTACCCTTTCTTGAATTTGCGTCTGTGTAGTAAAGTGCAAACGTTAGATTCACCATTTTGACTATTTTTGAGTGTGTATAGTTCAATGGCGTTAAGAACACTTATATTGTCGTGCAACTCTCACCACCATCCAGCTCCAGAATATTTTCATCCGCCCACCTGAGGCTCCGTACCATTTTTTTTTTAAAGATTTTATTCATTCATTTATGAGAAACACCGAGAGAGGCAGAGACACAGGCAGAGGGAGAAGCAGGCCCCGTGCCAGGAGCCCGACATGGGACTCCATTCCGGGACCCCAGGATCACACCCTGGGCCAAAGGCGGCGCTGACCCGCTGAACCACCCGGGCATCCCCTAGGCTCTGTACCATTAGACAGTAATTCCTCACACCCTTTCTCCCCAGACTTTGGCATCCATCATTTTACTTTGTTTTTTTTTATGAATTTGACTACTCTAGGAACCTTATATAAGTAGAGTCATATAGTATTTATCCTTTCGTGTTGACTGATTTCACTTAGCATGTCTCCCGAGTTCATTCATGTTTTAGCACGTACCAAAATGTTTTACTTTTTAAGGGCCTGGATAATATTTCAATGTATGTATATACCCCTTTCTGTCTACCTATTTGACTGTCAGTGGACACTTGTGTGGTTTCCAGATTTTTGCAATTGTGAATAATGCTGCTATGATCTCTTTGAGCCCCTGCTTTGAATTCTTTGGGATATATTCCCAGAAGTGGAATTGCTACCCATACGGTCATATTGTTTTTAACTTTTTGAGGAAATCTCCATACTATTTTCCACATTAACCGCACCATTTTCATTCCCACGAACGGTGCACAAGGGTTCCAGTTACTCTACATCCTTGCCAACGCTTCTGGGTTTTTTGGTAGTAAGCATCCTTAATCTGGGTTTTTTGGTGGTAAGCATCCTTAATCTGGGTTTTTTGGTGGTAAGCATCCTTAATCTGGGTTTTTTGGTAGTAAGCATCCTTAATCTGGGTTTTTTGGCAGTAAGCATCCTTAATCAGCGTCTGAATATATTTTGACTAAGTGTATTGTCAAGCGAAAGATTGTCAAAATGCCAGTGCAGACAGAGACTGGGGCGGTGCAGTGATCATGAGTGACTTTGTTGGAGGTTGTTTTATGAGAGCAGATTGCTGTTATTTTAGGAAATACCTTTATTCAGTATTGTTAGATGAGGCAGAGATATTCTTGTTACTCACTTATTAGGTAATGAAAGGAACTGGCCATAGTCTGCATGTCTAGGCAGGTGAAAAGTTCAGGACAGGTCTTCCAGGCCTTGCCCTTCTAGTTTAGTTCAAGACCAACTGATAGCCTCTGAATTAAGGCCTCTTTCTCTTCCAGGGTGCGGGTCACACCCTCTCCTCACCTCAGCTTCAGCTAACATCTTCCCTCCATTTGTTTATTCATTGAATATTTCAACAAACACGGTCTCTTACAGAGAAAGTAACTGCAGATTTGAACTTCTAGTTTACTTTTTAATGGACAAGTACTAATTCTGCCTTCAGGAGCTCCAGCACTGTCTCTATGGCTACCAGAACCTGGAATGCAGTCTTTAAAGTCAATTCCTTCTTGTTCATCTCCAAAGGCTCTGCCCTAGGCACATGTCTCAGCCACAAGCAGTTTATTGGAAACCGAAGAAAGACGTCATATGATAGGCTACTTTAGAAGCAATGTCAGATAATGCTGAAAGGACGATATACATAATAACATTATAAAAACTATGAAAACAGGGCAGCCCCGGTAGTGCAGCGGTTTAGCGCTGCCTGCAGTCCAGGGTGTGATCCTGGAGTCCCGGGATCGAGTCCCACGTCAGGCTCCCTGCGTCTCTGGCTCTATCTCTCTCTCTGTGTCTTAAATAAATAAATAAATAAATAAATAAATAAATAAATAAATAAGTAAATAAGTAAGTAAGTAAGTAAGTAAATCTTTAAAAAAAAAAACTATGAAAACAAAAAAAGCTAAGAAGACAGAAAGGACAGTCATTCCTTCTCCCTGAAAATGAGATTTAATGGGCCTTTTTAAACTCAATGCTTGATTTCCCTATGATTTTAGTTATATTTTGGGAAGCAGCCTTTTACTTCTCTCCCTGTTTAAGACGCTGAGAAGTGGGCAATGCTGGCTGGCAGACTTATGACTCTTCCCTATCCCTAACAAAGATCTATCTCCAGGATGCCTAGGTGGCTCAGTGGTTAAGCATCTGCCTTTGGCCCAGGGTGAGATCCTGGAGTCCTGGGATTGAGTCCCACATCAGGCTCCCTCTGCCTCTGCCTCTTATGAATAAATAAAATCTTAAATAAAAACAAAAACAACAAAGATCTATTTCCTTCAAGGCTATGCTATAGTAGCTGGGAGATTTTTTTATTATTATTATTATTATTATTATTGGCTGGGAAATTTATAACAAATTTAGAGCACTTACTCTGTGCTGGGCACTTCTAGTTCTTTTTTTTTTTTTTTAAGATTTTATTTATTTATTCATGAGAGACAGAGAGAGGCAGAGACACAGGGAGAGGAAGAAGCAGGCTCCATGCAGGGAGCCCGATGTGGGACTCAATCCCAGGTCCCCAGGATCACACCCCAGGCTGCAGGCGGCACCTAACTGCTGCGCCACCGGGGCTGCCCTGGGCACTTCTAGTTCTGTGACCTCATGAAAGTCATCCAACCAGATCTAAAGACAGACACTACTTCTACTGACCACAGGAGCACAGAAAGCTGTCTCTGAAGACTGCCAAGAAGTTAAAGAAAACTTCTACCTCCAATCTGCTGACTTGCTGCCCCACCATATTCATAAGAAAGGGGGGGACAGAAAGGCTGTATGTCTGGTTCATCTTTCTACAACCCCAGAGGCTAAGTAGCTTTGGAGATAGGTAAGGAGGATATATCTTTGCCCTCAGATCACAGCCAGAAAAAGATTGGGCCACAGTCAATTAAAACGTTTAATCTCATTTTCTTGTGTATATGTCTTCTACTCCAGACTTCCTCTCTACATTAAAGAGTGGTAAGAGCTAACTAAGGTTAGGTGAATTTCTGTAAATAGAGGTTTTGAGTTGTGGGACTATAGGTGGATTGGATTTTTCTTCTTCATTTTCCTTCATGAGAAAAATTTTCATGATAAAAGCATTAAAAAATCTGTATACTCACTTAATAAATTACTTGTTGTTTTTTATCATACTGAACATTTGTTATATGGAAAAAATTCAAGGATGCCACCACCAAAAACACACACATAAGAAATGAGAAGAAGCAGTGTATTCTGTAGTAAAGAGTCATGTTCTGGAGTCACACTGGTTAAGGCTAAAAATCAGTTTGCCACTTGCTAGCTGTCTAACCTTAGGTAAAGGCTGAGTTTTTTGTGCCTCAGTTATTTTTTTTTTCAGTTTCCATATATATATATGTATATATGTCTGTGTGTGTGTATACACACACACACACACACACACACACACACCATAGGGTCATTGTGAAAATAATAATCCATGTGAAGTGCTTAGGGGAATACGTGGCTTATAGCAGCATCGGATATTAGCTACTGGCAGCAATAGTTGAAAATGGAGTGGATGTTAAAATCCCTGTACTTGCAAATAATGACTGACACTGAATTTGGGTGACATATCTTAGAAAGTAGAACTTGTTGATTAAGCATCTTAGGATATAGTGCTCTGCATGCTATTCAAACTGCACTTACTGGGGTCCCAAATTTAATATGGAAACATACAGGTCATATATATGAACATGATCTCAAAAGCTAACACAAACCAGAAGTTCTAAACCCCAAGAGGGTCAGTTTTGTTTCTATAAATGCTTGGACTGATTTTCTTTAAAGATATATTTTTTTTAATTTTTAAGTAGTCTCTACACCCAACATGGGGTTTGAACCCACAACTCTGAGATCAAGAGTTGCACACTCTATGGATGAGCCAGCCAGGAGCCCCTTAGGCTAATTTTCTAAAATAGGTTTTTCAGGTCAAATGTTTCCCAAAAACTTAAATGACAGGATGGAAATGGGAAATTTGAAGACTTACAGTTATGTCTTGACTTTATGACAAATTCAACCAGCTGTCTTTCAGGCAGTCACATTTTGAGACGCTGTTCCCTCAAACATAAATGTGAAGAACTGTTTGCTTTCTTATTTCAAAGATCATGTAAGAAGCATACACAACTCACAGATCCGAGGAAAGTGTTTATATCAAATTAGATATTAGTAGTCAGTGCTACATAGCTGCCCTTCTCACATCACGATAAATCATAAAATGCCTACCTTATCTCCTTGGTCTTCCTACCTACTTTCTCCTCTTTATTCTCTTTACTGTGTAGTTAGTTCCTAATCACATAGACTTTAAGTGCATACCAAATTTGAGTATGAAGAAAAGGTACCAAAACACTACCATCACAGGGCACCTAGGTGGCCCAGTTGGGCGTCTGACTCCTGATTTCGGCTCAGGTCATGATCTCAGGGTGGTCAGACTGAGCTCCATGTGGTGCTCCTCACTCAGCTGGGGGTCTGTTTGAGATTCTCTACTTCTTTCTCTGCTCCTCCCACTCCCCCACTCCATACTCTTTCTCTCTCAAATAAATAAATCTTTAAACAAAACACTACTACCACACAATGAAGTACTGCAAAGTGTAGGTGATAGTCAATTTGACTAGGCAACGTAGTGCCCAAATACCTGGTCAAAAATTACTCTGGGTGTTCCTGGATGAGATTAATACTTAAATCAGTTGACTGAGTAAAGCAGACCACCCTCTGCATTGTGGATGGGCCTCATCCAATCAGTTGAGGGCCTAAATAGAACACAAGGTTGACTCTCCCCTGAGTGAGAGAGAATTCTCCTGTGTGATGGCCTTCAAGCTGGAGTAGCAGCTCTTCCAGCCTACCGTCCTTGAGACTCGAACTGCAACATCAACTCTGCAATATGTTGGACTTGCCAGTTTCCATAACCGCACAAGACAATTCCTTCTTTCTAATAAATTCCTATATATATATATATATATATATATATATATATATATACATATCCCATTAGTTATGTTTTCCTAGAGAACCCTAATACAGAGCAATACTGTTATATACAGAAACTCTGCAAATGAAATTTAAGAGGATTCAACTTATGCTTGAAAGCCAGAGAGAAGGCAGGTAGATATATTCTCGAAGGCCATATGTAATCTCGAGTCGCATGTATTTATGGCTGAATCAAAAATGCATCTAGTGCTTTCCAACACACATCACTTTCTAGTGGATTTCTACCTATGCCAACTTGCATCTTGGTGGATACTTGGCTTTGATAAATGAGTCACTTACATAGCTGAAGCTTCTTCCTATATAGTGAACCAAGAGAGTAGAGGGAAAAAGGGCACTGAGGTTTCCATGGGCAATCTGTCAATGGATCTTATAGAATACCCTAGAAATTTTTCCATCATCTAATCATAGCCTTAGATCATGTCAAAAGCAGACTATTGCTTACAAAAGGACAGCAACAGACAGGAAAAGCCTCATGTTAGATGGGACAATGTCCTGAGGACAGAAGACGGACTATTTCAAGAGGTAAATCTGGACATGACAGGACAAAATAAGGAACCCAAACATACCTTAGCAATAGCTAGGGCAAATGAATCAGGGAAATCATCTTGGTAGTAATTCTGGCTCATTAGTAGTAACAAAAGAGCAAACCATCACTTACTGCACAGGGGCCTTACTTAACCTGTCTCTTTTTCTCTGCCTGTTTGATCACTCAGCTCCTCTGTACAAACTCCAAAGCCAGGGAAGGGATGCCTGGGGGGTTTAGTCAGTTGAACATCTGACTCTTGATTTCAGCTCAGGTCATGACCTCAGGGTCCTGGAATTGAGCCCCCGCACCAGGCTATATGCTGGACAAGGAGTCTGTTTGAGGATCCTTTCTCCCCCTCTCCCTGCTCCCACCTTCCATGCTCTCTCTCAGATAAGTAAATAAACGTTAAAGAAAAAAAAAAGTCCAAAGCCAGGGCAATCACAATCACACAGCTCTGCTCTCAGCCCTTCCTCAGGTCTCTTAAAAACACTCTTCAGAAAATGCTTATGTCTTCTTCTTGTCCATAGACCAGCTGAGAGGTTGGAGGGGCATCTTGTCTCAAATATGAAAAGTTTTCTAGGCAAGGGCTACGACAATATTCATGTTCCAAACAATTGTACCAGGACATAGCATCCAAATGATAGGATACAATTATTTTTAGTATATTTCTAATCATGTAACTATTTCCCCCTTTGTAAAAAATCTTCAATTGTTTTCCTTTTTCTTTACGGATAGGGACACAAAGAGAAATTAGTTATATTTCAATTTCTTCTTTAATTAGTTTTAGTCCTATAATGCTCACCACTTGAGAGAAAATTCAGAACGGGGCAGCCCGGGTGGCTCAGCGGTTTAGCGCCGCCTTCGGCCCAGGGCATGATCCTGGAGTCCCGGGATCGAGTCCCGTGTCCGGCTCCCTGGATGGAGCCTGCTTCTCCCTCTGCCTGTGTCTCTGCCTCTCTCTCTTGTCTCTCATGAATGAATGAATGAATGAATGAATGAATGAATGATAAATAAATAAATAAAAATAAATAAATAAATAAATCTTAAAAAAAAAATTCAGAACGGCCAGCCTTCAGCAATACTTGAAAAGGCAGGTAAATCCTGAGTCAGCACACAGGAAAAGAAAGCATATTCAATTTTTCACAACAGTCACATTTCCAAGCAGTATTTGGAATGTCGTATCAAGTACTGAGTATTAGGCAATTGATACTAGTAAATTAATAGATAGAATAACATTTACCTTCATTTTTAAAGAAGGCATTTAAAAGATACAGTCTCCATTTCCATAATACTCTTGGATTATCTGTATAAAATTTCATTTTAATAAACTCACATTAAAAGCCAATAACTTCATGAATAAAATCTTTTTTTAATAAAATCTTTATAAAAAAAAGCCAATTACTACCATGAGTACGAGACTTATTTTGCCTTTATTTGTGACTTTGAAGAGGTTTAAACCAGTAAATAAAAATCAATTTTCTTTTCACATAGAGGGAATTTGCTATCCCACTCTTATCTTCAGAACCATTGTAATAAAAACCTATTTGAAAAGAGTAATACAAAAGAGAAGTTCAAGGTCTTAAAAGATTGTGCAAATGTTAATAACTGATATTAAAAAAAGACCAGCCAACCAACAACTGATGGCCTGGCTCTCATTCTCTTTCTGATATTTGGCCTGTGATCATTCTCTTAGGATAGCAGTTTCCAAAGTCAGAATCTCCGGAAGAGCAAACAGAGCATAAGGAAGCCCGGGATCATGTACACAGGGAATGCCTGGGTCTCTACATCATTACCAAATTCTCTAGCAATGCTTTCCAAATCAGGTTAGTCAAATTACCTGGGTAGCTTTTTTTTTTTTTTTTTTTTTTTTTTTTTACCTGGGTAGCTTTGAAAAACAACAACAACAACACATTCTCATGCTACACCCCTGGAAATTTTGATTCATAGGTTTGTGTTTGGGACCCAGAAATCTTAAAGTGTAAACATTTTATTTAAAAAAAAAATTAACAAACTTCCCAGGTGGTTTTCATAAGTCAGATTTGGGAACCACTGACTTGGGGCACTTATTTAAGTAAGTATCTTTCAAAGAACACTAGGTCTCTGAGTTCACAAACACTATTCATAACTTCGGGTTGGTTAAAAATCACCATCCTGTGAGAATTTAACAAATGAAGCTGTCTAGAAGTGATTTAATACTAAAAACCCTACCCAGTTCAGCACTTAAATTAGTTAATGATTTTCTGTTTACTCTCCCCATTCACACAAAGGTCTGTACATAAAATTTGGTTCCTATGGCTGTTAAGTACTAGGTACCCAAAGTGCTCAGGAGCAAGTTGCCCCACAGGATTTTGTTCTGTTAACCTTTCCCTCTTCCATTCAGACTCCCAGAGCTGCACGGAACAGACCTATTTCAGGGCATCACAGCCAACTGATGTCACCAGCACCACTATGCGTCAAGACATCAACCCAGAAACCTCACAAACCCTGCTCCCACCCCACCGGTAGGGAGATACTAGAAAACCCTAATAGGACAATTTTTTCTTTGGGGAAAGAAATGCTCTTATCACACACAAGAGGTAGTTTAAAAGCTTGACTATTCTTGAGACAAAAGAAAGCCAATTATGACTTCAGAAGCTTCAAAAAGACAGTGGTTTCTGGGTTACCTCCTGTGACCCAAAACCCAGGGATATCCAGCCCTACTCCTTGTGCATCTCCGAATCAGAGGTTTAAACTTCAGAGTCCAAGACAGAAAGAATCTGAAAGCAATAACCTATGATGAATTTGGCAGATGCCCTTTGCTCTCATTTTCCTCCAATCTGAACTCAGATCAGATGGAGATATCCACAAACATCAAATGGGAAAAAAAGAAAAAACACAAAAATAGGTAGGAATTATGTTCTGTAAAACACAGGTGCTGATTCCTAATGCTTCCCACAAAATCCCAGATCACAAAATGAGGGATCAGGTGATCTTTCTTACAAGAAGGTACTAACTGAGCCACAGGTGCCGGCAGCAAGTAGGAGCCCACTTGTGAGAGCTGCACACACGTCCCAGGTCCTTCCTTAGTAATGATGGGTCCTCCTTACTGGAAAGCTGGAAGGAGGCAGTTCACATGTACTTAGTAAGATTGCTGGGTGGGCAACTGAAGGGAAGAGATGAAAAGACCTCCTAAAAGTGGGAGGGAATACCAGCCAGATACTATTAGCAGCAGGCCCAGTTGGAGGAGGGCTTGGTCTGTAGATTGATATAGTCCCCTTGGGTGGACAAAGACATATCTTCTCTGGAATTGCTCATCATCTTTTCAATGAGGACTCTAAAAAACAAACAAACAAACAAACAAAGCCTGATAAACTGGATGGAACAAAAGGAGAAAGGGCAGACTGTCTTCACCAGATGGCATTCAGTTAAGCCATGAGGTTTAAATGCCCCTTCGTCCCGTTATCTCAGGAGAAAGGATGGCATCCCTGACCTTCAGAAGCTGGCATTCCAGTGGCTTGGTCTGTTCTGGTTTGCTCAGAAACAAGAAAAGAAGGTCCAAGGTGGATTTGGTGGGGAGCGGTGGCAGCAGAAGATGGGTAAACTGTGTGCCTAACCCCAGAACAATATGCATGACTCACCTCATGGCCTCATTAATATTTTTGTTCTCCTTGACTGATGTTTCTGTCCAACCTGTGAAACCATTCTCTTTACTAAACCGGTCAACTTGGTCTCTGCTTACCGCCCAAGGGGACAAGTCACACTGGCAAAGAGAGTACATAGAAAGCAACACCATGAACTTCCTGAGAATAGGAACACAACTACTCAGATACTTGTGGATTTAAAACCTTTCCACTGGGGGCGCCGGGGTGGGGGTGGGGGTGGTAAGGGGAGGTGGTGGTGGCGCTCAGTCCCTTAAGTGTCTGCCTTCAGTTCAGGTCATGCTCTCCCAGTCCTGGGAGGGAGCCCTGCATGAGGCTTCCTGCTCAGCAGGGAGTCTGCTTCTCTCTCTCTCTCTGCCCCTCCCCACTGGGCATTCTCTCTCTCTAAAATAAATAACATTTTTAAAAAATAAAAATTAGGGGCAGCCCGGGTGGCTCAGCGGTTTAGTGCTGCCTTCAGTCCAGGGCCTGATCCTGGAGACCCAGGATAGAGTCCCACGTCGGGCTCCCTGCATGGGGCCTGCTTCTCCCTCTTCCTGTGTTTCTGCCTCTCTCTCTCTGTGTGTGTGTGTGTCTTTCATGAATAAATAAAAATTAAAAAATAAATAAATAAAAATTCGGGCAGTCCGGGTGGCTCAGCAGTTAAGCACCGCCTTCAGCCCAGGGCCTGATCCTGGAGGCCTGGGATCGAGTCCTACATCGGGTTCCCTGCATGGGGCCTGCTTCTCCCTCTGCCTGTGTCTCTGCCCCCCCCCCTCTCTCTCTCAGTGTCTGTCATGAATAAATACAAATAAAAATAAATAAAAATAAAAATTAAAACAAAAAAAACCCCTTTCTACCAATGGCTCAGAACACCAGCATCTAAAATCTGGCCAACCTTCTTCACAAAAGAAGTCCTAGCATCCCTTGAAAGAAGGCAGAGATGATTCTGCCAACCTGAGAAGGGGACATGGAGGCCCAGAATCTGAGAGCATTTTAGATATATGCTTGCTCTCTGATCCCAAAGAGAGGCCAGGGGCCATTTTCCTAGACTGACCACATACTTTGTTGGCCAAGAGCAGGCAGGGCACAGGCTCTCCATTAGGCAGTGTGAGCTTGCTGTCCAAGTCCTGTTTCCATCTCTGGCTATTGCTGAAGGTTGTGGCGTTGGTAACATCAAACATAATAACGCAGGCCGAGGCATCCCGATAGTACAGTCGTGTCATGGAGGTGAAGCGCTCTTGCCCTGGGAAGAGAGGAAGGAGCCCTTGAGAAGGTGATACCGAGAACCAGCCTCAGAATCGCCTCCAACACCCTGCCCTTTCTATCTTTGTTGTGGGGGTGGGCAGTACGCACTGTGGCTGAGTCCAGATTTTGCACCCAGACCACCTAGGTCCAAGTCCCTGCTCTGTCATTTATTATCTCTATGACTTTGGGCAGGTGAAGCTTCCAGTGCTTCAGACTTCTTATCTGTAGGGTGAGAATAAAAGCCATAGCTCTTCTCACAAGGTTGTGATGAGGATTAACGAGTCATTGAGTCTCCTATGCTCAGGAAAGTATTTGGCACGTAGTAAAAGTCATCTATTATTGTCTCTATTTTCTGGGGATCTTGTTTTTCCCTAAGATCCACTGAAATGCTGGAAAAAAGCACCCTCCCTCTGCTGTGAGAGCACTCATCTATCGTTTCCACAATCTACTACCTTGCCAGCCACTCCACCCACAGAGAAACAGCCCTAAATTCATCCAGAGTAAAGCATCTACAGACAATATCAACACATACTCTACATCCCAGCTTATGTATCCTCCGAACAACTCAATCATTCCAGCTCCAGAAACAAACCTGGTTTGGGGGCTTCTGGGTGGCTCAGTCAGCTAAGTGTCTGCCTTGGGTTCAGTCCTGGGGTCATGATCCCAGGACTGAGCCCCCACTGGGTAAGGAGCCCAGTGGGGAGTCGGCCTCTCTCTGCCCCTCTGCCCTTCTCCCCACTCCTACTCTCTTTCTCTCTCAAATAAATACATAAAATCTTAAAACAAAACAAAACCTTCTGGTTTTGCTACCCCACTTTTTCTGATCAAATCAAAATTTCTCCCCTTGTTCCTATCCCATCTTCTCAACCTACCTGCAATATCCCACAGCTGGAGCCGCACCATCTCTGAGTCAGACCACTGGAGAACCTTCAGAGCAAAATCCACTGAAAATACATATACAATTGAATAAAATTTACCTTTAAAAATAAATCCATGAATAAGCTCAGATCAAATATGCAGTTATAACCCTAGAGACACATACCTCTAATCCTACGTATCTATTTATTTTTAAGCTCTCAGTGGGCCGAGATGAGCCCCCGCATACGCATTAAGTGTGGAATAGACAATTCTTTTTTAAACATTTAAAATTTTATCATAGTTATTATTACTTTTTTAAGTGTACTCTACCCCCAACGTGGAGCTCAAAGGCACCACCCCAAGATCAAGAACTGCATGGTCTTCTGAATGGGGCAGCTATGTGCCCTTGGCACAGACAATTCACAACCACTTCCTGAAGGGGTCTTCAGCTTTTCATCTCTCCACACACTAATTTATTTGATACTACTTATCTCTAAGGCTGGGGATAGGAGGGTGGGAGCAATTAGGAAAACAACTCCTTATCTCAGGTTAAACAGTTTCTGGAAGGTCTAGGGGGGGTTCCTTTCTAGAGGAAGAGATGATAGGGCAAAAGGGAAATGAGGTAAGTGTGGTGGCTTCTGCATCTTCCACATTCAATTTCACTGTTGGTTTCTTTTTTTTTTTTTAATTTTTTTAATTTTTATTTATTTATGATAGTCACATAGAATGAGAGAGAGAGAGGCAGAGACACAGGCAGAGGGAGAAGCAGGCTCCATGCACCGGGAGCCCGATGTGGGATTCGATCCCGGGTCTCCAGGATCGCGCCCTGGGCCAAAGGCAGGCGCCAAACCGCTGCGCCACCCAGGGATCCCTCACTGTTGGTTTCTAATCCAAATGTATTATGAGAAAAACATGCCCTGATGGAATTCTACTCTCCACAAGGCTGCAGGAATTATTCTGGGTGGGAATAGGGTAAAGTGAAGACAGCCAAGGATTCAAGGAAGAAGACATGGCATGGAGGGTGCTTGAGAGTTTTGCTGAAATCTGTAGATGCAGAGACTCCAGGAGTTAAGTCCGAAAGAGTATGCTAGGAGGAAAAAACCTTCTGAGAGGGACAGAAATAGAGTAATTTCCCAGATCTGGAAATACATTTTTCCATATCTGTGACAGAAATGAAAGGAAGGGGTAATTTAGAAAAAAACACTGAAAAAAAATTAGCCAGAGTCAATTATTCTTTATTACAGGAAAACCAGAGCAATTGCTAAAAACTAGTTAGTGAAACACTTTTAAAAACTCAATCCATGAAATAAGAGTCCTCATATTATTTAGGAGTGGGAGGCAGAATGGTAGGGAAATAGTCTTAGAAATTTCAAACCCTAAATGTCGCTGGATATTTCTCAAGGAGGATGTTTTCATCGTTAATGCTTGTTTTGGTTTTTCTTTTTTTTAGATTTTATTTATTTATTCCTGAGAGACACAGAGAGAGGTGGAGACATAGGAAGAGGGAGGAGAAGCTGGCTCCATGTAGAGAACCTGACTCAGCCTCGATTCTGGGACTCCAGGATCACACCCTGAGCCAAAGCAGATGCTCAACTGCTGAACCACCCAAGCTTCCCTGTTAATGCTTGTTAATTTATTTTTTTTTAATTCCATAACGAACACCAGCACCCATCTTCAAAATTTACAGTAATGCAGGGCTTTTTTTTCCTTAAAAAAAGTTCTCCTCGGGATGTCTGGGTAGCTCAGTGGTTAGTGGTTGGGTGCCTGCCTTTGGTTCAGGTCGTGATCCCAGGATCCTGAGATGGAGTTCTGCATGGGGCTCCTGCAGGGAGCCTGCTTCTCCCTCTGCCTGTGTCTCTGCTTCTCTCTGTGTGTCTCTCATGAATAAATAAATAGAATCTTTTTTTTTTTTTAAGTTCTCTTCATCTTTGTTACCTCTCCCCTTTCATCAGCTCTTCCCAGCCAAAGCCCTTCTACTTAACAAAAGGATCCCTACCTTTGGTGGTGGTGGTGGGGGGGTGGTAAAAAAAAAAGTTGAGCCCAAGGCCATCCCTAGGAAGAAACGAAAACTCCTTGGTGCTTCCTTCCTTTTTCCCCCTCCCCAGCTTGAGAGAAAAGGGGGGGGGTGGGTGGGAAGATGGGTCTGATGCCCTGAATAATTTCTAGCTTGCGTTTATTCAAGCAATCCGTGGACAAAAATACAAGCTCATCAGCCTTGGTGAGCATCAGACTTGTGTGGCTCCGGGGCTCTCCCGCCCACTCAGGTATCCCCAAAACAAAGGTGGGGTCCTTAGAGCCGGACGAAACACCTTTCTCTTCCTTCACCGGCTACCAGGGACCCCAGCCGGCACCTACCCGGCACCTACCCGGCACCTACCCCAGCCGGCACCTACCCGGCACCTACCCGGCACCTACCCCAGCCGGCACCTACCCAGGCCTCCCCGGTGGGTTCTGGGCTGGCCGCAGAGATTTTCCGGCGGCCGCTGGCGCAGGTTGCAGGGGGAGACCCGAGCTCACGTTTGCCCCGAGAAAAAGAACAATCGCGCACTTTCTCAGCCCGCTTCCCCGCTCCTCGTCTTCACACCTTCGCCCAGTCCCCCTGCAGGCGGCCAGCCTGGGCCGGGCGAGCCCGGGGTCACCCCGAGGAGCGCGCACGTCGCACACGCGGCGGGCGCTCCCCGCAAGACCCCGGGCCCCACGTCCTGACCGGGAGCAAGCCGAGGGCACGGACGGGCCCCCGCCCCAGCGGCGACGTCTCACCTCCCACCGTGGACTTGTAGTGTTTGCTGAAGCTGTCCTGGGAGTACCGCTGCACCAGCGACGTCTTGCCCACCGCGGCGTCCCCCACCACCAGCACTTTGAACAGGTGATCGCGGCCGCCCATGGCTGGCGGGCTGCACTCGCGGGGGCGGGGGCGGGGGCCCGCCCGTTTAACCGCTTCGGCTCCGGGCCCCCTACAACCTCAGGTCGGGCATCGCAGCCCACCGCCGGCTGGGGCTGCTCTGACGGGAAAGCAGAAAGGGAAACTGTGCTTTTAAGCTCTACGCGCTTCCTCCCCGCGCGCGGCCGCAGCCAGGGTGGGGCGCCCGGCGCGAGCTCCGAGCCCCTGGGCTCCTCGCACCTTCCCCCGCCCCGCCCCGCCCCCCGCCCCCCCTGCTGCCGAGAAACGGGACCAGACGCGGCGGCGGTGCCTCGCCCACTGGGACTTCCCCGGAGCGGCGCCAGCGGGACACTGAACCCCGGGCCAGCTCAGTTCTCAGGGGTCCGAGGATGGGGGCCTTGCCCGCCCGGCACAAACCACATCCGGAGAAACAGCGGCTCACGCTCGGACTCCCGGGCGGCGCGGCCCCGGGTCCTCCGCACGGCATCACGTGCGGAGCGGCTCGGCGCACTACATTTCCTAGCTTGCCCCGCGGCGAAGAGACCTGGCGGAGCGCGGAAACTCGCCCGCGAGGCCTCCTGGGAAATGTAGTTTACGCACTCGGGCTTTTAAAAGTCTTCGCGGAGTCTCGAGGCTCCCAGACGCCTTCAGCGGTCCTGAATCTTAAAGTAGTTCTGAAACGGAGAAAGATCTTTCGGAGGCTATTTGTTCCACGCGAGTTCGCCCGCCGAAATCCGTTCCCAGGTAGATGTCTCACTGTCTTTAAAGGTTTTAGGAAACTAAGATTAAAAATTATTCCCTAGATTGTAGATTATTTTACTAATGGAAGCTCAGGCCTCATCCTTCATGCTCCAGGCGAAGCTCATTTGCTATCTCTTCATTAGGTAGACAAACCCGGGATCTTAATGAATATGACAGCTAGCCCTTTTATTTGCCATAGGGCCCAGGATCAGTCGGGTTCAGGAACACTTGATCAAGAGACTGACCCTCAGAGAAACTCATGCCATTAAATGTCAGTTATTATCATTTGATAACTGGCCACCGCAGTAAACGTGGAAAACACTAGATAGTTCCTCATTCTCACTTCCACAGTTCCCAGTCTATTATTTGAGCTGGAAGTCAACTGGAATAACGGGGAGTCTTCCTTCAGCTTTTGCTGCTGTTGCTCATAAGTGATCATTAAACTACAGTTTTGCGATGACTTAAATTTTTTCAGCCTACAACTTTTCCGACCTGTCCCATCTTTAAAGGGGTCAAGGGGACATGAGTTCCATGGCAAGCAAAGTGCCTCCATTTTCTGGGCTTTTGCCAGGAATAGAAGACAAAACAGCAAGGCCATGGGAAAACATAGCTCAGCCAGGTCTCTTGATAGAGAGGCTATCACTTATATCCTGCGAGGAAAGAACATCAGCATGGTTTCTAAGGTATATAGCCCAAAATGTTTGTTACCCAGGTATGGGAGGTCAGGCTGGCTACCTGTCGTCCCAAATGTCTGAGAATCCTTTCCAGTGGTCTCTTCTCAGTTCCCATTGGCTTTGACATAGTTGACTACTCCTTGACATTTATTTCTTGCATGGCTTTCTTGTTCATCCTCCTATCTCTGATGATAATCACCTTTTTCTTCTATGGTATCTTTCCATCTCATCGCCCCCAAAAGGGGCTATTTTTAAAGGCTTGATTCTTGATCCCGGAGCTGATCATTCTTTAAATTCTTTTTTTTTTTAAGACTTATTTATTTATTTGAGAGAGAGAGGAAGAGCTCATGAGCTCACACACCAGTGGGAGGGACTGGGGACAAGGGAGAGAGAATCTCACGGAGACTCTGTGCTGAGCATGGGGCCCAATATGGGACTTGACCTCACGACCCTGAGATCAGGACCTGAGCTGAAATCAAGAGTTGGACACTCAACCAACGGAGCCACCCAGGTGCCCCTCATTCTTCAACCTCTTTAGTGAATTGCCCTTGGCTTCTTAGTCTTGACTTTATTATATTTTTACCACCAATATCAGTTATGTTCAACTGCCATGAAGGTGCTTCCACTTGGAGGTCCTTTCACAGCTTCCCTCTTACTGCATCATCACAGAAACAGCTCCTTTTCTCAGGTTCCCTATTTTTGTCACTAGTCTCATTGTTTCTTCCTTCCACTCAGGCTTTGAACCTTGAGATTTAAAAACTTTTTATTTTACTGTGGCAGGAACGTAAGGCCTACTCTCTCTTTTTTAAAAAAGATTTTGTTTATTTTTTTGAGAGAGAGAGCAAGCTCATGAGTTGGGGGAGGGGAAGAGGGAGAGGGAGGAACAGACTCCCAGTTGAGCAGGGAGTCCAACATGGGTTTTGGTCTCAGGACCCCAAGATCATAGGCAGATTCTTAACCAACTGAGCTACTCGGGCCCTCCCCAAGATCTCCTCTCTTAACAAATTTTTAAATGTGTAATGCAATACAAAAAGTACAAATGTTTAAGTGTGCAGTAGAGGTACCATGTTGTATAGCAGATCTCTAGAACTTCCTCATCCTGTGTAACTGAAACTTAGGCCCATTGATTAGTAACTCCCAATTCCTTTCTCCCCCCATTTTTTGGCAACCATTATTCTACTCTTTGATTCTATAAATTTGTCTATTTTATTTTTATTTTTTTTAAGATGTATTTATCTATAAAGAGAGCATGAGTGCATGTGCACGTACACAGGGTAGTGGTTGGGCAGAGGGAGAGAGAGAATCCCCAAGCAGACTCCCTGCTGAGCTCTCTGAGACCAACTGGGGCCTCCATCCCACGACCTGAGATCATGACCCAAAACCAAGAGTCAGATGCCCAGGTGCTCCTAAATTTGTCTATTTTAGATATCATATAAATGGAATCAATGCAGTAGTTGTCTTTCTGTGATTTGGTCATTTCACTAAGCATAATGTTCTATTTTATTTTATTTTATTTTATTTTATTTTATTTTATATTTTATTTTATTTTATTTTATTATTTATTTATTCATGAGAGACACAGAGGCAGAGACACGGGCAGAGGCAGAAGCAGGCTCCATGCAGGGAGCCTGACGCAGGACTCAGGGTCAGGCCCTGGCCGAAGGCGGCGCTGAGCCACCCGGGGCTGCCCTAGCATAATGTTCTTAAGGTTCATTCAATGTGATTGCTTACTGCAAAATTTCCATTTTTATAAAAGACTAAATGCATAAACCACGTTTCTTCATCTGTCTGTTGGTGGACATTTACTTTGCTTCCATATCTTGGTTATTTGTGAATAGAGTTGTAATGAGCATGGGAGTGCTGATACCTCTTCGAGATCCTGATTTCAGTTCTTTTGCATAAATACTCAGAAGTGGGATTGCTGGATCATAGGATAGTTCTATTTTTAGTTTTTTGAGGAACTTCCATACTATTTTCTAGAGTGGCTGCATCATTTTGCATTTCTACTAACAGTGTGCAAAGGTTCCGCTTTCTCCACATCCAACAGTTGTCTTTTTTCTTTTCTTTTCTTTTCTTTTTTGGATAATAGCCATCTTGACAGGTGTGAAATGATATTACATTGTGGTTTTGATTTGTATTTTCCTGATGGTGAGTGACATTGAACATTCTTGTGTACCTATCGACCATCAAATCCTTAGCCAATGTTTAAATCACATTATTAGTGTCATTTTTGTTTTTTGCTATTGCAGGCCTTGAGCATTATGAACACTTCCTTTTACACACATCACTTTACGGCCCCTTCCTTTTAAAAAAGTCAGTCACCACATTTTCTGATTCTTTTTTCAAAAATATTTCTTCACCCACACTTTCTGCTTCATATTTAATGTTCCTTTCCTGGTTTAGGCTTTCATTATCTCACAACTGGATCATCTTCAATAACCTGCTTATTGGTCTCCCTGATTTGAGTTTCTTTTATCTTCAATTCATCCTACATGCTGGCCAGGGTGATTTCCTTAAAACATCATTGTTTGTTCCTTCAACTGTCTAGCAACTATCCAAACACTTGGCAACCTCCCTGAGCTAGTATCCAAAATCCTCTGTGCACTGGCCCCACCCTCCCTAACCACCTTCATCTCATCTGATCTCAAATGAGAATTTCCCCCTTCAACAAGATCAGGTGACTTACACTCTTTAAAAGCCCTATTTCTTTTTTTTTTTTTTTAAGATTTTTAAAATTTATTTATGCATGATAGAGAGAGAGAGAGGTAGAGACACAGGCAGAGGGAGAAGCAGGCTCCATGCCCAGAGCCCGACATGGGACTCGATCCCGGGACTCCACGATCAGGTCCTGGGCCAAAGGCAGGCGCCAAACCGCTGAGCCACCCAGGGATCCCCAAAAGCCCTATTTCATTTCTGACTTTGCACCTTTTCCCTGGGGTATCTTACGTCTCAGAGGTAAGAAACCTCTTCAGGTTTCTCTTCACATACCTAACTCTTCTCTCACTTCAAGTTCTCAAACTTCTGTGTGTGTAAGAATCACCTGGGGCACCTGTTCAATATGGACATTCTGATCCAGGGGAATCTGTCTTTTTATTTAGTACTAACGTGATTCCTAGATCAGATTCCACTTTGAGAAATGCTGTTAAGGCCTGACTTAAGTGTCAACTCATTCGTGAACATTTTTTTTTTTATTACTGCAGCCCTTATGCATCTCCTGTAGCATTTACAATCAGCCTGACCTGTAGACACTTACATATGTGACCGATTTATAATTATCCAACTTATAAGCAACCAGCGTGTTGCCAAGTAAACAAGGACTTCAAATTCAAAATTTTGGTTTTGGGGCCTGTTGTCTGGGAGAGGAACTCCTCAAAGTTTCCCAAATCAGAAGTGTGAGGAGTGTGGGGCGCCTGGGTGGCTCAAGCAGTTAAGCGTCAGACTCTTGATTTCTGCTCGGGTCATGATTGCAGGGTTGTGAGATTGGGCCCTGTGTTGGGCTCCCCACTGGGCAAGGAACATGCTTAAGATTCTCTCTCCTCCCCATCCACCCTCTCTTTCCTATTGAAAACAAAACAAAACAGGTGTGAGAAGCAAAGACTTAAGAGGCAAGATTAGCAAGTTCCTGGTATCCCCCAAATTACAGAGTTTCTGTCAAAGAAGCATCACTTCCTTTGTTGGGGGTGGGGTGTATTTCTTCGACAGTAAGGTGCAGTTTCCCAGAGAGGTGGTTATAACTAAGAGGGAGGGAAAGCATATTCGGAGAGCCATGCAACCGATTTGCATAGACGTATTTGGAACGCAGGATTTTGGAAGCTGGGGAAAGTGATAAGCCTTGCTTTGTTACTATCACCCTTCCTATGGCTGTGTGCCTCTCTCCTCTTTACTTTTCACTTCTCACTTTTTATTTTGAAAATGTTCAAATGCATAGAAGCGTTAAAAGAGGAATACAGTGCATACCAGTAAGTCCTGCAACTGGGTTTCCATTACCAACGCTGTGTCAGATCTGCTCTCTTCCTGTGTATTGAACCATTTGGAAGTAAGTAGTACACACTTCATCCCTAAGGACTTCAGCACGCAGCTCCTAATAATGAGATTTTCTTACAAAACCAAAATACTGTGGTCCCACCTAAGAAAATTCACCTTAACTCAAGAATGTCATACGCAGTGTACATTTACACTTATCTGTGGCCATTGAAATATTTTTTTCTCATTTTTTCCTGCCTGTGATCTAGAGTACAAAGTTCATGTGTTGTGTTTGGCTGTTTTATTTCTTTCACCTTTTTTTTTTTTTTAATGTAGAACTATGCTGTGTCCATTATAGGACCCAGTAGCCTTGTGTGGTTATTTACATTTTAATTAATTAAAATTAAATAAATTTAAAAATCAGCTCATCAGTCATATCGGCCACATTTCAAGGTGCTAAGTTGACACAGATGGCCAGGGAACAGCCCAGCTGTGACGTCCACCATCACAGACAGTTCTGTCAACAGCATCAGTCGGTAATCTTTTTCTGCTTTGCATAACATTGACTTTCTTTTTAAAGAGTCTGGGTCATTGTCTTATAGACAGTCGCACAATATGGGTTATCTGTTTTTTCAAGGTGAGAATCTGGAAAAACGTTTTTTTGGCAAGAACCCTACAGAGAGGATGTATTCCATCACTAATTGCAGGGGCCTGCTGGTGACACCTACAGTATGAATCAATAACTGCTTATGAAAGAGGTGACCCAGCACCAGGCAATTGCCTAAGGATCGAAGAGAAAAGGGTTTATATGGTCTCCAGAGCATCTACCACTATGCCAGGGTCAAGAGGAAAAAAAAAAAATTCAGCTTTGTGACCTGAAACACAGACTGAAGTGATGCAGCAAAGCGGCCCAGCAACACAGAAGGAGGATAGGGACTGACCCAGGGAAGGGTGAGGCCATGGGGCTCTGGCTGTCCCTCCGCCGCAGACTCCATGCTTATTTAAATAATCATAACTTCTGGGGCAGCCAGTCCTTGATTTTGGCTCAGGTCCTGATCTCTCCTGGTCCTTGGATGGAGCACCAAGTAGGGCTCCATGCTCAGCGGGGAGTCGGCTTGAAGATTCTTTCCCTCTCTCTCTCCCTCTGGCCCTCCCCCTGCTCCTGCATGAGTGCTTTCTCAAATAAATAAATAAATCTTATAAATAAACAATCATCACTTTTTGGTGATTGCTTTGGGCACAGGAAGCAGCTTGGTGAGATGTCTGTGACCCAGCTAAGCATTCAGCCAGAAAGCTTCACACCAGGGCCCCCTAGGGAACCCTCTAGAGAGAGGCTGTCAGGCTCCAAGAGCGATGTGCTGCTTACTTCTCCGCAGGCTTGTGCTCCAAGTCTGGGGTGAACTTTGCATCTGGAAGAATCTAGGGACACATCACACTCTAGTTTTTACAGTTTCACTGCCATGTTTGTCTCCTTGGAAGGGTCCTCTCCCCTCCACTCCAAACAAGGACCAGAAAAGGGCAGAAGCTAGACAGGGAAATTTTGATTTAAAGAACTGAGTGCGTGGTCCCAACTGTCCACGTGGCTCTGCGGAAGTCGAATCTGTACAATGAAAGGGTTCCCTTCCAACACAGAAGATTCAGCTCTAATTTTCCATGTCCTTTTAACTCTATGAGAGGGGAGGAAGGCAGAGATCATCGTACCTAAAGGCTGCCCACCAACAACCCCTTGCCCCTCCACCAAGACTTGGCATACCCTTGTCTCCCTAGCTCCCTCAGAGTTAACCTCTAACGAGAACATTCATGAGAAGCCCACAGACAGGAGACTGGCTGAAGGTATACACACATCTAAAGAAGGAAGGTGTTGATCTGCAGGGGAGCTGGTCAACCTCAAAGGTAGAGAGAGAGGACACCTCAGGTGTCTCTGGGCTGTATCTGGTAGACACCAGAGTCTTAAGGGAATATCTATCTGGCTGTTTGTCAGATATCCCTATTGTGGAGACTCATGCAGCTTGAATAACAAGACCTGGTGTCATTTTATCTTCAGGTAATAAAACTAACTTCATTAGGATGCTAAACTCCCTGGCTACCTTCTGATCACCTGCCTTCCCATGTAGCCTGCTCCACGGAGCGATTGTGCTGGGTGTGCTGACATGTCCGTTGGATCCAGGGACTGTTTGGTCTGATGCACAGGCCTCCACAAATTTGTGGGTCCAAATTGGCCTCCGTGAGATGATTTCTGGATGTAACTGAGTTTCTGAGCCTCTAAGGATGAAGCCAGGCCCAGGGGCATGGTGTGTTCCTCTAGTGGAGACCAAGCTGTGAAGACAGCTGCTCCTAATATCCATGATAGGTCTGGGTCTGCTAACTTCTTCTTCTTTTTTAAAAAAGATTTTATTTATTCATGAGAGACACACAGAGAGAGGCAGAGACATGGGCAGAGGGAGAAGCAGGCTCCCTGCAGGGAGCCCGAAGTGGGACTCAATCCCAGGACCTGGGGATCATGCCCTGAGCCGAAGACAGACGTCACCATGAGCCACCCAGGTGCCCCTAGGGTCTATTAACTTCTTGATTCACTAGTTTCTTTCTATCATCCCAAACTTTGTATTCTGGGTATTTTTCTTCTCATTTTGCTATACCATCCATTCAATCAACATTATATCATAATAATAAAAGCATCTGTTTATTGAATCTTCTGTGTGCCCAAAAGCCCCACAAAGAAGGCATTATTGTCCTATTCTATAAATGGGACAATTAGGGGATCAGAGGAGGCTGCTTATGACCACCAGTTCAGAGAAGTGGGATTCAAATCTGTGTCTGTCTACCTTTAAAGCTTGTGGTTAATTGTTAAAATAATAACAATTAAGCTACATGACAAGACTAGGGGGACTTCCCAGAAGGAGAGTTTTCTAAGTTTCCTCATTCTGAAAGTGGACACGGGGAATCTTACTTATTGAGGTCAAAGAGTAAGAATCTGCCTTGATTGGAGAAGCACCCTGGCGATTGTGCTTGGTTGGAGCAGAATTTCAGTGATGCCCTAGGGTGTCTCAGAGGACTGACTGCCATCATTGACTGATACAGGAAGGAGATAACCCAGATACTAAGCAGAGCAAGACACATGGAATGTAGAAGCACGGGTGGGCACATGATGCATTGTTCTGTCCTCCATAGCACGGGAGTTAGCACGGAGAAGGATCAGTGGCTGCGCTCCCAGCTTGGGAGGGGATCCCCGAAGAGTACCGCAGGCACTGGGGACATTCCTCCACCCAAGCCTTCTTGAACCTAGACAGAAGGACATCTCTGACTTTAGCTTGGCAATCAAGAGATCTTAGTAAGTATTTAATATTTGACAGGTCATTTATTCTTTTTTAAAAGATTTTATGTATGTATGTATTTATGTATGTATGTATTTATTTATTTATTTATTTAAAAGATAGAGTGAGTGAGCAATGAGGGGGGAGCAACAGAGGGAGCCAGGAGCTGGATCCCAGGACTCCAGGATCATGACCTGAACCAAAGACAGACGCTTAACTGACTGAGCCACCTGGGTACCCCATGTCATTCATTCCCTTGAAGGTTTAGTTTCTCTTTCACTGATTTCTCTTTCTTTCTTTCTTTCTTTCTTTCTTTCTTTCTTTCTTTCTTTCTTTCCTTTCTTTCTTTCTTCTTTCTTTCTTTTTTCTTTCTTTCTTTTTTCTTTCTTTCTTTCTTTCCTTTCTTTCTTTCTTTGATTTTATAATTTTTTTAAGATTTAAATTTGAGATAACATATAGTATAGCATTGGTTTCAGGAGCAGAATTTAGTGATTCATCACTTACATGCAATACCTCGTGCTCATCCCAACAAGTGCCCTCCTTAATGCCCATCACCCATTTAGCCAATTTCCACCCGCTCACCTCCCCAACAGCCACCCTCAGTTTGTTCTCTATCGTTAAGTCTCTTACGGTTTGCCTCCCTCTCTGTTTTTTTTTTTAAGATTTTATTTATTTATTCATGAGAGTCAGAGAGAGAGAGAGAGAGAGAGAGAGAGAGAGAGAGAGAGAGAGGCAGAGACAGGCAGAGGGAGAAGCAGGCTCCATGCAGGGAGCCTGATGTGCGACTTGATCCTGGGACTCCAGGATCCTGCCCTGGACCGAAGGCAGGCACTAAACCGCTGGGCCACCCAGGCATCCCTCCCTCTGTGTTTTTATCTTATTTTATTTTTTCTTCCCTTCCCCTAAGTTTCTCTGTTTTGTTTCTTAAATTCCACATATAAGTGAAATCATGTGATACTTGTCTTTCTCTGACGGACTTATTTTGCTTCTTTCCAGATTTCTAACTCCTAAAAACCAAACACTTCACTTCTGAATAATTTTTGAGGTAGTCAACAACTTAGGTAATGTACTTGAAACTCACACATGTGACAGTCCATGGCAGAGTCAAGGACAGAAAAACATGTGGTTGTTCCAGGCTGACCACAGTCTGGAGCTCCCTTAAAGCCATGTTCTCTTCTACTTGTTCAACATTCCTTTGATAGGGGCTAAGAGAAAATCATTTCTATAATATACAAAATATGAAATTTTTGCCATGCACCAAATATGACATAACATTTAAACTTATTTGGAATTATTTTAACTTTAAAAACAATCACCAATAGCCAGGCAGCATTAGTCACCCACACTTAACTAAACATGAATATTGCCATAAAGTCTTTTAAATTATGTTTAAAAAATCTTTTCTGGCTGGCCAAACTGTTCTCACTTTTCTGCAATTTCTGTTTTCTTTCAATTTGTATGTTTATTTTTAATTTCCTGAGGTATTCATTTTCTCGGGAGCCACATTAAAAGATTCTGTAGCTAAATAATGTAATAAAATACAGGATAGTGCAGTAAACAGCAGTATACTGTCCATTATTCAGTTTCTGGATTTTAGCTGAAGGAGAGCTGATTTCAGGAGACTGTCTGCTGGTGCTGGCAGATCTCAGGGTTGGTGGTGTTGCCTGTAATTATGTTGCAAAGATACCATCAGGGCTAGACTGGCGCCTGGGAGGCATGTTTTTAAATGTCCACTGGAAGATATTATCTATTTCAGCAGACAATTAACATTGTACAGTAATGTAGTGTCTCATGGGCAAAATTGAGATAACGGGCACCATATTTCTGATCATTTCAGCAATGCTTTTGTGTTCTCTATATAGGGCACCTTGGCCAGATGTTTCACCTGGCTCCAGGCCTAGAGGAAAGGCACTGGGCTGAGAGAAACCTGGGTGTGAATATGTGACCTTGGGCAAGACACCTAACTCCTCTGAGACTCAGTTTCTCTCTTGTAAAATGGTGATAACATCGATTTTGCAGAGTTATTAGAAATGATATTTAAGTTACAGATGAGGCCATTATTTAAAAGTATACAGTATAGTATAAGATACTGTGCATTAAAACATTATACAAATAATAATTAACAAGTGATTATCCTCTTTCTGTTAATCCTTAATAACCTTATTAACATATTGGTCTTTGAAGAGTTAGTCTGAGAGCCCAGGCCTGTTATAAAACACTGACTTCGTAAAAGTTCTCTCAAAAAAAAAAAAAAAAGGGTAAATATGTGAAGTGATGGATATGCTCATGGGGGGGATCCCTTCACAACATATACATATATCAAATCATCATGTTCTATTCTAAATATTTTACAAGTTTGTCAATTATACCTCCATAAACCTGAGGGAAAAAAAGCAACTGAGATGACTAATGCTCAGCACTTAGTATATGCTCTGTAAGGCCATCATGCATCCTGTGGAGAAAAGGGGCCCCGGGTGGGTAGGGGTTCCCAGCAGAGGCTTTGGAGTCAGACATGAGGGCTCTGCTCTCCCCTGTCTGCCACCTCAGAAACACTGCTTTGTCATGAACGTGTGTCTGTGTGTGTCTCAGAAGGCCACGTTAGCACCCTCTGCCTTCCAGACTCCAGCCACTTGGAACTATCTGTGGTTCTCCTAAGCTCCAGGCTCGCTTCCCTGCCTTAGCATATTGTTCCTTCTGCAGGATGCCTCTTTCTCTTCCCACTTTCTGCTAAACCCTATTCTCTTTGGCTTCCTCCCAGACTTCCTGACTGTCAAGACTGGGTTAGGTGTCTTTTCCATCTGCCAGCTCCCATAGCTACCCTCCATGTACCCCTAGGGTCACCATATTGATATTCCCTTGTCATTGACCGATCCCCCACCCTTTAAATATTGACTGGTGTTTGGTGGTTTAGTGGGTGCTAGGCACATTGCGCGGTGCTTTATGTGCATCATGTCACTGAAGTCTCCTAGCAATCGTAGGGAAGAGGTATCGGTACAGATAAGGGAAGAGGCTCAGAGAGGGTACCGGATTCCCTCACATCACACAAGGGGCAAGCGAAGTCCTGGGATCTGGACCCAGGCTGGTCTGACTCCAAACCTTTTGTAGTCCATTATGAATTTCTAAGGGCTACAGGGTTGAGCACAGTGGAGGCGTGTGGTAAGTACCTGACAAATCAGAGCGGTTATAATTTTCACCCAACCAGATTGTCAGCCTCTGCAGGGAACCACAGATGCTTGTGCCCCTTAGCACGGTACCCTAACTGAGGCCGGCTCTGTGTGGAAGGACACGGCAGTGGCTTCTGAAATGTGTCCCAGAGCACCACTCACTGTTTCTTGATAAATGACTGATGCGTGTGTGTGTGTGGTGTATGGTGTTTAATCACACATCTCTGTATCTAAGAGCTGTTTCATTTCTGGTCATGCTCTGGCCCCTTTGCACATCTGAGTAAGGAGGGGAAACAGAACCACCAAACTGCTTTCTTTCGGGTGAGACACACAGGAACCAGCAACCACCTAAATAAACGTCCTCTTTATTTTACCAAATATAATTTATCAGTTACGTTGACATTTGTCAATTCAGTTATAGTAACTATAAATAATTCTCTTAAGACACAGTTCTGTAACTTTTTAAGGATACAAGAGTAAACCAATGTTGCTCCTTGCAGCCAGGCCAAAAGTACATGCAGTTTGTGCAATCAGGGGAAAAGAAATGAATCTTCCACGAAAGTCCACTTCATTTTCTTTTCCTCTCCACCCCGTGGTCCTCCCTCTGCTCACATACTCGGGGCTTGGGGCACGCCCACCTTTTCCTGCTTTTTCAGCAAAGGAGGCTCCAGAGTCTCCAGGGTGGCCTGGCTGAACTCCAGGGGTGAGGAAGAGGTGACTGGGGCAGGGGCGACAGAACACAGGGGCATAGCCTCCAGGGCAGAGGCCTTGGTTTTGGTGCCTGTACAAGAAGAATGTGTGTGCAAATGTGTCTGGAGGTGGCAGGCAAGCTGAAAGAGGGCCCAAGGGAAGAGCAGAAACAAGCCGGGGCTGGTGTTAACGAGCTCTGCCAGATGCAGCCCAACCAGATAACCTCTACGATTCCTTCCAATTTGAAGATTCCAGAAGGTGGTGTGGGTGGAAATGGAGGGAAAGCAAAGATAGCCTCTGGAGCTACAGGCCAAGTTCTTGGGATGAGGCATGGTTTCAGGTCACTGCCTAGCCTGCGGCTACAAAGAGGAGGGTTTATGGGGAGACTGTGGCTGGAGAGGCTGGAAAAAACCCGCATCCGAATGCTCAGATTTGCACACATGCAAGTGTGGACAGACTTCTGATCTGGTCAGAGCAGTGGGTGGGGCAGATGCAGAGGCTCCAGTGCTCCCTGAATCTTGTACTAGGCAGAGACGAGTAGCAGCAGCTGGTGGTGTCCAGCCTGCTGGGTCTGAATCCTCTCTCGAGTGTCTGGGGGGGAGAGGTGGAGGGAAGAAAAGGTGAGGATGGGTAGTTCCAGGAAATGAGCTGCTGGTTGAGCGATGGGGCTGGGGGCTCTCGCTGGGATCGGCACTGCACAGAGGGGAGGCTGAGAGGCAGAGCCTGGCTTGAGGACACGGATGCAAACACTTCTAGCAAGGAAACTTTCTCTGTCAGATTGGAAGGGGCACAAGGCCTTTGTATGTGGGGAATGAGGTGAGCTTAGAGCTGCTTCCCTGACCACTGGCTTTGTACCTAACACACGGTAGGCACCCAATCACTACTGCTCAGTGAATGCTTCAGACCATGCCTGCACAAGAGCTCCTCTTGGGGAGGCTGTGTTTTTGCTGAATGGGTGAACAAGTCAATGATGGATGAGGGCAGAAGCCAAGAGAGAGGAAAACTGACCTCCACAGCATGACAGCAGGAGTGATTTCAGGAAGTGCCAGAGTCTAAAGTGACCACATGAAAGGTCCTCGTTAGCAATGAAACACACCTGATTGCCCTCCACCTCCCAACGATCCTCCACGTGCTCACTCTCTGTCCCTAACCTCAGAACCCAACCTGGCAAGCTCTGGGAAAGACAGTATTGAGAGACAATTAGACATGAAGACTAAACAGAGATAAACAGTTTGTCCTCTGGTCCCAAAGAGGATATAGATCTTGGTAAATCTATTGGTGGACATGGGTCAACAGAGAGACCAGGCTACTGCTCATTTCTTCTCAGATGTGACAATCAATTAGAAAAAGATCAAAGGGAGGGGTTGGTGGTGTTTATCAGGCAGCTGGGTAAGGAGTGTGTATACAATTTGAACAGTTAGTCCACCTCACTCTTTTTGGGATGGAGGGCTGAGGATAGGGCTAGGATTACATGGGGCCAGGAGCAGCTATCTCCTTACCAGTGCTTTGAAGTTGGTCCGTTTCTAGAAAAATGTGTATTTTGCGGGGTGGGGGGGGGGGAATGAATGATATTTATCTCTCTGTTCAATCAAAAAGAAAAGAAAAAGAGAAGAAATAAAAACAAACCCCAAACACCAGAGCCCATTCACAAAAAGTTTCTCATTAGGGCCATGACCGAGTTTGCTAAAGCTAAACCAAACGTCCCCAGATCCCAGATGGAAACCCCTGCCCCATCCACCTCACCTGGAGGCACCCACCATGAAATTGCACTTGGTGATTGTCTCAAAAATCTACTTGCACGGCTTATCTCAGTCCATCTGTCCTGTCTGAATTTTTGCTGTACAAACTTGGCTCAATGTATAAAAAAATTCCCATTGAAAATAATGAGAATTCGGTATCAAAGTGAAGTCCTAGAAAGAGGTGGGGGTGTGGAGTGGGGTGGGGGAAGGGGAACAAAAGAAACAATTCAAACAGAAAGTGCAGGGGGCGGGGGGGTGGGTGGAAAAGGTTGAGTGACCAGGCTAGTCCCCAACATCCGTGTCTCGGTCCCCAATGAGCCAGAGGACGTGGAAGCTGAGTGCTAGGAGCCCAGTGCCAAGCAGGTCCCCCAGAGCTGTCAAGTACGGGATGGAGAAGTTGTCCGGGTCCAGGCCCCGGCCCCACATCCAGTGCACCATCCAGTCTGCGATGTACAGGAGAATTAGCACCTGGGGAAGACACAAGGGCCCGGCCTGTAACCATCCCCTCTCCAGGGGGAGCCAGAGGCCACCCGATAGAAGACATTCATTGCATCACGTGGCTCAGCTAGCCACAGTCCATACGCTGGGACAGTTCATCTTCCCACCCCAGCATCCCCTTTATGCTCCTCTGCTGCGCAATCACATGCCTGGAGCAGACGATCTGCATCACTCCCCAGGACCTCCGCCATCAACATTACATTCTGCTCCCAAATTGACCAAAGAGGGACTTCCTAATCTAAATCCTACTTATTGCAGAAACTCAGCCCTCTTGCCTCTGATTCTGGGTCATCCTATTCTTGGGTCACTCCAGCACCTGCTATGTGGGCCTCCCCAGGAGCCTGGCAGGGGGGCTGGGGACTGGAGCTTGCTTTTCACATAGGGATTTCTCCTCGGAGCAGAGCAGAACAAGGACAGTGTGTGAGGCTGCTGTCCCCACAGCTGTCCAAGTAACAGTCGGTTATCCCAAGCTAGCTTCCTCCTGACCCTTTCTATTCTCCTGTTGTGGGCTCAAACAATGCAAGTCTAGTTTAACAGCTCTAGCAAGATAGAATTACGGGTAAGTCCGCTAAATATAAAGCAGAGAGTGCATCTCAATTCAAAAGACATTTTGGATTTATCTGCTGCTTTGATTTATCTGTGCCCTTGCTTCCCTTCTATTTCTACAGATGGAGAATGATCTCGATTAGACCTTTGCTAGTGGCCCAGGACCAGTGGTATCAACAGCAGCTGGAAGCCGGTTAGAAATGCAGGATCTCAGTTCTGGCTCTTGATCTCAAACGGAATCTGCATTTTCACAAGATTCCCATACACTTTGAAGTTGGCAAAGCACCTGATCTGGAATACCAGGGGAGAGTGGGGTAGGCAGGCTTGCATCTTCTCTACCCTCAGCACCATTCCTGACATCTGGGCTCCCTAAATGACTGCATCTGCACGAGAATGAGACACTTTCTACCAGTAAATCTCCAACACAGTCATTTGGGAGGGAGGTTTTACTCTTAACTGTACTTTGCAAAAACTGTGGTATGTAAATTCCGCTCTGAGGGGAAAAGCAGACGCATGGGGGATCCTGAAGCCAGAACTGAGACCTAATTTTAAGCAAACTTGTTTATTCTCCTGTCTTCAAGGCAGCCAGAGGTTATGGTTCTAGCATCCTTCATGCTGCCCCTGCTTTGCACACAGCTGTCTCATGCTCCCGTGGCCTGCCCCTGGCCCTGGGTGAGGGCCAGCCCCCATAACGCTGCGCCCTTCCCAGCAGCTGCAGAAGAGTCCTGAATAAAGAGCGTGGCCAGCAGGACTTCAGGACATGCTTCAGGAAGAGCCTGACAGCAGCTGTGCCCTCATTCCACCTCATTCCAGGGACACATGGCTGAGAGGAGGGGGCAAAGGGATGAGGAAGGATCTCCGCAGGGGACCAAGTGCCCTGCTCTGGCCCTCCCCAGGCCTAGAGAAGACTGCAGAGGCAAGAGTACCTCCAGCGTGTCTGTAATGGGTAGTGAAGCCAAAGTTTCTCCTCCTCTGCAGAGGCCAAGGGCTATGCCCCAGCCACAGACCCTTGGCATCCCCGCCCTGCTTTCCCACCAAGTGCACTTCACTCCAACTTGCAGGGGAGTGTGGCTGCAGGGCAAAGAGCATATGGCTGGCTGATTCTTAGTCTGGCCTTGGCTAAGATGTCCCAACACACAGCCTTTAAGGTTTGTGGGGAGGGGGTTGGGGGAGGTTACCAGTAGGGGACTGGTTAAATGAAATTATATATATCTACAGGATAGAAGAATGCAGCCATAAGAAAATCAGGGTGCTCTTCTCTTTATGTATTGATGTGGAGTGATCTCTAAGATACACTCTTAGGTGAAAAAACAGGGTGTGGACAGTGTGTAGAGTACACTTCATGCGTGTAAAAAAAAAGAGGGACGCCTGGGTGGCTCAGTGGTTGAGCCTCTGCATTTAGCTCAGTGTGATCCAGGGTCCTGGGCTCGAGTCCCGCATCGGGCTCCCTGTGGGGAGCCTGCTTCTCCCTCTGCCTGTGTCTCTGCCTTTCTCTCTGTGTCTCATGAATAAATAAAATCTTTAAAAAAAAAAAAGGAAGGAAAGTAAGAAAAATTATATGTTTTCTTGTATAAATATAGAATAAGCTTGAAGGACATACAAGAAACGGACCACATGGATGGCCAGGAGGAGGCGGCTGGGTGGCAGAAAGAAGGCAGGAAAGAGGAGCTTTCACTTTGTCAACCTTTAAAAAGTTTTGAACTATGGGACTGTTCTTACCACTCAAAAGTCAAGTCTAGAGAAATTGAAAATGTATCATAGGGTAAGTGTGGCTCCAAGGGGAGAGCATAAGTAGGGGTTTTCATGATGGTGGAACAGTTCCATATCTTGACTGTGGTGGTGGACAGACGGATCTACACATGTGACAACTGCAGAGAACGAAACATACATGCAAACACACGGGTGTGTGTGCAATCAGGACAAGCCCTGTGGATTGTTCTAATGGTGATTTCCTGGTTTTGTTACCGTACTGACTTGTGTGAGATGTTACCACTGGGAGAAACTGGGTGAAGAGTACATGGCATCTCTTTGTATATATTTTTTGCAACTTCTTGTGAATATATCATTATTTCAAAATAAGAAGTGGGAAAAAATGGGATAATGGTACAAGGGAGAGAGTGTATCATATTACAGAATGGCAAGGCTGGACAGGATCCTACAGATTATCTAGTGGGGTGGTTTTGACACTTTTTCAAGCTGTGAAACCCTTCATTTAAAAGACATCTTCTAAGGAAGCCCAGCATGCAAAACAGCCAAGTGGAGTTCTGTGGCAAGGCCAGTGGGGGTGGCACCCCAGGCCCACCTGCTCAGCACCCTACACCTCCTGCCTAAAAACCAACACCTTGGGTCCTTTCCTCTCAATTTGTAAATGTGTCACTGAGGCTCAGCGAAATAGAGCAACTGGGGCAAAGTCACACGGCGTGTCAGTGACTTTGCTGGAACTACGGCCTGTGTTCTCCTGAGCCCCTGTCCGGTGTTTACTGGACACCTAGTCACAGAGGAAGAGGTGGTGGAATCGGTGGCAGGCCCTCCCCACACTCCTGCCACTCTGTACCTGGAGCAGTGCGGCTGTCATGTAGAAGATGATGAAGATGAGCGTGAGAGTGGTGTGCCCGCCCTGCATACAGCTGATGGTGTAGAGGAACACCAGGTGTCCTGGAACCACAAGAAGGAAGAGGACTCGGGCCGAGCGAGAATTCACATCTGGTACCAGGAGAGAGAGGGGGTGAGGAGTGAGGAGGAGGAGCCCTGGCCCCAGAAGGCCTTTCGGGCAGGAGGTGCCACCCTGCACTTCAGAACAGCAGGCAGCGGACAGTCTGTACCTCGGCACCCCAAGATCCCCAGCTCCCATGGCGTCCCCAGGAAGGATAGTCTTCCTGCCTGGGATCTGCTCTCCAGACTGCTGGTACCCAGCAGAGAGGGCGCTGCTGCCTATCTGGGTCCCAGCTGTTTTTTAAGGGAAGTTCCCTAATGGTTGGCCCCCTCCCTCCAGGCCTGGAATGGACTAGGAGGCTGGGACTCTGCCATTACCGGGACTGAAGAAGGTAGTACAAGGACTGGGGCAGCGGCGAGGGGCTTGCTCAGAGTTCTCGCCTGGCATCCCATTCATGTGCAGGAAGGTGGAGATGCGGCTGGCCTGCACTGCCACCAGATTGCCCCCAACACCTGTAGAGAGACATAAGCGCTCAGACGTGAAGGGAGTGAGGAGTGGGGAGGGCATGACACGTCTGCCAGTCCCCAAGAGAAGAGTGAGACTCTAAGAAGGAAGACAAACACAGGTTTGCTTCCATCCTCCCCTGTACTGAGACGTGGCAGTCCCACGTGCCCCTAGGGTGCTGAGAATGCAGGAAGCAGCACCGACTCAGGCCACCTGCCATCCCACACAGCCGAGGCGACAAGACCTGGCCTTGCCCAGCCCCTCCCCGCAGCTCTGAGCAGACCTGGGCACCCCCTCCCTGCTCCTGTGCTGGTTCCAGGAAGCAAGTTCAAGTATCAGGTTGGGCTCTGGACTCTGGACTCTGGCACTTCTAGGAACCGTGCTTGTAGTTGTTTGCCCTCTCTGCACTCCCTCCCTGACCTATTCCCTGCTCTTCTCAGCCTTTCTTTGAGCTCAGAGAGGCTGACTTACAGACTGCATCACCCAGGCTCCCTTGCTGGCTGCTTTTAATCGGGTTTGTTCATCAGGAGCTGCTAGTACACAGTCAGAGAGGGTGGAAGGAGAGGGCGCTCAGGTATTTTTTTTCTTACCCCTGTTGGGGGCAGAGGAGTGTTCTCTCTAGGCTCCTATAACGTTACTTTCTCACCCCCTGACCTTTGAGGACAGTGGCTTCTGGTTGTTGCTAATTTCTGGATCCTTCCTCTATTGCCCACTCCGTGAGCAGCCCCCTGGGTAAAGTCTTGAACTACCTGAGCTGGATACTCTTGCTGCCGGAATCCTGACTGATACAAAGGCCCCCATAACCTCTTCTCCTGTCCTCTTCCCCTTCCCCGGCAGCTGATGCCAAGACCTCACCGTTAATCACAGGTGTGAAGACAGCCATCCCTGCAAAGTTGGGGTCTGAGACCGTCTTGTCCAGGATGAGGCCTCCCACACTACACAGACAAAAACAAAGTGACACAAAGATCACTAACGGGTTGTGACTCGGTTCCAGGGATGACAGGCCCGTCTGGCCGTGGGGAAGAAGGGAAGCAAAGTGTTCCTAGGGTGGGGAGGGAGGGTCCCTTGACAACTTGTCCTGGCCTCCTATTCCAGACCAGCTGTTGCTTATAACATTCAGACTTGGCACGGTGTCCCCAGAGCAAGATGCTGGCACGGAGTCAGGCCCCTGCCTCCTGTACCTGCCCCTGCAGGCTGGTTTGAGGAGCACAGGGTGAGCACCCCATGAGGACTGAACTGACTTCCCCTTGTGGTAACAGCACCGGCTCCTCCTCAGGAACTGCCTGTCTCAAATTCAGTCACTATGGTTCGGGCGACAATGCCCCGGTGATGGCTAGGCCCCAGCCCCATCCAATCACAGCATTGCCTCCCCGAGGCCGCAGTGATGCAGGCACAGCCTTGTGGCTGGCTGAGAGCCAGTGAAACTCTGGAGTGGGACTTTGTGGAATTGCGGAGAGACTTCTTCTCACCACAGTCAGTAAGAGTAAGGGAAATAAGTATACACCCGGAGCCGCGGGCCATCATGGGGAAAAGCAGAGCCGAGACATACAGAATGCCAGAGCCCTGATGGGATGGATCATCTGTGTCCCTGAATCCAGCTTTGCCTTTTTAACTATCTAAGCCGGCACATTCTGCTTTTCAATGAGACCCATTTCGGATGGCTTCTGTCACATGTAACAGAAGGACATGGAGCCAACACTCTTGAAGGCATTTCTAGGGTCTGTACCACATTTCCTCTCCCTGGGGCTCCATGGGGAGTCTGTGGCAGGGAGGGGCGTGAGGGAAGGTGTGTAGCAAGGACCCGAGCCTACCTGCTGATGGCCATGGCAATGATGACAGGCTCCCAGCCCGAGTACAACACCTCCCTTGTGGCTGGGCTCCGTCGGGCCAGCACCACCCAGACAGGCAGCAGGGCCACGAAGAAGGCACACACCAGGGGATAGATGTATTGCCAGTCATCTGAGAGAGGCAGAGATCAGAGGGAGGTAAGCACTGCGGCTCCCTGCTCAGGCCTCCCCCGGCTCGGCCCGCCAACAAGCCGGCAGATCCACAGGAACGCCACACTAGGTGCCTGTAAATACATAACCTCATTGATCCTCGCCGTAAGCCCGGGAGAGAGGTGCGGCCAGCCTTGTCCATTGTGTAGATGAGGAAACCCACCTGCGAGCTCCCCAGGCACCGGGCTTAGTAGGCGCAGAGGCCAGCCTCCACGTTCCTTGCTCTGATCCCCAGAAATCACTTTCTCCCCTCCCCCTTCTCCCTGTTGCGAGCAGATTCCAGGCTTCAGCTCCTCTCTGTCACCCTCTCACCTGGACTCCTCTAAGGCAAGTGGGAGTCTGCAGGACCAGGCAGGAATGTATTTCTCAGATACTTTCCCCGGTGCCCCTGCTGCCTGCCCCTCAGCCTCATGTCTTGAAGCTCGGGGTGGGGGGGTAAAGGGGGGGGTGTTAGAACCAAACTGCTCCAACTAGATAGTTGAGAACATCGAGGAAATCCTTACACATTTGCAAACCCACTGCCATCTTTCCTAATCCCACCCAGGAGTCCACCCTGGTCACACCCCCGGTGGCCTCAGTCTCACCCCGCTCCAGGTAGAGTCCCCAGCTGATGCCTGAGAGCAGTGCCAAGGTGATGAGGTCACCCAGGCTGGCGGCAATGGGCGTGGCTACATTGTCCGGGTTGATTCCAATCTTTCTCGAGCCAATGATGACTCCAATCATGATCATACCTGGGGAGGAAGGGGAGGGGCCGGGCAGGGTGAGAAGAGATAAAGGGGTATCAACAAACAAAAGGAGAGACTGAAGGTGCCAGGCACAGCTGACACCCCCTAGGGTGGCCCTCCCTACTCCGTTGCCCCTCCCTTCCTTCTTTACCCAGGACCAGGGAGGCAATGAAGGCCGTGGCCACGCTGCTGGCACAGAGCAGGAAGGCGTGCGGGATACTGAAGTGGCCGTCAGGGATCCAGCCGAAGACGACGGCTGCGATGGATGCCAGGAAGCCCACGACCGTGGCTTGCACCTGCAGTGGGAGTGGGAACTCAGAGAGCCTCGGCGGCAGAGGGTTCCCTGGTGCAGGTCGCCGAGCACTCAGCCAGCTCTCTTCCTGGCTCTTAGCAGTCCCAGGAGGCAGGCTGGGCTGAACTGTGTGGTCCTCCCAGGCTGGATGATGTCTTTATTTAGTTTCACACCAGACACTAGTACTGGGCAGTGCACCCCGCAGGAGCCCAGGACGTGGTACTGGCTGAGTGAGCGTTCCTCTGGGGATTGGGGTGAAAATCAGCAGAGCCCGAGCCTTCAGTCAGGAGACAAGGCCCGGGCCTCAAGGGGGAAGACTCCCGGTCTGGAACCTGCGGAACCTCACACGGAGATGGAACAACGGTGGACAAGGACACTCCAGCACTGCACTCCTGAGTCTGATTTGTGGGAACTCGAGCCCAGTGGACCCCTGCGAGCCGAGAACTGACATGGGGCCTTCTGGGGCCCTCCCCTTCTTGGCTGCTTTCCTGGGAAACTTGGTTACCTCCTAGAGCTGCTGCGGGAGAAGCCAGCTCGGCAGGACGCTGGCGCCTCACTGGCAAGGCAAGCCGGCTGGGGCCGTACTCAGTCTTTAAGGTTCCTGACGAAGAGGGAAGCTTAGCCCACCCTCTCTGGTCTCCGCTTTCTTACCTGGATGAGGGCCATGTTCCCGGTGATCATCCGCCAGAGCTCCTTGGGCGTGTCCATGTGCCCAATGTTGGCCTGAGAGAGGGAGGGCAAGGGCCTGAAGCTCCGGGCTGGAGAAGGCTGTTAGGACCCTGCCTGGATCAGGAGGTCTGGACCGGGACATAACCACCAGGGAAAGTGAAGTGGCATCGAGGAGGCCAGGAGAAGGAAGGAGCTAAGGAGCCCGAGCTCCTCCAGCTGGTGGGCCCGGAGAGGGCTCCCAGGGCAGGTCCCTCTGTCCCCCTCCTCCTCCTCCCAGGACAGCTGCGAGCAGAGGCAGATTCCACCCTGTGCACTGCTCATCTGGGAAGCCCGTTCCCGCATGGGTCAGAAGGACCTGGTCCCTGACTGGGAAGCCAGCTTGCCGTTCTAGGGCAGGGAAGGTCGGCTGCTGGTGCGGGACTGGGCCTGCAAGACGGTGTGGGGAGAAGCGAGGTGGTGCGAGGGCGAGCTGGGGTGGGCTGGACAGGCTGCCGCTCTCTCTGTCGCCTTCTCTAGACTTGCAGCCACGTGGGACATCCCTGCCACCCGGCTCCCCTGGCCTCCCAAGTTTTATTGCTTCCCACTTCCCACCCCAGGCCCCTGTATCTGATTCAGTCTCTCGACCATCATGGCTGTGGGAAGGGGGAGTGATAAGCAGCCCTCTCTCTGTCTATTCCCTTAATGAAGAGCAAGCTGCCATGAGGGAATGGGATGGATGGGGGGCTGGGAAGGCCTGGCTCTGCTCCTGCCCAGCTGCAGAGTAGGGCTGGAGATCAGAGGAGGCCCCCATCTGTGCAGGTGGAGGGACCAGCGTGATGCTCGCCTGTCAAAGCTGCACAAACAGTCACGAGGCGGGTTGCAGAGCAGGGGGTGAGGCAAGAGTCCAGGAACGGCCGGGACATCCAGAAACCGAGCCTGGGAACTACTCTAGGCAGGGAGCCCCTGGCCCAGGAGGAGGACACCCAGCCTGGGATCTCCCTCCACCTTCCCACCCCAGCCCCACACTCCAGGCCTGGGCGCTTGGGAAAGGCCCAGAATGATCTCCCAGTCTGGTTTTGTGCTGCCCCGAGACTTCTGTGTGCCCCGTGCTTCCCTGCCAGGACACTCACTGCAGTGGACAGCCTCGATGCCAGGGTCATTTCCAGGTTCCCCTTAAGCCCCAGCAGTGCAGGCACCAGGATGAAGACCTCTGTCACCTTCTGGAAGACTTCCCAGTGCTACAAGGTGAAAACAGAACCCAGGAATTTCAGTGCCCCAAACGGCTGGCATCACATTGAACAGATAGTCTGGGATCAGGGGCTTGAGGAGGAAATGGAATCAGCAGGGCATGAGCACACAAGCCGCCTTTTCTCCAAGAACCCTGGACCCAAACCAAGACCATGGTGCTCCAATAGCAAAGCTCCCCCTTTCTGCCACCCAGAAATGGGGAGACGTGGAGGGAGCCCCCTGCCTGGCCCCACTCCCTCTGCCTGCTTTCTGCAGCCAGGGGACAGGAGGTGAGGGCCCACACAGCCGCCACCCGGGGCTGGCTTACACCCCAGAACTCCTTTGTGATCCCCCCTCAAATAGCAATCTCCAACCTCTTTGCCTTCAGCCCAGTTTCTCTGTGGCCTCAACCTTGGGTGGTGTTGTCTCAGCTGTTGAGAGCTGGGCTCCATGGGGCTGGGGCTGAGGAGATTAGAGTTTGTTTGGTTTCTGTGTCCAAGGGCTTTGGGCCTCAGCCACAGCAACTCTCCTCCTCAATAGGCTCTGAATTAACACCAGGCCCCCCAAACCTCTGCGTGCTGGCCTGTAAGAGGCTTTCTAGGCCTCCTCTGCCGTCTCTCACCCCACATTTCTCCCCCAAGCTCTCGGTTAGGAGAGGTGAGTGTCCTGCAGGATGAGCACTGGATTAGGAGTCAGGTGACATGAGTTCTAGTCCTGGGACATCCGGCCTGGCTCTCCCACCAGCTCCTTCAGCTAAGAGCTAGTAAGTGCCAACCATGTGCTAGGTTAAGTGCTCTACACATATTTTCTCATTTTGTCCAACAATCCACTCAGATGAGGGATATTTTTTCCCCCATTCTGTGAATAGGAAAAGGAGTTTCAGAGGGCAGCATGCTAGTGAGTGCTGAGGGGCAAATCCAAAGGAGCCAGGGTCGGCTATTTGAAAGCTACTTTAGTTGCAAGTGAAACTGAAGACTCGCAAAGAAGCTTGGGATTGCATCTCCCTCTCTGGTGCTGACTGCCACATGGACTTCTTTCTTTGTTCTTCATTTGTTTTAGGAATAGAGGGAGGAGGGGGCAGGCGGCCGGGCGGGTGTGTGTGGGGTGACGAGGGTGTCGTGGTCAGGAGGCAGAGTGCTGCAGGTGTGAGGACACTGGCCTGGGAGCCTCAGGTCTCTACAGGGAGACCACAGGGATGGGCCTCATGCTACCTCCCCAATGTTCCTCCACCTGGACCAGCGTGGGGACCTCAGACACACTATGGCATCAAGCATCCTGCTCAGGCATCAAGCTCCTGACTGTAAAATGGACGATTCAGAAGCCAAGTCGGATGGTCTTTGAAGGCCGTTCCAGCACTGAGACTCCACAGTCAAAGGAGGATAGCACCACAGCTGCAAATCAAACCCACAATGAGACAGATCACCTTATACCCATCGGGATGGCGACTATGAGAAAACCCCAGAAAATAACAAGTGTCAACAAGGGTGTGGAGAAACGGAAATCCTTGGGCACTGTTGGTGAGGATGGAGAATGCTGCAACATCTATGGAAAACAGTACGGAGGGGCCCCCCGAAATTAAAATAGAACTGCCATATGATCCCGCAATCTCACTGCTAGGTAGAGATCCCAAAGAAGTGAAAGCAGAGTCTTGAAGAGATATTTGCTCACCCATGTTCATAGCAGCATGATTCACAATGGCCAAGAGGTATAGGCAACCGAGATGTCCACTGATAGATGAATGGACACGTACAAGTGGTATAAACGTACCATGGAATACTACTTATCCTTCGACAGGAAGGACATTCCGACCTGTGCTACCACATACATAAGCCTGAAGGACATTACACTCAAGTGAAACAAGCCAGCCACAGGAAGACAAATGCTGTAGGATTCCACTTATGTAAGGTATCCAAAGTAGTGAAACTCATAGAAATAAAAAGGAGGATGGTCAGTTGCCAGGAGCTGGAAGGGAATTTAGTGTTTCATGGATATAGGGTTTCAGTTTTGCAAGATGAAAAGTTCTGGAGATCTGTGCCACAACAGTGTGAATATACTTAACAACTACTGAACTGCACGTTTAAAAAATGGTTAAGTTGATACACTTTGTTATGTGTGGTTTTTTTTTTTAATCACAATAAAAAAAATAATAATAAAGATGAGCAAGAAGTATCAGAGAGGGCTGGGGCTAGGGCCAGAGACCCGGGGAGACTGGACACCAGGAAGGCCTATAAGATAAGGATTTTTCTTTTTTCTTTTCTTTCACTTTCTTTTCTTTCTAAAAAATTTTATTTATTTCAGAGAGACAGAGATAGCAACTGAGATAGCACAAGTGGGAGAAGATGGAGAAGCAAGCTCCCCACTCAGCAGGGAGCCCAACAGGGGGCCCCATCCCAGGACCCCAGGATCATGAGCTGAGCCGAAGCAGACACTTAACCGACTGAGCCACCGAGGCGCCCCTGGATTTCTCTTTTCTTGTCAGAGTGCTCTCTGTGGGGGTGTGTGCATGTGTGGTGTGGAGAAGTCAGTGCCAGGATCTCAGGGGAGGGCATATCTCTCCAGGCCTAGAGCACATCCTGACCTTAGCTCCTGGTCTGGCCCCAGACAGTGGGAGGGCCTAGGACTCTCTTTAGGGGAGCCCCTCTCTAAGACTAAGGATGGGAAAGAACCCTGTCTCCATGCTCCTTCTCCCCCAGCAACAGTTGCCGAGCTCTGAGGTACCCAAAGGAAGAGCCAGCCCCTTGCGGATGCCGGAGGGATGCCTGAGTCCCTTCTCACTGGCGGGGTCCCCCAAAAAAAGGCAGCCCCAGTGAGCCCCAGCCACCCTGGAGGAACTCAAACTCAGGCACTGCTACTCTTGGACATGGCTGGTACTACCCCTGGGGTTCCAGCTCCCCGGGGGCCAGCCACGCTCGGTTCTGCCTCTCCTTTCTCACCTAACCTGGACAAACATCTCCGGAGAGGGGAAGAAGGCCCCTCTGCTCCCCTCCCCTCATGAGGTGGCTGACTGGGGGGCTCTCGAAGCTTCTCTGGGAGCCCAGCCTCATATCCCCTCCTCCCTCCAAACCACCCACCCCTCCCAGCATCCAAGCTGCCAGTTCTCTGCGGAGCTTGGCTCTCCTGCCCGGCGTACGTGACGTGTATGTGCTGGCGGTAAAGAAGGCGGGCAAGAAATACTTCAAGTGTATGCGTGGAATACTGTCTAAATTGTTTGTAAGGGATATTGTTTGTCTTTGTGATTATTCGAGAAGCAAATGTAGGAAGCTCAGCTAAACCCCTCTGGCTGCCCCTATTGGCACTCCAAAGCACTCCGCCTTCCAGTACACACGTTAGAAGGACCTAGAAGGTACGGGGTTTCAGTTGTGATGAGCTGAGAGACAGACAGGCAAGGGAAACGAGCAGCCACGGTAACAGCCCCTCTGCAGGAGTCTTCCCAGCCCACACAGAATCCAGCCTGGGATCTCACACCCCCTGACCACCAGCCTAGCAAAGCCCTGAGCTGGCACTTGGGTCAGAGTAGCCGATTCCTACACACATACTTTCTTCACCCACAGAACCTTCTCAAAGAGGCAGCTCAGGCTGGGGCAGGGGTGGGGGGTGGCCTCACAGCTGTGGAACCACCTTGGGGGGCCGGGCAGCCCTTGAGCGGGTAGAGTGTGGCAGGGGCAGGCAGTGAGTGTCTCTTTTTCTTCCTCTGGCCTAGTTCAGCCCCATCCTGTTCATCCTGGCCGGGAGTGCCTGCCCCTGAAGTCAAACCTGTCAGCCAAGCCTTCACCCACGCCTTCCTGCTCTGCTGGGGACAGAAAAGGCCATGTTCCAGGAAGCGCTGCCCCACTTGGCAGGGGGAGGGCATCTACAGACAGCATTGCTTTTCAGACATGCAGTGCCTCTTCCCTATCTTTCTCTGTCCCTCCCAGGGAGTGGGGCTGCTCATTGGTCCCTGCTCTCTGGGGGTTAGAAGTGAGACTGCTCCCTCCACACTCCAAAATAATCCTGATTCAGAGTGATCACCCGAAATCGTGTACCTCAGTGGCTCAACCATTACCTCTTCCTTGTCTTTCCATCCTGCCTTTTCTGTCCCTTACCTTCTCCAGCCTCATATACTCACTCTTTCCTGCTTCCGAGTGTTCTGCTCTGAGCTCTCCTCCCTTCCAGGAGGGTAGAAGCAGGGAGGAGAGTCACAGCCAGGAAGAGCTGGAATCAAGACATTAAGAAGACAAAAAACCCCTGAGCACCAGGATGTGGGAAGACCCCGGAAGCTGGGCTGGAGTTGATCTTTCAGGGTGAGGACTGAGTCAGATCACCTGTCTGAGGCTTTCCCCCTCTGCAGGTGTCCCAGGTGTCCAAGGACAAGGGCCTCAGGGCAGTACCTGGGTATCCAGGGCTGCACAAAGTGTGAGAAAGGAGGTGGTCAAGGGAGATGGGATCTGAGCATCCTGCCCAGGAGTGCCAGCGGCCCTGGGAGCAGGCCAGCCAGGGAGGAATGCTTCTTTGCCCTCCACTCCACTTTCATTGTGGTGGACTCTTCCATATACACAGCAGAGCTGAGAGCAGGAGGAGGAGGTATTTGGGGGAAGGGGTCTCCTTTCCTTGAGATCCTCAGCAAGTAGTAGTGAGTTAAAATAAGGACCTATGGGTCCTGCTTATCTTAACACAGCTGGGAATTCCAGGGAAGATTGCTCCACCGCCTCTTGCCAACCCTACCCCTCAAAAAGTTGACAGCAGGGGTGCCTGAGTGGCTCCGTGGTTGAGTATCTGCCTTCGGTTCAGGGCGTGATCCCAGGGTCCTGGGATCGAGTCTTGCATCGGGCTCCTCACAGGGAGCCTGCTTCTCCCTCTGCCTATGTCTCTGCCTCTTTCTCTGTGTCTCTTATGAATAAATAAATACAATTTTAAAAACTTAAAAAAAAAAAGGCTGACAGCAAAGAGGAGTGAGATGCCCTGCAATGGCCTAGGACCAGACTTGGACACCACTGATGCAGGGCACAGAGCACCTGTGGCAAATCCATACCCAACCACAGTCAACCCCTTCCAGTCCCAATGTGGGGCCCAATCCTGCTTTCCTTCCTAGATGTCATAGGAACTTCGACATGGTGGGACGTTGGAGCTGATGGTAGTCCATGTATCCTTTTTCTAATTTTAGTCAGTATACCAGGCCCTTATCTCACTGCAGATGCTGGCTGTGCACGTTGACTGGGGTGGAGCAGGGAGGGAGAGCAGATAAGAGGCAACAAAAATGACCTTCCAGAAAGAGACTGAGTCTTCTGCAGTAGTAGGGAAAGATGGGGAGCCCTGGACCAAAGAGACATTGGCACCAACTCGGGACTTCTGCTCATTTGCTCTGAGATGCCAGGGACACTCTACAGCCATCTGCTCCAGATGGCCCTAGTCTTAGGCCACTCTGGTTCTGTCCCACGGAAGACCATGGCACCTTATGAAGGGGGATGAAAGTGTGAATCCCTAGAAATCATCCTGTTCTTCCTGAATCTCAGATTGTCAGCCACCCCCACCCAACAACCTTTGCTTCCCTGGCTGTGGAATCAGACTCTCCCTGTGGTCCTATGTCCTGGTCTTTCTGCATCCTCCTCCTGCCCTGATATCACTGTAGCCATCTGCAAGGCCTGCTTCAACCCAGCTGTGGCAGGAAGGCTGGGGGAGGGGGACCAGGACAAACCAACCATTGTCATTCACATCAAATGGACCCTAGCTCTGGGGTGAGCCTAAGTGCCACACCGAGGGCAACTGCTGGCCTTCTGTGGGCATGTTGGGCAGGCTCCAAGTGTACCTACCGATGTCTCAGGCTCATGGGTGTGCGATGAGGGTGGGGCAAGACTCAGAAGCCTTTTCCAGCTCTGGAATTCTCTGAGTATATGGGAATGGGGTGGGGGTTGGGGCCTGCTAAGAATCTTTGTTCTTGTTCACTTTAGAATATAACTCCAATTGTTCCAGATTCCGATCCACCCTTTTCTTTGAGGGAAGATGGAGAGCAGACTCCTCCCTGAGTCTTTAACCAACTGGCGACCCATGGGCATGGTATAGGCCAAGAGGTTAAGGCTCTGAGTCAAGATGACCATGGACAATTTACCTAATCCGTCTAAGCTGTAGGTTTCCTATCTACAAAATGGAGAAGATTATGGTTCTTACCTCATGGGTCTACAGAAGAGCCCAACAAATGCTCCCCAACCCCATTATTATTATCCAGAAAACAGAACAACTGGAACCTGGTTCTACACCCCTTTGTAAGTACCAAACCAGAACTTAAACACTCCTAAGAATGAGAACCAAAGCCACAGTAAAGGGATGGAAGAGGTGGAGAAACTGCTACTTCAGTCTCTTTTCTCTTCCGGCCACTACCGCCACTCACTGCCCTAGAAAGTGAAACAGCCGCTGGGGAGGAATCCAAAGTCTGCCTTCCCAGCTGCAGATTGGCTTCCCAACTGCCATGAAGAACAACCCTGAAGACAGTAGGCCGGGGGAAGGGAAGGCAGTATGAGGCACTTTGGCAGCACGTAAACACCATCCTCATTATCAACAGGCTTCTAAGGGCTCAAGTCAAAGTGGTCCAGGTGGACACCGTTGACAGAACCAGCTACAAGCAACACACTCAGTTCCCGGGACACCGGCATGGAGACATCCATCCACCAACAGGACTCTGCATCGCCACATGCATCATTTGTAGGGTTGGCTTGGCACAGGGGAGGAGATGCTGACTTCCATGTCCTTCTGGGAGATTTGGTTAGAGACCAACTGGGAGGTCCCAAGGGCCAAGGCCGTCTCCCATCTTTGTATTTCCCCCAAGTACCTAGGACAGAGCTCAGCACTCAGTAGGAATTTGATACCTGCCAATGATGAACTTTGATAAACCCAGTGCCTTCCGGGAAAACCACTCAGCGTGCCTTACTGCACTTCAAAACCTTTTGCCTGGAAACAAGACTTGAATGATCTCTTGGACCTGAAGGTTCTGGGTGAGTCCAAACCTACAGAATGCTTGCTACATAGCACGCCCCAGACTCTCAGCTTCTGGATCCTGCCAATTCCCATCCTTAACTCTACCCAATTTTAGTATATGTGCTGCCGAAGTGAGCACATCCTTAACTCTACTCAAGAGCCTCACAAAGAGCCCTCTTTGCCCCGGGCAGGTTCATGAAAGACAGGTAAGAAGCAGAGAGGGGAGAGAGTTCTGCCCAGGCCTGGTTGCCTTTTGTCCCCATTTACACCACACAATTAGCACTTCTGGGTCTTACCAGGTTGCCCACCCCCTGCCACTTCCTGCCCAAATCATGCATCAGATAGCATGTGCCCACCCCCGGGCCCCAAGGAGACTGTGCCAAGGTTACAGGCAGATAAGCAACACAAAACAAAACGCCTTTAAGAACCTTCCCACTTAATTTGAGACCCTCTTGGCAGCCAAACAAATTCCTGCCCAGCAGGGGGATGGAGGGGAGGCTTGAAACTGAGCTTTTTACTGTGGGCATCCTTGAAACCCCAGGTGAAGGGAAAAGAAAGCATAAAGAGGAGTCCCATCTAGGAGGAGTGCCCCGGGAGGGATGGCAGGCAACAACCTTGTTCCAGCTCTCCCCTTCCAAGCCTCAGCTCTGGAATTCTGCTTCTGTTCAGCAGTGCTGCCCTGACCGCCTCCTCGGGGCTACTGGGGTTCCTCGAGGCTTCTGTAGAAAGTAACTAGACCAAGCAGAATTTGAGGACGTGATCCAAAGGGAAACGGTTCTAGGAAGCAGCAGCTGCTTCTCACAGGGAGGTGGAGAGAACGCTCCCAGAGTCGCTCCCAGAGTCCGTTTCCCAGGAGGAAAAGGTAGCCCCGGGCTCAAGGTCAAGAGCCGCCCTACCCAGGTCCTACCTGCACGATGTCCAGCACCATGCCAGCAGCCACAGTCCCAAAGCCTGCCAGGAGGAAGGGGAACAGCACTTGCAGCCCGATGGAGAAGGAGGTCTCCTTGAGTGGAGAGGGCGGTGCGGGGCCATGGTCGGTGCTGACGTCATCACTCTCATTGCTCTGGCTCCCGTTCTCCAGCAGGGCGTCCTCCTCCCGGACCCCCTTGGCGTTGGCCCGGGACTCGATCACCACCACCTCCACGCCGGCCCCATCAGGCCCCAGGAACTCTGAGGTCCCGGCCAAGGGCTCTCGCCCGGGGCCATCTGAAGAGCAGGGCGAGGGAGCAGGGCCAGTCCCGTTGAGCTGGTGGGCGTCCTTCGGCTCTGGCTTAGAGGACATGACGGGAAGGGAGGAGGGGAAGGGGGAGCTTTCTTTCTCTCTCTCTCTCTCTCTCTCTCTTTCTCTCTCTCTCTTGTTTCTTTTTGCCTTCTCCCTCCCTCTCTAAGTCGGGAAAAGAACTTAGTCTTGGGGTGAGCCCAGGCTTGGGCGCCGCGGGACCTCTTCCCACGGCTCTCTGCTCCTACCAGGTGCTGCAAAAACTGGTCCACCGACAGGCAGCCCCATCAAGCACTGAAGCTACGAGCCGGAGGGAAGCAAGAAACTCCCCACCAGACTCCGCAGCCAGCCACCGGGGGTCCAGATGCCTGACTCTGGCCGGCCAACACTGTGCTGGGGGAAGAAGCTTATTTGGCCTCTTCTCTTCTTTGGTTCTGAGTGAGCAGCAGGCTCCTCAGAGCAGGGGGCATCCAGAGTAGAAGAGCCCAGCCAAGTCTGGGGTGCCCTCTGAGGTGGCCCTTCTTTCATGAAAAGTAGCTTGAGTTCAAATCCTTTGGAAGGTAAGCCCCGGCCTAGGGCTGTGGCTCCTTTGGCCTCCCACAGCTCCTCGGGCTCTGCTGGTCCCAGGGCAGTGTCTGCTGTCCTTCCACTTTCTTCCAGAGATTTCCTTCCTTCCTGGGAAGACCTTGTCCTGTCCTAAATCCCTGGTCCTTCAAGTTACGAGAATCTGTGTGGAACACCTGATGTGGGAAGGAAGGAGACAAGAAAGAATGCTATGACATGGCGAAGGACAGCTCATACCAAGACAACTTTCCCACAAGACAGGCATAAGGAGTTTGTTTTTCTCTTGCTCCTTTTCACTAAAACTACCCATGCCTGCATTGTGACATCTGGAGGCCCAGTAGGCACTAGCCCTGTGGTCCTCCCAACTGGCAGCCCACTGCCTGGCAGGGATCACCGCTGTTGTCAACAGCAGCGAGACAGGGCCAGCCTGGGAGACCTTGACATTGTCTTCTTGGCGACCAGGTGTGGACAGGGATGTCCTGGGGAGACCCCTTCTTGAATGATCATTAAAAACCCAGGATGATTTCAGTGTGGTCTCCCAGTGGGGTCAGTTACAAATTCAGTCACAAGCTCCCTGCCACACCGCGGAGATACTCCACTGTAGATAGTGATTGTTTACAGTCACAAGACAGCTGTGCAAGGCAAATAAACAGGGAGAATCTGATCATTAAGTGAAAGTCTCCAGACCCCCAAATGCCCTAGCCCATGGGGGAGGGGGAAATAAAACAAAACTAGGAGGACTCCCTGGGCAATGGGGCAGGGCTGCCAGACCAAGGCCAAGAGCCAGAGGCCTACCCACTCCTGCCCTTGAGAGTCAGCAGTGTTACAAAAAGCTCAGGCGCTGACTGGGATCCAGGCTTCTGTCTCTGCTTCTCTCCCCCTGCTCTTGGCCCTGTGGATTTGTCAGATAGGACAGGGGAGTTATCTCAGTTTGAAAGGGAAGAGGATAGAACTTTTGGTTATTATGCACACATTTCAGTTTCCTAGGTTCGCCCCGTTCCCCAGGGTTACTGAGAGTTGGATATGGCGGAATTCTAAAAAACAAAAACAAAAAACAAAAGCAGCAACTAAAAAAAAAAAAAAAAAAAAAAAAAAAAAAAAGTAAAACCAAAACAAAGCAAAACACAAAGCAGCATAAGCCAAAACACACTTGCTCCCAAATGCAAGCGTCTGGCCGCAATGGCCCCACTTCTCTTGTTTAAAGGAATCCCCAGGCCCTGATCCCACTCTATCCCATTTCACCAAAATAGTTCTTACAAGGAAAAAAACAAAAAAAAATACGTTTTCTTAAAAAGAGAATTTCCCTAGGTGGGATGAACAAGTACTTAGGTATTCCAAACACAATTAGTCAACTGCAGCTTGGGAAAGGGTGATTCAAACTCCAGTAACTGACCCACGGGAACTGTTTTCTCTTTCTATAGGCTCAGGGCACACATGCAGGTTCCCTTTTCCAGTCTCCTTGAACACGGTCCTGCGGTTCTCTCAGAGACCCTCCCTCGGGATCCAGAAAGAGACCTCGGGGCAGGAGAGAGAGCACTGCCCCCGGGCCAGCAGCGTCTGCTAGAATTGGACCCTCCGTCCCTCCTCCTGCCTCCCGGGCAGGCCAGCTCCACCGAAAGGGGGGCGCGCAGGAAGGGAAGCCAGGGAGTCCCTCACCCCACTCCTTCCAGCAAAGAGACTTCGCACGGGCCTAAGGCCCTGGGAGGAAAGAAGCAAGAGTGAACCAGGATGCCCTGAGGAGGGAACAAAAAGGACCCGTTTCAGTATCTGCAGACCCGGGGTGGGGGCGGGGGGGGGACCCGGGTGGCCTCCCCCGCCTCCCCCCGCCTCTCCCGCATTCGCACGCAGCAAATGCGCTGCGCGCCAGGGCTCCCGCCCTCCGCCACCCACCGCCCGGGACCCAACAGGACTGACCTGCCTCTCGCTTGGGAGCAAAGGGGGCGCCTGGCGAGTGGCAGCAGGGACCCGTGGCCTCGGGGGGTGCAGGGCTCCCCCTCTTCTCATCACTCCTCCTCGGCCCCCGGCGTGCCCCCCGCACCCCCGGCCCAGGCGAGCGTCCAGCCGCGACCCCCGGCTCGCTCCATTTCGCCCCGGCCTTACAGCGAGGCCGCCGCTCCGCCCGCGCGAGGGGTGGGTGGCCGCGGAGGGCAGGATATACGGCCTCGGCCGGGCGGGGGGGACGCGGGCGGGGGGGCCCGGGCGGGGGGCCGCGGGGCCGAACTCACTCGCCCCCAATCGCTTCTTGCCCGCGGACTCGGGCCCGACTGGTTGGCTGCCGGTGGCAAACGTGATCTGGGGCAGACTGGGTGGCACCCCCCCCCCGCATCCGAAATGGTCCGGGATGGACGGGCGCAGCAGCCAATCCGGGGCCGGGGCCGGGGCGGGGGCGGGCTCAGCCTCGGCCCCGCCTCCTTCCCTCGCTCGGTGCCGGGGGGCGGGGCGCGGGGGCGGCGCCGAGCGCGGAGCGGCGCGAGCTGCGGGGAGCCGCGGGGGGCTGCGGGGGGCGGCGGGGGCGCGAGCTCGCGGGCCCCTCCCGGGCGGCCGCCGCCCCCGGTTCCCGCCTGCTCCGGCCCCTTTTCGGGCGAGCGCGCCTGGGCGCGGTTCCTCCAGCCTGGCCTTCGGGAAGGCCCGGACGCGTCGGCGCGGGGTCGGACCCCGCGGGCTCGGACCCCGCGGGCTCGGGGGCTCGGGGGCTCGGGCCGCCGCCCCCGCGCTCCTGCCCGCGCTCTGCGCCCGGGGGAGCCGCGCCCACCTCGCTCTCGCACGCGGCCCCGCTCCTGTGGGCTCGGCCCCTCGCGCTGCCTCCGGATCCCGCGCTCCTGCAAGCAAATGGCCCAGCCCCGACGGCACCGGCCTAAATAACGTCCCAGTTCTGGAAGCGGTGCGGATGGGCGGGCGGGAAAAGAGGTCAGACTGGCGCCCAGGGTCCCAAGGCACCCCCCGAGGGAGGGGCGGAGGGGAGCCCGGCTTCCTCTGCCCCTCTGGTCCCGGGGGCAGCAGAGGGGAGGCAGGTCTCCAGGTCTCCATCCCGGGCTAAGCGAAACTTTCCCTGACGCACCTTGTGGCATCAAAGAGGGGTGTTCCCACCTCGCCCTCTGCCACTTCCTCCCTGGGGTATCTCCTCCTCTCCCAGCGCCAACTCAGGACCAGCTCGCTCTGGGATGTTGTTGTGCAGGGGGTGTGACCTCGCCCCAGAAAGGAACTGCCACCCACCCCCAAGTTTTCCCCTCTTGCCAGTGGAACCTGTGACCAGTGGTTCCTTCCTGCCCTTTCCCACTGGGAAAGTGGCTCAGGGGCCGTTGGAGCGTGACTCCGGACCCCTGGGTGGGGGTTTGGAGTAGAGATGTCCCTGGAGAGAGGAGAACACAGCCTTGGGTTTGAAGCTGTGTGGCTGCCCTTTGCGCTTTCCGACGCTCGCGAACACACACAGCAACCTGAGCAGGTAGTTCCTTTGCACAGGGGGTGACAAACCTGTGCAACCTGGCCACCGGAACTTCCCACTCTAGTACTTAGGATGATACGGGTTTAGGGGCTGGGACATTTGCATCAAGGGCCTGCAGTCTTACAGGACCTCTAGAGGAAATGTCAGTGTCTTAGAATCCCAATCTGGCTTTAAATACTGGGTCTCTTTGCCTGGAGACAGTGGTAGCTGCCAGACTAGGAAACAGTGGGCTCCATCCGGAAGGATCCTTTTTTGAATAGGGGGTGTAGGATTAGGTGGGAAGCTAAGGGTGGTGTGTCTGGAGACTTTTCAGTCAAGGGCGGGAGACAATTCCTGTCCTGCTCCATGCAACAGGCTTCCCTGCCGCTTTATTTATTTATTTTTTTATAGATTAATTTTTATTGGTGTTCAATTTGCCAACATACAGAATAACACCCAGTGCTCATCCCGTCAAGTGTCCCCCTCCGTGCCCGTCACCCATTCACCCCCACCCCCCGCCCTCCTCCCCCTCCACCACCCCTAGTTCATTTCCCAGAGTTAGGAGTCTTTATGTTCTGTCTCCCTTTCTGATATTTCCCACACAGCTCAGCCAGCTGTGTAGAAAATCTTGACCTCCCCATAGTCCCTCCCCACCTTCCATTTTTTAGCCACCTGAAAACAGTTCGCCTCTCCTGTGGGCTTGGTTGTTGTTTTTAATCAAAGTATACCATACATGTGTGAAAATGCACAAAGCCTAAGTGTACAGGTCAACAAGTTATGACGCAGTGAACATACCCATATAACTGACACCCAAATCAAGAATTAAGTCCTAACTGGCATCTCAGAAGCCCTCCCCGTTTTCCCTCCCAGCCACTACCCCACTCTCCTTACCAAAGGTAACCTCTAACACCACAGAATAGTTTTGCCTGGTTTTGAAACCACTTGTGCAGGTATCATTAGGTATCATTTTGTATCTGGTTTTTCTCCCTCAATATTGTGTTTGTGAAATTCACGCACACGTGGTAGCAGCGGCTCATTTTCATTGCTTTACTGTATGGTATTAAATGAACATACTGGATCCCTGGGTGGCGCAGCGGTTTGGCGCCTGCCTTTGGCCCAGGGCGCGATCCTGGAGACCCGGGATCGAATCCCACGTCGGGCTCCCGGTGCATGGAGCCTGCTTCTCCCTCTGCCTGTGTCTCTGCCTCTCTCTCTCTGTGACTATCATAAATAAATTAATTAAAAAAAATAAATGAACATACTATGATTTGTTTATCTGTTATTCTGTGTTTTTTGTTCTTTTTAAGTAGGCTCCATGCTCATGGAACCCAACGCAGGGCTTGAACTCATGACCCTGAGTTCAAGACCTGAGCTGAGAGCAATAGCCAGATGTTCAACCGACTGAGCCACTCAGATGCCCATCTCTTATTCCACTGGTGGACATTTGAGTTGTTCGCAGTTTGTGGTTATTAAGAATAATGCTGCTATAACAATATTGTTTGTGTCCTTTGGTACACTCATGTTCATATTTCTGTTGGTTATAAACCTAGGAACAGAATTACTAGGTCATAGAGTAGTCATATGTTTGGTGGTAGTAAATGCTCCTAAATACTTTTTTGAAGTGCTCATGTTAATTACATACCTGCCAGCAGTGTGTTAGAGTTCCGGGTGCTTCACATTTTCATCAGCGCTTTGTGTTGTCAGTCTAAAAAGATTTAAAAATTTTACCATTCAGGTCATGTGTAGTGGCATCTCATTGTGGTTCAAATTTTAATTTCCCTGATAACCAATGAGGTTAAGCACCCTTTCATATCTTTTGTCATTTGGATATCTGTTCAAGTATTTTGTCCATTTTGGGGGGGTCCATTTTGTATTTGGCTTTCTGTCTTACTGCTTTGTAGTTCTTTAAATATTTCAAATATGAGTCCTTTGTTGGTTTTAGGTATTGCAGGTATTTCTATGAGTATATAAATACAGAAGGCTTTGGTTTTGGGGTCTTCTGAAGCCCCAGGGCCGCTGGGACAAGACTGTGAGCTCTATGTCCATTTGTTCACTAGTGAATTCTCAGTTCCTGGGCCTTAGTACGACTCAGAAAATACATTGAATGAATAATGGATGAGATAATTCAGACTCATCCAGGTAGTTTGCCCTGCATTGTACTGATCCCTAGGGTCAGACATGGAAAGGGGCTGGAGGGAGCAGATTTCCTTCCAGCCCAGCCAGATGTGACCTTGGGAAGGGGAAGACACCCAGCCCTTCCCTACTCAAAGAGCAGAAATAGCTACAATCTGTGAAGAAAGAACCACGGATGTAGGGAGCGGAGGTCATAGATGAAAAGACAGGAACTACCAGCAGGTAGCAAGCCAGCCAGATGCTTCAGAAGGAGAGACTCAGTTGGGGGTGCATGCTCAGAGACACTCAGGAAGATGGTGAGCATCGCAGCAGGCAAGGACCCCCAAAGTTCACATGGGCCTCTTACTGCCTCGAGACATGTCCACTTCTAGAGCTTGTTAGCCTAGACAGTGCTCCTATACTTAGACATACTTTTCCCTCTCTGAAGGAGCTGCCTTGGGACTTTGGCTGCCAAGTCTCATTCCCACCTCTCCAAGGGGAACTCTTTTTTTCAGATCTGGCCTTGACTTCCTCATGGCTTATCATGTCCATCCTGAAGATGGAAGACGATTACATCACTGCCAGTCCCTTCTCCAGGAAGTCTTTCCCCCAGGCCTGTTGCTGTCTCTAGCACTTCTGTCACTGTGTTTCTCCCCAGTGTCCTCTCCTTTCTTCCCTTAGCCACAGCAGGCACCAGGTCAGGTCAGAAGTCCCTACAGGAGGAGGATTTCTCCCTTGGAACACCCTAACACACTTGCAGCACCCCTTTCTTAGGTTCCTAGAAGACAATGAGGCTAGTGGTGGCCTCAGAATTTTCTACATAGAATGATTTTGGGTTAGAAGACTGGCTGGAGAGGAGCTAGATGGTGTGTCATGAAATGGTGTTTGTAGAGCAACCACAGTTATTTTCACTTGGAGTATGAGATTTTTGGTGGTGGGGGAAGGATCTGGGGGGGAAGGAGGAGGTGTTGTTCACTGACAGAGTACTGTGGAGGAGCCTGTGAGGGAAACATCTCTGTGGGGCAGACTGCTTCAGCCTTGTTTGGGACTTTTCCTAATATGGGGTTCATTTAGCCTCAATCCTTAGGTCTTCCATGTTCCAAGACCCTCAGGTCTTCCTAAGGCCTTCCTTCAGGGACAGCTGAAGTCTACCAATGGCTTCTCCATGGACTACCTGGGTACTTATCCTGAAACATCATAAAATTCCAGAGCCCTGTAGGTCCTGGATCCTCTAACCAGCATGGTAGAGTCACAAGACTAGCCGGACATGGCTGGAAACTTTTCTGTCTTTTGTTTCTGCTGGGGAAGGTGTGCCCCCTCCCATTTTTCCCCTCACCATAACCCCTCCCCTGCTATCTCTCTTCCAGAGGTCAACTTCTTTCCTGCTGCCCAGAGCTGAGGTGATATCCCCTTCCGGCTTCATTCAGTTCTAGGAGGATGTAGTGATGGGGGGGTGGATAGGGAAGTGTGGCCATCTGTGCTCAGGGCTAGCTGCTCTTACCACTGCCTTTGCTTCTCTATAACTGAGCTCCCCTTTTCCGAAGTCCCCTGGATACCTCTCTGGATTCCTCTGGGCAGGAAGATTCCAACTATTTCAAAGCTTCAGTTCTGAAATCACTGGATATCACTGGGAAGCCCCAGCGGCAAGCAAAACCGCCTGGTGAACCGTAACTGGGGATACAGTAGTAATCTGAGAGGAAGTGTTGCAGAGTGGCATGTGCCCCAGTTTTGTAATCACATGGGTTTGAATTCATGTTCAGCCATATTAGGCATGTGATCCGGGATAAGCTTTATGTCTCTGAGGCATATCTAGAAAATGGAGACACTACTCTCTTTTTCAGAGATGCTGTGAGGATTAGTGATAACATAGCAATGGGAACACTTCCTGCACATTAGGAATGTTATGATTCCACCAAAAAGGAAGAGGCACCATCAAGGACTAGGCATATGGAAGGGGCAGGTCAGGCTCTCTTTGGGACACATACTCAAGTCTAGCCTTTTTAGCCTGTGAGGGCACTGCTAATTGTGAAGGGTTAAAGATGGACAGTCTTCAGCACCGTGGATGCCAGTGGGGAGCTAGTCTCAGGGCAGCATCCCTACAGTAGGTCATCAGCCAGATATGGATAATCTTTATCTTTCCAGAGCCAGGATTCAAGAGGATACTAATCTGCAAATCAACTGCCCTTCGTGTTTACTGCTCTTTGATGATCCAATAGCCCAGGGTTTCCTAAATGGGCCTGGTCATAGGAATCACCTGTGGGCACTTCTTTTACAATATGGATTTCCAGGCCTCTCTTCTAGAAATTCTGTTTCCAGAATCTGGTGCCAGGCCAGGAAATCCACCCTTTTAATTGGTGCCCCAGATGATTCCCATGATCTGACCAGTTTGGGGAACGATGCCCCAGCCGGGTGGTTTTCAACTGCAGCTGCATATTAGAACCTTCTGGGAAGCTTTAACAAAAATGTACCTTTGTCATAGGAGGAAACGCTGAACTTTGTCTGGGAAGGGTCTGGAAGTCTTCAAAGACATGAAGATGCTTCCGTTGAATCTTCCTGTGTAGATTTATTAACTCATTTAATCATAATGATTATCCGACGAAGTAGGCTGTTGCAACACAATAGGTGAAAAACAAGTCCATGGATTGGAGAAAGGTACGTATATTTAAAAGCTATGTAGGTTAGTCATTAGGGAAATGAAAATGAAAATCACAACGCAACACCACGTCACACTCACTAGGTTGGCCATTAAAAAAAAAAAAAAAAAAAAAAGGCAAACCCCAGAAAATAAGCCTAGGTTTGCGAGGATGTGGAGAAATCGAAACCCTTGCACATTTGCTGGTAAGAATGGAAAAGGGTGCAACCACTGTAGAAACAGTTCGTTGTTTCATCAAAAAGTTAAGCATAGAGTTACCACATCCCCAGAAATCCCACTCCTAAGTGAATGCCCAAAGGAATCCAGAACAGAGGAAAGCATTCTAGTTGGAGGGAAACAGCGGAGTGGCAGGCAGGCCAGGGAGAATGTGGCATTTTGGGGGAACAGCAGGTTTTTATTTTTTAAAAAGATTTTACTTATTTATTCGTGAGAGACACGGAGAGGCGGAGACACAACACAGGCAGAGGAAGAAGCAGGCCCCCTGCGGGCAGGATCCCGGGATCACTACCCAGGCTGAAGGGAGACTCAACCGCCGCCCAGCCACCCAGGCGTCCCGTCACAGGTTTTTATTTTTTATTTATTTATTTTTAAAGATTTTCTTTATTTATTCATGAGAGACACAGAAAGAGAGAGGCAGAGACACAGGCAGAGAGAGAAGCAAACTTCACGCAGGGAGCCTGATGTGGGACTCGATCCCAGGTCTCTAGGACCACACCCTGGGCCAAAGGCAAGATGCCCAACCGCTGAGCCACCCAGGGATCCCCCGGTCACAGGTTTTTAAATACATAGCTGGCCGCATGTTGGGGAGAACAGAGGGAAAAGACAATGTGGTACTTTCTGATGATGTCGTTACACAGCTTAACACTTATTTTACATGGACTTTTTGTTTGATGTGGTTTTGTTTTTCCAAGTAGATTGCAAGGTCCTTGAGCATAGATACTTTATATTTTTAAATTTATACTAATTTTTAATGCCTTATATTTTAAGATTTCTGTGCTGTTTGCAGACATGTTCTAATTTTTTAAAAGGCTTTTTAGGGATCCCTGGGTGGCGCAGCGGTTTGGCACCTGCCTTTGGCCCAGGGCACGATCCTGGAGACCCGGGATCAAGTCCCACTTCGGGCTTCCGGTGCATGGAGCCTGCTTCTCCCTCTGCCTGTGTCTCTGCCTCTCTCTCTCTCTCTCTCTCTGTGTGACTATCATAAATAAATAAAAAATTTAAAAAAAAAAAGACTTTTTAAAATTTTTAATTTATTTATTTATCCATGAGAGACACAGGCAGAGGGAGAAGCAGGCCTCTTGCAAGGAGCCCGATGTGGGACTTGATCCCAGATTGTGGGATCCTGGATTGTGGGAGCCCGACTTGGGACTCAGTCCCGGGACTCCAGGATCAGGCCCTGGGCTGAAGGCGGCAGCGCTAAACCCGCTGAGCCACCAGGGCTACCCCATCTTTTGACATTTTAATTTAAACTTACAAATTGAGTTCTCCTTCCTCAATCGGACCCTCAGATAGTGAATCTCATCCACTCTCGTAGTGTCAATTTATGGTGACAGGTTGATGAATCCTAAATATCCTGGTCTTAGACTTTTCTTCTGAGCTCTAGGCTTGGATGTCTCAGCACTTCCAGCTCCTCATATCCAAAATGGAGCTTGTCATCTCCTAGAGATCTGCTCCTTCTTCAGTTTCCTGTCTCAGTAAATGAAGTCACCTCCCATTTGCTCATGTCAGCCACCTGGAAGTCATTCTTGATGCTTTCCTGTACCCTACCTCCCCAGTATCCACCAATCACCAAGTGCCATCCGTTGACTCCACCTCTTAAATACCTCAAAAAAATTTTTTTTTATTGAGGTAAAATCCACATTTAAAAAATGAACCATTTTATTTTTATGTTTTTAATTTTTAAAAAAGTTTTTATTTATTTATTCATGAGAGACAGAGAGGCAGAGGCATAGGCAAAGGAGGAAGCAGGCTCCATGCAGGGAGCCCAACGCAAGACTTGATCCCGGGTCTCCAGGATCACTCCCTGGGCCAAAGGCAGGTGCTAAACCGCTGAGCCACCCAGGGATCCCAAAAATGAACCATTTTAAACCATACAATCCATTGGCATTTATTTAGTACACTCACAATGCTGTGCAACCATCAGCTTTATTTAGCTCCAAGACATTTTCAGCACCCTGAAAGGAAACCTTCTACTCATTAAGTATTTACTTCCCTCTCCCAGCTCTACTAGTCTGCTGTCTTTATGGATTTCTCTATTGTGGACATTTCATATAAATGGAACCACGCCATAGGTGACCTTTTGTGTCTGGCTCCTTTCATGTAGCATAATGTTTACAAGGTTCATCCATGTCATAGCATGTGTCAGTATTTTATTCCTTTTTATTGCTGAAAAATAGTTCATGCATGGTATGGATATAACATATTTTGTCGATCCATTCATTTGTTAATGGACGTCTGGGTTGTTCCTACCTTTGGAGTATTATGAACAGTGATGCTATAACCTATTTTGTACAAACTTTTATTTGAGTACTTCTTTTCAGTTCTTTTGGGTATGTAAGAGTGGAATTTCTGGGTCATATGGTGACTCTACATTTCACTTTTTGAGGAAACAACAAAATAATGAAATCTATTAAAAACCTAGGGGTCGGGGGCTCCTGACTGGCTCAGCTGACAGATCATGCTACTCTTGATCTTGGCGTTTTGAGTTTAAGCCCCATAAAAAATAAAGTTAAAACAAAACAAAAAAACAACCTGGGGTACCTGGGTGGCGTAGTTGGTTGAATGAGACTCTTAGTTTTGGCTCAGGTGGTGATCTCAGGTGGTGAGATGGAGCCCTGCTTTGGGCTCCATGCTCTGCATGGAGTCTGCTTGAGATTCTATCTCCCTCTCTGTCCAGCCGTCCCACTCGTGCTCTCTCTCAAATACATACATTAAAAAAAAAATAACAATAGGGATGTTTCTGTCATTTAGGACTCAGTGTTGGCACAGAGCAATCTGTCACCCTACACACATATTCCTGAGACTAACACAGTTCAGGCTGCAGAGAAATCCTTCTCTACATAGCTCATCCTATGTCTTAAGAAGAAAAAAAAAATTAAATGTGATGCTCTGAAGATTTGTAGGTTTTGTCACTGTAAACTTTAGAGACACACATGGCTTTGGAGTGCAAGGAGGAACTGAGCTGTGAAAGTGCTTAGCTAAGAGAAAAGAAAATTGTCAAATCTTTCCTCTCAGATACCATGACTGCAATAGATTCCTGCATGAAATGTTATTTCTCAGTAGTGCTGAGTGTCCATTTTCTCGCTGCTCTTTGAGTTCCAATTTCTGGTTCTGGAGGTAATCATGAGCTAGTGTAGTATTTACAACATTGCACATGGTGGCTGAGGGATATTTTTTGGTATTAAACACTTTATATTACATTTTTATATTTGTAGGTCTAAATGTGATATACATGAAGTGTGATACCTTTTTATTGACAAGCTACATGGACACTGAACAGTAAAACTGCAAATAGTTTCATTTTTATAGAATTATTTATATTTCAATTTTCAAAGAAAAAAAAATGAACGAAGAGTCCAGCTCTTCAGTAGCACCTTTGTGTCTCTGTGTTATCTCCTCTCGGGGAGAAGGATATTGGACCCAAAATGGCCAAGTTTTTAGCAACCTGGGTTCAGCATCAAGGGACTCCAGCTAGACTTTACTCCTTTCCCAGCCTCTTTGCTTATGACTACTTTGTCTTCAGGGAGCAAGGTGTGAGTAAGAAGCTTGAGCGAAGTCCTCAATGGGGATATAGGGCATACTTGTGATTATTGCCAGAGCTCTTTCAAGGTAGATTTGGGGAGTGGTAGATTGATGTAGGTGGGGGTGGAGGGAAGTTCCAGATTTATTGCCCCTTTCCGCCCAGAGTCCCAGGGCTCATGTTGTCCTGGTCTGGTCAGCACTTTTGGCCATTCTTTCCAGAAGCATTTAGGGGCCACAGGATTGAAAGGTCTGTGTTCTTGGAACTGAGATTTGGAGCAGTTCCCTCTCAAGGGCCTTCCTTCCCACTCCAGAGGCTGGAAAGACTATCTTTTCTGCCAGTACAAGAGAGTGGTGAGACCCAGTGGGGACAAGGTCCCCTGCTCATTCTTCCCCAAGTTATCCCATGGTTTATTAGAGACCCAGCTGTCCCCAAACTCTGAACCCAGAAGCTGGGGTTGGTGTGATAAGGAATGCTGGCAGACAGAGGGAGAGGTGTGACTAGAGAGAGGTCAGCCAGGGGAACAGAGAGAGCTTGAGCTAAGAACCAAAGCCAACGGTACAACAGCCTTTGTCCCTGGGATCTCCTTGGATCGGAATGAATAAGCTACACAGCACAGGTTCTTGGGGTGGGCAGTGTGGTACAACTGAAAAAGCACTGGACTTGGGGATTTTTAACTGACATTTACATTTCGGGGCTGCCCCTTGAGAGCTTTGTGATCTTGGGCCAATGACTTCTCTGAGTCTCAGTTTCCTTCCTCTTCAGTACTATTAGCACAGGCTTTGGACTCAGGGAGACTTTGCTCCCAACACCTGCATGACCTTGGGCAAATTACTTAATTTCTGAATTTTAGTTGCCTAATCTATAAAACAGGAGCAATAACCCCTGGGAGCTATTGTGAGGATTAAGTAAGATAATGGATGGGAAGTAGATTCCATTATTAATTTAGGACCATGGAATGATGGTGCATTTGGGGCCAGGTGACATGGTTTAAATCTGCTCCCAGCTAGGTGTATAACCTCTCTGAGAACCAATTTCTCCCCTGTAAGAAGGGGTAATAGTACTTTCTTCATGGGGCTCTTATGAAATAAGGTGTAGGAAAGCACTTTGTCCAGCTCTGCATGAATGTGAAGGATTATTTTTGTTCTTCAGCTCACTCTCTAACAAAGGCTGAATAAGTTCTGAGTTGGCCAAAAAAGGGAGGGTGAGGGAAGGAATGTGAATCTTAGGGGGAGTAGCAAAAAGGCTCAAATAATCCCCACACTGTGTTTCTACCACTTTCCATTAAGCATAAGCTCCAAGGAATAGCTCACAGCCACGGGCCTGGGCATGGGAGGGAGGTAAGGAATTGGGGGCATGGGGGTTGTGGGGTGCGAAAAGGAGCCTATTGCTGACATATCCCAAGGAAGGCATGAAAAGTCTTTGATGAGGCAAAAAAGAGGGAGTCTCTCAAGTCCCAGCGCCCTCTGTGTCTCCCTCTCTGACTCCAACTCCCTTGTGACCCACAAAGCTCGCAGCTCCCAGCCTTGAGCCAAGAAAGGCTGCCTTCCAATGCCCCCTACCTGGCAGCTACTAAGCAGACTTGAATATGCTCAGGGTTGGATTCCAGAGGAAAAGAACAGGAGCTCTGCTGTCCTCTAAGGAGGCAAAGCTTGCCCCTCCTCTGCTCACCACCTGGGACAGAGCCCCTCAAGTCAGGCTCCCTCCTTGCTCCCCCATACCATACCTGCCACTTCCCTTCCCTCTGAGGTGAAGGCCAGAACCCCGCTGGTCCTGGGCTTCACTGAAAGGCAGGATCATGAGTGCCCTTCTCTTGGGAGCTCAGCCCATAGGATATGCCAGGGAAATGTTTCCACAGATTAGTGCCTCCAGGGGTGGGTCAGCAGCAGCAGGTGGCAGGAACAGGACAGGGGAGGGAGCAAAGACCAGGGAGTCCTTGGGAGAAGCCCAAGGATAGTTTTCTTCTCTCGGCTCCAGCCTCCAGCCTCCAGAACCAGGAGGTTTGGGGTTCCTGCAAAGCCTCCTGCCTCAGTTTCACTTCTCAGTGACCACTTGATGCCACATAGCCCGCTTTGTTTGGCCAGGTGTTGTGGTAATTACAGTAGTATCACAATATAACTAAGTTCTGCTCTAGATTAGAATAAACGGGAGGGCAGGGCGAGGGATGCAGGGGCAGGAGAGGAGAGATGAAGGGCCAGCTAAATAATCCAAGGGAAGGGGGAGGAAGAGAAAGGAAAAGTTACAGCAAAAGAAATTTGTAAGTGATGGAGAGGGCAGCCTGGCAAGCATGCTCTAAATTAAACACTTCTAGAAGGTAAAAACCAGTTGAGATTTTCTAATTCTTTGTCAAGTCAGGCCTTAACAAGGAGCAGTTAAATAACCCGTATAAGACAAACAAGCCCAGTAACTTCTAGGATACTGACAAGGCAGTACATGTTGGTCAGCCAAGGGATGCAGATGTTTGGAGGAAGGAAGAAAAGAGGTTCTTGCCAGCCCTTCTCTACCCTTGGCCTTGTTCTCTGGTGATTTCAGGAGTGAGTAAGGCAAGTGGGTGATGGTTTTGACCCAAAGTTTCATGGGTCATGAAACCCAATGTGGTTTTGACCCAAAGTTTCATCGACATTAGCTTTGCCCCGGGTAGGCACGGTTAATCCAGCTGGCTCCTCGACCTCATAGTTCGTGCAGGTGAGGAATTGGCTCCTGGTATGTGTCAGCATTCTGGATAAACTCAAAGATGAATTTCACCTGGGTCTCATAGGCTTGGACTGAGATTTTCTCATTGATTCCATGGATGCTGAGTGAGAGATTTTGGGAAAGAGAGGAGAGAGCCAATTGCTGTAGAACAAGTGCTATTACTGAGTACCCCCTACCTCACATCCCCTGAAGCCACTGGCCTTTGAGTCTCCAGGGGGTAAGAAGTGGGCAAGTGGGAGAGGCCTTTTGTAAGAAGATGACATGTAGGTCATTTCTCCAGGGTCCCGGCCCATGGCAAAGAAAAAGTGCAGGAAAATAATAATAAAATCCTGGGGAGTTCACATTTGTTTCCTGCTCTGAAATCTATGTGATACTTTCCCCTCAGAGGGGAAATTATCTTTTTAATTCTATTTCTCTTAGGCCAGAGTCCCTGGCCCCTACATTACTAGGGACATAAAAGGAAAGGGAGGTGACTGCTCAGGGTCCCTGTGGGGCCTCTACTTCATCTAGAAACTTCCCATCAGATCTTGTGCTCACAATGTGCCTCCACACGCCACACATGTAAGTAACCTCAAAGATAAAAGCAATGAAGAGTAGCAACCTGCTACCTCAGTTAAAAAAAAAACAAGCAAAATCCGTAAAAGCTATTATTAAGATCTATCAAATATGCTGAAGAACCCACAAAATAGTAATTCACACATAGCAGTTAAAATTGGTGATCATGTCTTAGATTCCTATAGTATATTTTCTTCTGAGAATTCAAAGCATGTGTCCACCTTTGACCTATATGGGTCTGCATTTCACTGAGTGGTAACTGAGAAATCTGGAGTCTCCTTTTTTGGGGGAGAAAATGAAGTCCAGAGGGTAAGTATTCTTCCAAAGGGAGGGATCATACCCAAAGGTCCTACTTGCATCAGGTTGTTTCCAATCATCTGATTATTTACATCCCAGAGAAACAGTGGCCAATTCCCATACATTCTGGAGTGGCAAGACTCTGGCAATGATGAAAGTTGGCCAGTGGGTTCAATAATGTCTTCATTTTTGTTTGTGCAAACCCTGGCTTCCCCCATTCTGTGGACTGGTAGGAGAATGGGGTGGGGATAGGTCAGATGTATCTCCTCCTTCACCCTTCCTGTTCAAACTTGTTCTACTCACCTACGGAAGTCCTGAGGATGCAGGTAGACGGGGTTGAACCGGTAGATGCTAGTGGTGAGGTTCGTATAGTGTCTGCTGTCTGTGTTGCCAATACAAATACCTACACAGGGAAAATCAAGAGGAATGGGGCTTTATGTGAGCCATCAAGCCAAGGTAGTGATTGGAGGTGGGTTGACTGGAAAATCATAAGAACGTCACCTGGCCCCTCCTGGGAGCCTGCAGCTATGAATTTTTGTCCTTCAGGCTACCCATTCTCAAAACCTTAATAAAACACCATTTCAGCCAGAAGCATGAAACCTCCTCCCAAGTATATTAGTGAGTTATCCCTTGAATGATCCAGACTGAAGTGTCCTCTCTCCATGATGACCAGGGAGGCCAATACCTTCATTTTATACCCTTAGCTGGGCTATTTCAGAAATCTAGCTCTCCAGAAATCTAGATATCAGTTTTTTATTGCCTTGGTTCTCTTTACATCACCCTAGATCAGAAATAAACACCTTCCAGGGAGCTTTACTGCTATAAAATCCAGTCCTCTTAAAGCAGAACACAATTTCCTATTATTTTCATCCTCTGAAGGCTGACTTTGTCTTCCAAAAATCAAGCTTCAGGTTAAGGAAGTCCCAGGATATTCTCCAGTATCATGCTCTCTTGAAGGTAGTAGCCACTCACCCCACTCGCCAGCTAGGGCTAGGACTTGTCCCCACTGGGAGTGTTCTCTGAGAAAAGACCCCCTCAAGCACCAATTAAAGAATGGTGGGATGATTTGAGATGTTAATTTGTGTTTTGTTCCATTTTCCACTCCTGGTTTCAAATGGGTAACTACGCCCTTGCTTTGGGGGTTTCTACTAGTTGATATCTGCCTATCTTTTTTCTGTAAAGATCTAACTCTGTTAATGAGATTATGGTGGATGCCCCAGAAGGGAGAGAGTAGTGCAGAAAGCCTTTGAGGGCCAAGAAAGAAGAATCAGGGACCTAGAGGGCCAGGGTCCCTGGATGGTGGAGACCCAGGCCCTGCTCTATGGCAGGAGTCTGAAGAGGTGGCAGGCCTCAGAGGGGATGGCTGCCTGGTATGTTCAGGGAGGTGGGGTCTTAGGTCTAGAGTTAAAGATCCCACTCTCCAAACAGGCCAGGGAATCAGAGGAAATCTCCAACTTGAAGTGACCTCCTAGCTAGGCAATGGATGTCTGAGGTAACTGCAAGGACCGATGACCACTAGCTGAGGGGCTCCCGTGCTATGCTGCCACCTAAGATCTCGAGGGCCCGATACAGAAGGAGGGTGGTGGGGTGGTGCTTGGAGGCCTCAACAGCTCCGGAGGTTGAATTTCCTGAGGAGTGGGGCTTAAAGCCAGATTTAAGTTGATTAAAAACCAAGGCTGCCATTTTCACATCTGAGTTTATGGATCCAGAGCTTCACTGTATGCGCTCCTACGGGCCCATGCCCAGCACAGAGGCAGGGCTGAAGTATGCACTTAGAACATGAGGGAATCCAGGGCACCTGGCTGGCTCAGCCAGTTAAGTTTCTGACGCTCGACTCTGGATTTCTGCTCAGGTCATGATCTCAGGGTCCTGAGATTGTCCCACATCGGGCTCTATGCTCAGTGCAGAGTCTGCTTCTCCCTCTCCCTCCCCACACTTGCTATTGCTCTCACTCTCTCAAATACATAAATAAAATCTTAAATGAAGGAATCCATGATTAAATCTAGATTTAAAAAACCTGGACACAAGGCTTAGCATTAGAGCATTTTCTCCTTACATCATGGACCAGAGATCCTCAAACTGCAGTTAGCCATCAACTAGTCTCAGAATCCTCTGGGGGAATTTGTTAAAGAGGCAGATTCCAGGGTGCTCTCCAGATCTGGTTAGCTTGAATCTTTAGGAGTAGGTTCAGATAATCTGCACTTTAGTGAATTCCTTAGGTAATCCTCTTCCACTTTCAAGCTGGAGAACCACTGTCTACCCAACATCGGTTTGGAAGGTATGCTGGAAGATTAAGGAAGGGGCACAGAGGCACTGCTGCTGGAACTGGTTTGGGCTGGGAGAGACGAAGGGGGTTCATGCAAATGGTACAGGTGGGGAGGCATTTCTGAGCTCTGTTGCTGAGCTGTTATCCCAGGAAGGATCAGAACCAGCCTAGGAGAAACTTGGCCCCTTCTGTGGCTCCTCCAGAGGAGCTGGGGGTGGGGGTCTGGGCTGACCCTGTCCTCCATGCCAGAGAGGCTGGTCTAGGTTAAGCTAGGACCCAGGCATGACTGACCTAATTTATTGTTTCTGCTCTTTTCCTGTTTGCTTTCTGACTTCCACTCCAAGGGGAAAATACAGTTCCAGTTTCATCACGAGGGGAAGCAGCCAGATGTTTCCAGGCTGAACAGCTGGGGTGGAGGTGGGGCAGTAGACATTAGATAGGAAACAGTTCCAGCCCCCACCTCCCTCCAGCCACAGCTGATGAAGTCATTACCTGGGGCAACAGTGTTGACTTCCGGGAAGATGGACTGTACGGTCTGGCGGAGCAGCTGGTAGCCCAAGGCCTGATGATCAGAGGGGCTGACAGGCAGGGGGTCAAAGGCAGTCAACACATGGAACTGGACCCGGTCGTCAGCCACAATGTTCTTAACGAGTTCTAGGACCTTGAGGGAGCAAACAAAGGGAGTTTGAGTTCTTAACTATCTGCTGTCCAAGTACTATATGAATTGAAACAGTCCTGATTTTCTCCAGGAAGGCAGAGCCTTGGGAGTTTACAGGGGAGCTCATTTTTGCCCTGGGACCTCAACTTCAGCTGACTGGCTGTAGAAGAGAGGAGTTGGGTCTTTTTGGCAAGGGATCTACAGCATAGTAGGTTTAGGTTAACATTCAGGAGGCTTGCCTTATGGCCATGAGGCAGGTGGGGAATTGGAGGAATCAGGAAATTGTGTGTCCTTCCTCTTGGGCTGAGTCATGGGCTAGGTGGAAAGCAGAAGACACCACCGGAAGGGGGGAACACAGACATCTTGAGGCAGGCTGATCGATGTGATGACCTCACATCAACCTGGGAGTTTCAGACAGTTGAGGAAAGGGTCACGCACTCTTCTTTCTCCTCTCTGGGCATCCCTGCTTCCTGTTTGTAACCAACTGCCCTGGAGCCAGGAAGATGAGCTCAACACAGGCAAAAAGTCAGGAGTTGGGGGGACTGGTGTTCAAGTTTTCTCTTTGCCTCTTTTCCTCAGGAAGGAACCTGAGGAAGCTCCTAGAAAATTCAGTCGGAAACCACTAGAGCTGGATCCAGCACAAGTCCTGGTCCCAGGCAGGACGTAGACCAGACCCTGAGGATCAGGTCCCATGGAGACATGTGGAAATGGACTGGGAAGCTGGCTTAGAGTGGCCCCCAAGCCTACCCTGCCACCCAGGGAAAGCCCCAGCACTGGTCTCGACCCATCTGATCGGCAGGTGCTTTAGAACTGCCTCTGCCTTAGAAAGGGGGGTGTCCCATAGCTGAGGACCACTCCTATGGGGGGCATTAACTCAAGAGTACCCCTTTTTATGGCAGTGTCGCCTAGAAACATGCTAGAAGTGGAGACTGGAAAGGAAACGAGGCCTATTTCTGGCTTAAAAACCACCATTGAGCCAAACCAAATTCCTTGCTGTTGGATTAGTTGGGGGTGGTGGTGGTGGTGCATAACTCACTTATCGGAGCTTATTTTCATTCCAGCATGTTTGCCCTAAACCCTCTAATTCAAGAATTAGTACATAGTCTTGCTGCATCTTCAACCAACTGGCAGATTCCTAGTCATCACCATAGAAGGTGGGGGTTGGGACTGGGCCTGCTATCCCAATTTTTTTTTTTTTGTTATCCTAAATTACTTGAACACTCCTGCCCCCAGAAACTGAAGAGGGCACACAGACAGGATCCCCCCTCAGTTGGAAGCCACAAGAGCTCAGGTTTCCTGCTAACTCACAGGCCAGGTTCTGATGCAAGAGGAGGGCTACCTCACTTCTGTGTTTTCCGTCCCAGGAACATAAAAGGCATGCAATGAATGTTGGATGCAAGAAATTTAAAAGATAAGAACCAATAAAAACAGTGGGAGTCATCTCATGAAGTAACTGTATAATAGGATTGTACAGTTAATGTCGCTGGGCTGAGTACCTGAACCTGGTTTCTCACAAGGATGATGCTTCACTACCACCAAAGCACATGCAGGTTGAGGTGGGGTGGAGTAGGGCCTGAAAGAGGATGGTGTTCATGAAGATGGACTCCTTGGATTCCTTCCATCACCTTGGTGGTGATGGACTTTGAGCAGAAATTCAAAGGAAGGACATGAAACAGATGGAGAAGAGGCAAGATCTGATCAGGGAGGCGGGCAGGCACAAAAATCGAGGAGTGACAGCACACTTCGTGCCGTGGACAGCCACTTATAGTTGTGTGACCTTGAGCAGGCTCCTTAACCTCTGTGTCTCAGCATGCTCATATGTTAACATAAGGATAACAGTAGCACCTGCTTGGGAAGGTGGTTGTGACCACTACTGGAATTAGCATATGTCACATACTTAGGCTGGTTCCTGGCACATAGTAAACACTCAACATATGCTAGTTATTTGCTTAGAATAGAGGAGCCACCCTGGGCAATAATCAGGGGCACAAGGATGGGATTCATGAATGGTAAGAGGGACCTCAAAGGTTACTTTAGAGCACATCAATCTCATCACTCTGAGCTTCTACAGCCCTTACAGCACATTACCATAATGTTACGATTTTTCCTCTGTTTTATGTGTAGATATGTTTTTCCCTCAAGTGAATGATAAATGTGTTGAAGGCCAGGACAAGGGATACCAAAAAATTGGCAAGGTCTTTAGAGTTAGAGTTAGCAAGTCCGGCCTCCATCCTGTGGTAAGGCAAGGCCTCTCAATAATGCCCAGGACAGACTGTCATCCAGCCTGGGCTTGAATACTTCCAAGGCAGAAGGCTCACCACCATGCTAAGTTATAATCCATTCTGCTTTTGAGCAACTTGGCTATGAATGTCTATAATGACCTGATGTATGGCTTCCTGTAGTATCTCACCCCTCTCCCCCTTCCTTTTTTTAAAAAAAGATTTTATTTATTTATTCATGAAAGATACAGAGAGAGGCAGAGACACAAGCAGAGAGAGAGAAGCAGGCTCCATGCAGGAAGCCCGATGTGGTACTCGATCCTGGGACTCCGGGATCACACCTTGAGCCAAAGGCAGATACTCAACCGCTGAGCCACCCAGGCATCTCCCCCTCCCCTTTTAATTTGATATATTTTTATATCCTCCACAGGCTATGGTATATATGAGACACACCATTTCACCTCTGTTGAGACTAGAGGCCAGTGCCCTTACTGCCATTCCCAGATCTTTGTTCTATGTCGGGTTGCAGGGTAAATGTCGCCTCAGAGGACTGACTCGCTGTTCCATGCCTACCCCACAATCACTTTGTGACACATCATCCTATGATTTTCTTTATGGTACTTACCTCTTGAAAAAATCAACTTGTTCCTGTATTTGATCTCTTGCTTATTGCTGTCCCTTACCCATTAGAACATAAGTGCCATCAGAATAGGAATCTTGTCTGTCTTGTTCACCATTTCCCAAGCACTTAGAAGAATGCCTAGCCCATAGCAGCCACTCAGTAAACACTTGGTGAAGCAATGAATGAAGAAAGGAAGGAATCTTCGGTACAATACTCTATAGAGAGGTGGACGTCATCCACCCTCTGAGAAGCTCATGACCATCCAAGGTGCCATATTCCCCAACTCTCCTTCTAGTGGGGGCTTCCTGAAACATCTCCTAGTGGCCTTATTTTTACTCCTTGAGGCCCATTCAGGACGAACCTTCTACAGGGTAGTCTATGACATTTCTGAAGACTGTTGCTCACACATAGGTGATGGAGACCTCTCTACACCCACAACACGGGAGAGACCAGTTAGAGTTGGAGGAAGACGGTTCTGGGAACTGTTCATGCTCCCACAGGATCCAGCCCAGCACAGTGTGTGAGGATAGAACTTGATGATGGAACTGGGCACGAGGCAAGGGAGGGATCAGAACCAAAGGATGCTGCATGCTTTTGGATGCTGGACAGGTGGGCAGGATGGGCCCAGGGCTTTCAGGGATTTCATGAGATAGACTGGGAAGGAAGGCCACTCTGGTGGGGAACAGAGAGGAGGGAAGAGTGCCAGAAGCTGGGGAGATGAAAGCCCTAGCTAGTGGAAAACAGCCCTTGGAAAGGGCATGGAGTTGGAATGAGGCTGGAAAAAAACTGGTAGAAAGAAGTTCAATGGGGGGAATTCAGTGATTTCCTGGCCCCATGATCCTCTAGGGAGAGGACAAAGGTTGGCACTCGATGAAAAGCAGTGGAGCCTAGGGCTCACACCGGTCCCAGCTTCCCCAGAATGCTGGGTGACGCTGGGCAGGCCATCAATCCATCCCCCGCCGGCCCCCCTGCAGTGAGGGGTGTGCCTCCCACCCTATGCGAGAACAAACAAAACCCTCCAGGGGGAAGAATTTAGGGAGAAAAGACCACAGAAGTCTAAGTGTGGCTGACCCTCGAGGATCTGCATCAGAGACTCAGGGAACACCACCTGCCCTTAACCCTGCTTAATTCTGGAATGTTATTAGTCATTCGATAGTTGTTGGGTTGCCTCTTGGATCATTTTTTTGAAGGATTACATTTGTCTCCTGAACTCCTATTTAGCTCAACCTGCTGTTTAAGTAAGCTAGCCTTTCCTGCAGATGCCAAACATTCTGCACCATGTTTGCCCAATCCTGTACCTTTCAGCTCACGTGTCACTTCCCCGGGGAAGCCTTATCTGACCCTATCCGAGGTCTGGTTCCCCCTTACATTCTCCACTAGAACCTGGTCCCTCTTCATCATGGCACTCATCACAGTTTGCAATTACGCACTGATTTTAATCATTTTTAAATTGATGTTTGTAGCAGGCCACTGCCAGGCTCTGTCCTCGATCCTCTTTCTTTCTAATTTTACACATTCTTCCTGTGGGATTTTATTGACTCTAGAGGTTTCATTTATGTTAACACCCCAGCCTGTATCTCTAGTTCATTCTCTCTCCAGACCTGATGTATGTATAATTGCCTATTTATAATTTATAAGCTTCTCAAACTCCTAAACCATTATATTTCTCTGTGAACTTGCTCTACTTCCTGAATGCTCCATCTTGGCTAAAGGCATCAGCACCTGGCCAACTACCCAGGTTAAAAACCTTGGAGTCATCCTGCCTTTCTCTCTCCCCTTACCCATGACACATCACATTCTGCTGAACCCAAGTCTCCCACCGTGGCAGGTGCCTTTCCTCACCCCATCACCACCACTCAGTCCACCGCCTGAGAAGCTCAAACAGTTTTACAACTGTCTCTTCCTACTCTGGCATTTCCTCTGCATTGCCATCAGCACCATCTCCCTAAGAGCACATCTAAGGACATCATGGCCCCGTTTGAAGTTCCCTCTGTCCACAGATTAGAGCCCAAACTCCTCAGCGTGGTTCACAAGGCTCTGAACCCCACGCTACTACTCCATTTTCACCATTGCCATATCTGCCTGGTCTGTTGTCCTCTTTATTTAGCCTGATTTTACCTTAGCCTGACTCTGAATACCTGGCTTCTAGCAAAGTCCTACCTGTCCTTTACATCCCCGCTTAGATTTCTAGTGGTCAGAAAAGATTTTCTTGACCCTCAGAGGTAGTGACAGTCCCTTTCTCTGCACTGGTCTTTTAGCAATTTGTTCATCCCTAATCATTTTGATTGTGGTCTGGTGTGGTGGTTCTGGATCTAGACTGTTACATGCGTAACCTTGGGCATATCACTTACCTGCTTTTTTGATCTGTGCCTCAGTTTCCCTGTTAAATAAGGATGATAATAGGATGGTTGTGGGCTTTAAATGAGCATGCATATATCTTAGAACAGTGCCACACACCAAGCAAGCCTGTGGGACATGTCTGCTACTATTGTTATCATTTGTCAGACTCCAAGTTCCCCCAAACCAGAGATCTCCTATCCTAGCCAGATTCCTGGAAGCCTCTGAAGAAGGTTGAACAAATGTTATTGAATAAACCAACCAATGTTGATTGAAAAATGGTGGTTGGCCAGCCCTAGGAATGCAGCTATACCCAGATCCTGGGGATCATACTTCCCTGATACCAAATCACTGGTTGGGAACAGATGTCACCTACCTCTTGGACTGTCTGTGCAGGGTGAATCCGGAGGTTGATTATGGCCTGGGCCATCGGGGGGATGACATTCATCTGGAGAGAGAATCACAAACCCTGGCCTGAGCCACATAAGCTCCACCCTCTACTCACCCCCCCCCCCCCCAGCAAAGGCCAACTACCACCAGTAGAGAAAGAGGAAGCCATTGATTGAAAGGTCCAGGGCTTCATTTTTAGTTGGCCCTTGTCTCCTCTGGGCCCTTGACAAGTGGTTATGTTCAGAACTAGAGATGTGTCTGTGCATTAGGCCAGATCTCCATGCTTCTTGGTCCCGGTGGGTTTCACTGAGAACTTCTCAGAGCAAGACTGTTTTCTCCAGGACCACACAGACATCTCTCTTCTGGCCCCATGCAGCACCACTGGCACTGTGTGCACTCTCTTCCTCAGGGCGCCCTGGATATGCCTCTTGCACTTTACTGCTTACTCAGGCCAGGGCACCCAGAGCCTCTGCAGGCCCCCGTCACGGTGTGTTTGAACCCCGAAGGGGATGATGACAGTGATTTCCCACTTCTAATTGCAAAATTTGATTCTGTTCTCTGCTTGATCAGGAAGAACCCAAGACTAATCAGAGAAGAGAATTAGACTCTGAGTGGATTTTTTTCCTCAGAGGCCATAATAGAACGGACTCCAACTCTGAATCTTTCTCTGAACTGGTTTGGTGCAAAAAAGCACTAGATCAGGGGCAGGAGAGCTGGGCTATTACAAATTAGCCGTGTGATTTTGAATAATTATGACCTGTTTGTGCCTCTGTTTCCCGACTGGCAATGGGGATGATGGTACCAGGAGGGCTGTGAACAGGATCAAATGGAATAACAAATGTGACAATGGACAGATAAAAATTTTATGGACAGATAAAATGGCATTCACATGCAAGGACACAGTATTATTATTATTTCAGTGAGCACTCTAGACAGCTGGTGAAGACAGCTCAGGTCTGGCTGACACTCTGTCCAGTTAAGTTATGGCAGGAATTGAGGTGCCATTCATTGTACTCAACCTGGGCTCCAGATGACCAGACCTCCACAAGGCCATCCTGTATGCTAGGTAAGGTGGCATTCCTTCAAGTAGTGCTGGTAGTCATTGGGAACAGTCTCACTTCTCTCAAGATTTCAGAAAGTCATAGGCCCAAGCTAACCAGTGTGGCTGTGGCTGTGGTTTGTTCCTTTAAACAGAGATGCCCCTTAGTGGCCAATCCAACTGGAAGTAGACCAATTTGCCAAAAAGTAGTTCTTGGAAAAGAAAAATCTATCAAAGTAATAATGCACTCAAAATTTATTTCTACGAGTGAACTTCATATAGAATTCATGTTTGTCAAGACTACCCAGTATTTAGTGTGTTTTGGGAAATGACTAATATCTGCCTTTAGATGTTGTATATGTAGATTTTATAAATTGTGAGTGAGTTTCTCTCTTTTGACTCAGGGGAGCATGAGGGGAAAATACATTAATCAGTCATTAAATGTGTTAGATGAATAAATCTTCCAAAGTGTGATAAAGAGTAATCAAAAGATCCTTGACAGGTAGAAAAGTTAGAATCTTAGGCTACATGACCAAAATGCTAGGTAAATATGTAACAAGTTGAATGAGTATAGTTCACAAAAATTAACTTCCAAATAACCCCCTTCATACTAGTATAATTTTTTTTTTTAATGGTTGTGTTTTTTTTTTAAGGAGTACAGACACAAGGCAGCTGAGAGGGGCCATGGACACTCCCTAAAAGGCACATGTACAAAATCTGGCCAGAAATTTCAGAGGGTTTGTAGACCTCGGTTGGTACACGTGCTCTTGAGGATTACCCAACTGATAGCACTGTACAGTTCAGCCCTGGGCCTTCCTATTATTCAAACTATAATCAGAGAAGGAAGAAGGGGCCAGGAAATAAAGCCAAAGGATAGAGGGGTGGGTGTAGGGAGGGAAAGGTGTAGGGGATGATCTAGGAGATGTTACCTTGACTCCTGCATTGAACATGGTGAGTGCCATCGTGGTCCTGACCAGTGCATTGGTTATGTAATTCCTCTCCATTAACCTAAAGCCAAAAGACTAAGGTCAGACATTAGGAAGAACTTCCCAATGTGGAGAAAGAATGGGTTGGAAGATCACCCACTTTCCTGAATCTTTTTTTTTTTATTTTTTTTTAATTTTTACTTATTTATGATAGTCACAGAGAGAGAGAGGGAGAGAGGCAGAGACACAGGCAGAGGGAGAAGCTGGCTCCATGCAGGGAGCCCGACATGGGACTCGATCCTGGGTCTCCAGGATCACGCCCTGGGCCAAAGGCAGGCGCCAAACCACTGCGCCACCCAGGGATCCCTCACTTTCCTGAATCTTGAAGACCTTTAAGACTAGGAGGGACATCCTATATATGGATTAGGTGTAGCATTTGGTGGCTAAGGGATGATAAGCTAAGCCAGGGAGAGGGGACTGAGTAGGTTTGGTTTGGAGGATGAGAGAGAAGGAAAGATAAAACTTTACCTGCTTACAAGGGGCCCAAACAGCCATAGGTTTCTCAAGACAATATTGGCAGGAAAAGGGAACTGAAAAGCAAGAAACCAGGTCATCAGGATTTCTGAGGGGTCAGCATAACAGGGTCACTGTACCTGAGGCTCGAGTCTCTCCCTGCTTTAGATCTGCCTCGAGGGCCCTCAGTGGCAGCCTCAAGGATGATTGAGAACCGGCTCCCAAAGGGTGCCTGGATGTGTCAGGTCTTAGGGTCTCAGAGAAGCACCAACACCCCCGGGAAGAAGTCAGATCCTATGTCTCGGCTCAGCCTCTAGCTGAAAATAGGTGAGCATGTGCATAGCACAGGTCAGCAGTGGGCTCTTCTATTCTGGAAACTACTTTTCTGCCCCTCTTTCTTTCTCTTCCACAGCTGACCAGGGGTAGTGAGGCTCCTTTTCCTACCTCATTTGCCAGTTCCTGCAATGTCGTTTTCAATGGCCCACTTCCAAACATGTTCGGCAGTGGTGTCTGCTCCAGGCTGGAAGAGAAATGGAATTCTCAGGACTTTCCCCAACCCCAGTTAAAGATCAGCAATCTGAAGGGAAGAAGAAGGGAGACAGGGTTTTTCAGCAGGTCTGGCCAGGAGGTCTGCCATTTACCTTCTATCACCACCGATCCACCTGTTTGGAGATCTCAAAACACAAGCAGGATTACTTCTAGATGCTGTCCCTATCTACCAAGGCCAAGTAGGCACCACTCCTTGTCACCTACCACACTGTAGCAGAATTATCAGTCTCTGCTGCTAACTGTGAGTTCCTTGAGGAAAGGGGCTGTCTGTTTCTTTCTACTGCTATATGCCCATCACTGGGCACAAAGCCTTAAACATTGGTAGAGAATACCCATATTTAACTGAATTAATATAGTTCTTCTTCCCACTTTGCTAAGAAAACCCAGCTGGAGGTAAGCTTTGCTGTTACAGACCTTGCTGTGCTCACCCACAGCCTGCAGCCCTTACATCCTGACCTAGCGTTTATGGGCCAGCTCTTGCTTACAATATGGGTTGATCCTTTTCTGACCCCTGACCCCTGCCTGGGTACTGGTGGCTCTGTCCTTCCTGCAGCCCCCATTGTGGTTTCTCAGCCCAGCTTCAGGGCAGGAAGCTTAGCCTCTTCAAACCCAAAGTGGGAAAGGGCCATGTCCTCCATCCCGAGTCTGGCAAGGGAGCAGGGCCCATGTTGCTTACCGGCTGATAGCAGCTGCGAGGATGCCAATGCTTGTCTCCTTGGGGGGAGCTGAGGAGTGGCCCGGAGTCATGTTTACTTGCAGCTTGAGGTCAATCGCACCCTTCTCTGAGACTGCGATCCTGCAGCAGAGATCAGAGAGGGTCCTCCTAACTTCCTCCCACCTTGAATTATCCCATGAGCCATGACCCACCTGCACAGTGGTCTGCTGGTCTAGCAGCTTGGCTTCATAATGCTTTAAAAAATCTACACTTGAAGAGAAAGGGAAGGGGGAGCCCAAAACTGGTCCGAGTTCAGGGCCAGAGGAGTAAAATAAAGAGTTGTCTCAGTATGGCTTACAGATGCCAGGCTGGGGTCATCTGAAGTGCGGTGAGAACACCTTCTAAGGTGGGGGATAGGGTACTGTACTCACATGGCAAAGGGCTTCTTGAGGTAGGGAATGAAACCATCCAAGATGAAGTTACCCTCGTCCACAATGAAGGCTAGCTTGACACCCCTTGCCTGTAGCAGGGCTGAGATCTTCTGAGCCCCATTCTGCCCTGACACCTGCAGACATTGAACCCATGGCCATTGTCCTTCTCAGACAGACGTCCAATAGCTAATGGAGACCCACTGAACATAGCTAGGAGCTCCAGAATCTCCCTGCCCTATCTCCATCCTGCGGGGTGAGGGAGGGAGAGGAAGGGGCCTAGACAGTCTTGCTTCACAGAACCCTGGAAAGTCACAGCTGGAAGGGCCAAACTGCCCTCATTTCACAGATGAAGTGACAGGCCCAGGGTCAAAGTAAGTGACATCACTGGAAATAAAACATTGATTCCTTGCTCCCTGTTGGTTCTCTTACTATCACACCCATGTTTCTCAGAGTGTCACTGCTGCCTCAGATAATACCAGGGAGTTTGTTAAAAATTCAGATCTATGCCTATCACTAAATGAAAGAAGCCAATCTGAAAAAGGCTATATACTGGATGACTTTCTGGAAAGTCAACTATATGACATTCTGGAAAAGGCAAAACTAGGGACATAGTAAAAAAATCCGTGGTTTCCAGGGACTGGGAAAGGGAGAGGGGGATGAATAGGCAGAGCACAGAGGATGTTTGGGGCAGTGAAACTCCTCTTTATGAAACTATAATGGTGGATCCATGTCACTATACTATTGACCAAGTCCACAGAATGGATGCCCAGAGTAAGCCCTAATGTAAACTAGGGCTGTGGGGAGTTATGATGTATCAATGTAGGTTCTTCAGTTGTAACAAATACCCCTCTGGTGGGGATGCTGATAATGGGGAGGCTGTGCATGTATGGTAGGGGCATAAGGGAAGTCTCTCTACCTTCTCAGTTTTACTGTGAACCTAAAACTGCTCTAAAAAATAAAACCTTTTAAAAACAAATTCAAATCTGTGGCACCGGGTCCGGGAATCTGCACTTTGGTCAAGGGCCTTAGATAGTTCCGGCGTGTGGATACCCATAGGAATTGGCAAACCACCACACCATATTCTGGAGGCCCTACAGCTGGGGAGCAAACTGGACTGGAGTGCACCCCTCCACTCCCACCCTAAAGAGGGGTTCTAGAGATGGTTTATGGGGTGAAGAGGTTGTACCTCCTCATCATGGCCCAGAGCAATAAAGAAAGATCTTCGAGGGATGTAGTTTCTGATCAGCAGGAGCTCCAGGGCCTGCAGGATTGCCTGGGGGGTAGAAGCACAAGGGAAGAGGGAATATCAAGGCATCAGTAACATTCAGCTGCCTGCATCAGGGCTGGTGGGGCTAGCATCAGGCTGTCTTTAAAGAGAACAAATTCAAGTGGCCCCTGGGGGATGGGATGTGAGGAAGCATAAGCTCCTTTACCACCTGGAGAAAAGCATAAATGTATCAGTGTCAGAGCTGAAAGGGTCCCTGGATATCACGTACTCTAGTCCTTATTTCATAGTTGAGAAATCGAGACCCAGAAAAGGATAGTAACCAAGTGATAGCTGGAACCCACGTCTCCTGAAGCCAAGGTTCTTTCTACCGTAACCTCCTGCCTCCCAGGGGTCAGCAGAACATCCCCATCCTGGGTGAATCCTTAGTGCCCCAAAGCAGAGAAAACAGGGCATTGCACACCATCAAAGAGTTCTTGTTGTCCAGTGTGCCTCGGCCATGGATGAAGCCATCATGCTCCAACCCAGAGAACGGAGGCACCTCCCAGCCTTCATCAGGGGCAGGCACCACATCACTGTGAGCCATCAGCATGTAGGGCTGCAAGCTGGGGTCCGAGCCTTGGACAGTGAGCAGGTGGCTGTACTCTCCTATGACTTCATGTTGGATAAACCTAGTTTTGAAAATTGTAGGAAAGACTGGAGACAAAGGGATGAAAGGGGAGAGAGAAAGCCAGATTTAACAATTTCCTTTGGTTTTCTTACCATTTAATAAAAAATGTCCACCTGTCCTCCCACCCCTTTTTAAAAAGGTGTAGTGTCCTATAGGAAGCCTTCTGGAACAAAGCCAGTCTGATTCCTGATTTGCACAGACAATCTCTAAAATTCCTCTTCCTCATATTTAAGTGTGCTACTACTACGTGACAAAGTGCATATCAAGATTCCATCATGAATCTTGAATCTAATAGATCAAGATCTGGCTTGGTCTGATCTGTAACATTCACATCACAAGTATGTGCTGCAGGACTATACAGATGACGAGTGTGTGTTAAATTTTAAATACACTAGTCCCCAAAATCCAAATTATTTGGAACCAAACATGACCCTTATATTACAAAGAGAGAGAGAGAGAGAGAGGGGAGAGAGAGAGAGAGAGAGAGAGAGATTAAAAAAATACTCCTGTGTGTGTCATACAGAGGGAAGATTGTTCTGTCTAGCACAAGGCCACACTTACGTGTGTGGGTATGGATTCTCTCAGGGTCAATTACTCAGGTTACAGACAGTGTTAGCGAGGGGGCCACTTGATGTGCCCAGGCCAGCTCCTCCAACCCCAGATAACTTTGGAGGGGCTGTTTTTTTCTTTTATTTAGGAAGAGGGCCTCACTACTCTCCAGGAGCTTTCCATGCAGGGAGTGGGGAGTTGCAAGTCTCCTTTTTCTTCTTGACCCATCCCTTCTTGGACTCACATGGGGGTGAGGAGCTGATATGGCAGCTCAAAGTCGCTGACTGCCTCGAAACGCAGAAACGGGCCTGTAAAGAATCTGGGGAATGGCCTGCATGGGTGGAGTGTGTACATAGGTGTGTAGGTGTGTGTATGGAGGTAGGGGTGGGAGGAGCATGGAGTATAGTTCCAGAAGCTTGCACAGGAAGAAGGAATTCCTAGTCCTATCTTTTTTTTTTTTCTTTTTTAATGAGTATAGTTGACACACAATGTTACCTTAGTTTCAGGTACACAACTTACTGATTTGACAGGTTTATCTATTATGCTGTTCACCACAAGTGTAGCTACCATCTGTCCTTATACATGGCTATTAGAATATCACTGACCCTATTCTTTATGCTGTGCCTTTTAATTCCTTTCTTAGTCCTAACTTTTGATTATATATTTATTGACTGTTATATATTTAGGGCAAAGATCGGGAGAGTTCAAACTCCAGCCCAACAGTGTGCCTTAGTGTTTCAAGGGCCAAATAAATCTATAGTCTCTACCCTGCCTCCATTCTGACTCTTAGAGAGCTTGTATTCCTCCCCACTGTGTATAAACTCAAAATACGCCCACAGAAATTTTTACTGTCCTCTGGTCAGTAACAAAAGAAGCTTCTTTATCACTTTGTAAGAGAACTGTGCTCCCACCCCTTTCCACAGACTGTGGCTGACCTGTACGAATGAATTCTCCAAACTCGGCCAGGGCTGTAGTGTTAATGTCGTCGGGGCTGAAAGACACTGTTGGAATCTGGATGGCACCTGTCAGAGATAGAGAGCCATGGGAGAGTACAGTTGATAACAACCACTGGTTTCACCACAGCCCTCTGTGCATAGAGTTCTTTTGCGTTCATGATCTTATTGTGGGAGGCAGAACAATCCTAGGAGGTAGGCACTGCTATGTTCTCTAATTTGAAGGGAGGAAAACAAGCCTAGAGGGGTGAGGGGAGCTGCTCAGGGCTGTCCTGAAATAAGCAGCAGAAATGGGATCTATAAACCCAGGTCTTTCAGGTTTGGTTAGACTAATATGGGTCTTAAAGTCCAAGATGGATGTGGTTTGAGGGGAGGTGGACAGGAGTAAATTTTGGACTTTGGCCCTAAGTGGGGAGCTGCTATAAATTGTTTCTAAGCCTCATTCTACCTCTGAAACTATTATCCTTTCAATGAACCAGAGGAGCCCACCATTCTGGGTCCCTACATGAATGAGGCTTTATGTGCAGAGAGTAGGCTTATTCCTCATGGACTGGCTCATCCAGAGTCTTGCTGATTTCTCAGCCAATGCCAGCTTTTTGGGCACATGATGCCTGGGAAGGGGTGGATATAGGAGTTCCCAAACCAACTCCTCAGTCCTCAATAATCTTCTCCACTTTACCCAGATGCCTCAGTTCCTGAATTGCTATTAGGTTTATCCCTTTGAGCCATGAAGGCTTTACACTTTTTTTTTTAAAGATTTTATTTATTTTTTTCATTAGAGACACAGAGAGAGAAAGAGGCAGAGACATAGGTAGAGGGAGAAGCAGGCTCCCTACAGGAAGCCCGATATGGGACTCAATCCCGGAACTCCGGGACCAGGCCCTGAGCCAAAGGCGGATGCTCAAGCACTGAGCCACCCAGGAGTCCTGGCTTTACACTTTAAAGAGATTCATTATTAAATGCAAACACCAGGGATCCCTGGGTGGTGCAGTGGTTTAGCGCCTGCCTTTGGCCCAGGGCGTGATCCTGGAGACCCGGGGATCGAATCTCACATCGGGCTCCCGGTGCATGGAGCCTGCTTCTCCCTCTGCCTATGTCTCTGCCTCTCTCTCTCTCTGTGTGACTATCATAAATAAATAAAAAATTAAAAATAAATAAATGCAAACACCAATGGGAGAGGAAATGCAATAAATTATGAGAATGTTTGATTAGATATTCCAAAACACACTAGGAAGAACAAATGCATCTAGGCAGTGCATTTGTCAAGGGTGGGCTGCTGAAACACAAACTTAGCTCTGTAATCAGTTTTGCTCAGGATCAACCCTACATCACAGCCCACCACATAGATGGGGAAGTCAAGGTTCAGAAAGATGAATCTATAGGAGACAAACTCAAAATCTGAACTCAAATGTTTTGCCTCCTGCTCACACTTGGAGCAGGAGGCATGTGGCTATATAGGTATATATAGAGGCCGTACAGTATATATAGGCCATATAGCCATATGGTTATAAGGTCCCTACTTTGGGTTCTTTAAATAAGAAAGCTTTTGCTTTCTCCTGGGTGAAAAGACACTGGTGAGCAGCTGCCTACTGGCTTTCAGAGAACTCACTATTTGTTCTATGCTTTGGGAAAGCTCTGCTCTGCCTCCAGACCAATCAATCCCTCAGGCACATGCACAATTTATATTCAATCACGAGGGCTAGCTTTTGATCCCTGCGTCCGGCAGCACATGTTTATGTAGGCAGTTTCTTTTAATTCATTATTTAATGAAAGGGGAAAAGACTGGAGCTAAGCCCAATGGTGAGGAGGATCTCATTATCCCATAGGATCTAGTGCGCAACAGAACCTTTCCTGTTTTCTCCTGGAAAATGCAGACTGAGAAGGCAAATGAGTTTTTAACCTTGGTTTGAGGTCTAGGGGAGAGATGTCTTTTAATTAGAAGAGGACATTTGGAACATCTCACACGTCTCCTGGTGGAGTTCCCCGGAGCTGGGTGGATCCTACAGGTGACAGATGTTATCACCCAGTGCTCACTCCTTGCTTGTGAGGTCCCTAGGGAAGGTCATTCAATTGACCTAAGCTTCAATTTCCCTCCACTGTAGGTAAGATTAAGATAATTTAGTCTTGGGCAGCTTGGGTGGCTTAGCGGTTTGGTGCCGCCTTCGGCCCAGGGGTGATCCTGGAGTCCCAGGATCGAGTCCCGCGTCGGGCTCCCTGCATGGAGCCTGCTTCTCCCTCTCCCTGTGCCTGTGTCTCTGCCCCTCTCTCTGTGTGTATGTCTCTCATGAATAAATAAAATTAAAAAAAAAAAGATAATTCAGTCTTAAGATATCCCGGAGATTTAACACAAGTCAAAACTTTCGAAGGTTAAGGGTACAAATAAAAGCTATTGCAAAGCCGGGGTTAGGCTGGCGAAGGCCAAGGCATCGGGGAGATGGTGGAGCTCGGGCAGGATCCTGGCGAGGCAGGGAGCACCGGAGTCCCCAGAAGCCAGTGGCGTCCCCACGCCGGGGCGCGAGGTGCTGGGGCTCGGGCTGGGGAGTGCGGTGCGGCTGCAGGTCCAGTGGGGCGGCAGAGGGACCGACCTATACCCGAGCATCGAGCATCGCTGGGCGAAGGGACCCGGCTCACCTTTCAGCGCTTCCTTCATGGCGAAGCGCTCGCCTTGGCTGAACTGAGAAGGGATGTGCTGCTCCCGGCCCATCACTCTGGACATGGTGGAGACGCCTGGCAGCAGCACAGACGCCAGAGCCAGCACGCAGACGCACTGGGGAGCCATGCTAGTCTCCAGTCTGCAGCCGGAGCCTGGACCTGCACCACCAGCCCGCGTCAGTGGTCCTGTCCTCTCTCCAATTCCCGCAACTGCCTTAGTCCCGCCCCCTCCCCAGGCCGGGCCAATCGCCGCTTGCCGGGAGCTGCGGAACAGCCAATGAGGGGACGGCTCCGCCCAGGGCCGCAGGGCCTCTTGGGAGTTGTAGTTTTCCCCCGCGGGGCAGGCGGAAGTGGAGCAAAGGTGAGCGGTCCGGGTCCGCGTCGGGTTTTACGTGCGCTTGACCTGCTCCGAGGTTCTCAGAATCCCTTGCTGTAGGACTCGTCACATAAAAGGCGGGAAAGGCTAAATAAAATCAGCAAAGCGTATCAGACTTTAATCTGCTTCTCACTTCTGAAGTTTAGAACTTGATGACCGGTCCCCCAGATCCGGGGTGGGGTGGGGGTGGGGGGGTGGGGTGGGTGCGGGAGCCTTCTGGGTCCCTGGCTTTATTGAACCTGAAATTGAGACAGTATTACCTTATCTATAGACGCTACTTTGAATGATCAGTTCAGAGGGCTTGCTCCTCTTTAGGAATTCGCTGAAAGTGGTTTGTTTGTTTTTTTTTTTAAGTGTTTTTGATATTAATGTAAACGCTGCATTTTTTGCGACTCTCTGCAGATACTAGAGTTTTAGAGGCAAATACTGAAGGATTTTGAGTAAGATTGTTTTAGTAATTTTGATGTGTTTAATAAACTGAAATTTCATAGCTGTTCAGAGTAAAGGATCATTTTGGAAAAATAAAACCTTAGGACGCAGAGAATAAAATGAGGTTTATTGGAACCAGAAAAAAAAAATTGCTTTTAGATCCCTTGATGCAATTTAATTGGCCACCAGTCACATATTTTAGAATTCTCTAGAAAAAAAAAAAACAATAGTAGGGCTGCATAGCTACTCATGACCAAAGCTGCAAATTCATATTCCTGGTGTTTGCCAAAACTCAGAGAGGGAGTGCTTTGCTCCCTTTCAGTACTCCTCCTCCTCCTCCTAAAAATAATTGCCCCAAACAAAAAACTACAATCATATATTTACTTTTCAATAGCAATCAAAAAACACTATTATGAAACATTTCATACATACAGAAAGGTGTAAAGAATAATATAACGAACATTTTTGTATTCACCACTCAGCTTAAGATATAGAACATTAGAGTTGAAATGAGTTTTTAAAAGTATAAACATTGGGGATGTGGCTGAGTTGGCTGAGAAATCAAGCATCTGATCTTGATTTCTGCTTGGGTTATGATTTCAGGATCGCAGGATCAAGCCCTAAACTTATCAGGGAATCTGCTTGGGATTCTCTCTCACACTTTCTCTCTGTCCCTCCACCACTCCTAAAATAAATAAATAAATTTTTTAAAAAGTATGCACATCAGCAGAATTTTTAGTACAAAGTGGCTTAATGTCTATCCAACTTCAAAACTGTTATGATTGCACAATTAATATAGCACTTAGGCCCTTGTGAATTATTTGGAGAATATCAGAAAGTATAAAGAAAACAAATCATACTTCTTACATTGTTAGTCCTTCTTGTTTCCTTGCTTAGTAAATCCTTCTCTATTTCAAGGTCGTAAATAAATGTTGATGTGTCATCTTTTAAAAGTTTTAAACTTTTGCCTTTTATATGAAAAATAAAAAAATCACTATCCAGAGACATTCACTCATAGTATTTTGATGGGTTATTCGCGGTTTTTTCATGCCCTCCAATACTCACATATAAGGTGTATGTCTGTTTTATTTTTATTTTTTATTTTTACAAGGTTAGTAAAGTCTTTAATTTCATACAGACAAACTCTATGTATAATTTTTTGAAAAATATTTTACTTATTTATTCATGAGAGACACAGAGAGAGAGGCAGAGGGAGAAGCCGGTTCCATTCAGGGAGCCCGATGTGGGACTTGAACCTGGGACCATGGGATCATGACTTGAGCCAAAGACATGCTCCACCGCTGAGCCACCCAGGCATCCCAAATATGTTGTCTTTTAAAAGACATAAACTTGGCAGCCCGGGTGGCTCAGCGGTTTAGTGCCGCCTTCAGTCCAAAGCATGATCCTGGAGACCTGGGATCGAGTCCCATGTCAGGCTCCCTGCGTGGAGCCTGCTTCTCCCTTTGCCTGTGTCCCTGCCTCACCCTCTCTGTGTCTTTCATGAATAAATAAATAAAATCTTTAAAAAAAATAAATAAAACGTTTAAACTCTTACAGAAAAGTTCTTACTCCATCTGGAATGGACTTTTTGTAAATGATATAAGGTCAGGGTCAAATTTTATTTTTTTTCCAGTTAGATAACTGATTTTCCCAACACCATTCCTTAAATATTCTGTCCTTTCCTGAGCTATCTGCAGTGCCAGCTGTGTCATTTACTAGGTTTTCAGATGTGAAAGGGCCTGTTATGGGACTACTTTTTTGTATTGGTTTCTTTGTTTATTTCTATGCTAATATGACTGTCTTAATTATTATTATTATTTATTTATTTATTATTTATTTATTTATTTATTTTATTTAAAGTTATTATACCTTTAAAAAATGCCTCCATGTCAGGCAGAACACGGTTCTCCCTTAGGCTGTTAATGTAGTGAATCACATTGATAAATTTAAAAAATGTAAACCACCCTGGGAAAAACATACTTGGATAAGCCCACTGCTGGGTTTTCTTTTAGGATTTTTGCAGTTCTGTTTATGAATTTGATTGTGGCCTGTAGCTCTTCTTTTTAATAATGTCCTTTTTTGGATTTGGTATCAAATGTATAGCAGCCTCAGAAATCTCATTAGACAATATGGTAGAGATATCTAGCTGAACCCAGTACCCATTCTCCTTTCTAAGTAAGAAGAATCCTGAATTTTAGCTCAACATATGGCTATCTAGCTGTAAGACCACATTTCCCAGCCACTGGCTGCTAGGTTTTGCAGTATAACTACATTTAATGAATGGAGGATAAGAAGTGTTGCACGTGTTTGATTCAAGGCAGTGTTTTGTGGACATGCTCTTCTTTTTTTTTTTTTAATTTTTATTTATTTATTTATTTATGATAGTCACACACAGAGAGAGAGAGAGACGCAGAGACACAGGCAGAGGGAGAAGCAGGCTCCATGCACCGGGAGCCCGACGTGGGATTCGATCCCGGGTCTCCGGGATCGCGCCCTGGGCCAAAGGCAGGCGCCAAACCGCTGCGCCACCCAGGGATCCCTGGACATGCTCTTCTTAAATCCCTCCCTCCTGCTCAGACTTTCATGGCTGGAGCCCTAGCAACCATGTTGGACCATGATGGTGCGTTCTGTGCCAGGGGAGGGCAGAGAGCTGAGCTGCAGATAGCCTGAGTCCTTGGGGAACCAGATATATATATAATATATTATATATATAATTATATATTATATATTGTACATTATATATATGTTATACACACACACAATTGGAACAGAAATCTAATTTTTTTTTTAACAGTTCTAAAAAAGTAAAGTAATCTGGGCCTGGTGTTTTCTCTTAGTTAATAGTTAACAGACTTTCTACTGTTTTGTTTTTTTTTCTTAAGATTTTATTTACTTATTTGAGAGAGAGAGTGTGTGTGTGTGTGTGCATATGCATGAGCAGGGGCAAGGGGCAGAAGGAGAGGGAGAAGCAGACTCCTCACTGAGGGACTGGGTTCCAGGACCCTGGGATCATGACCTGAGCAGAAGTCAGATGCTTGACTGACTGAGCCACTCAGGCACCCTCTGTTTTTTTAATTCTATTTTAGTAAATTATATTTTATTAGCAATTTATTCATTTCACTTAAGATTTCAACTTTGTATGGGATCCCTGGGTGGCGCAGTGATTTGGCGCCTGCCTTTGGCCCAGGGCGCGATCCTGGAGACCGGGGATCGAATCCCACGTCGGGCTCCCGGTGCATGGAGCCTGCTTCTCCCTCTGCCTGTGTCTCTGCCTCTCTCTCTCTCTCTCTCTCTCTCTCTCTCTCTGACCATCATAAATAAATAAAAATTAAAAAAAAAAAAAGATTTCAACTTTGTAGTAGTTAAGAGCTTAAGCTCTGTAGCCAGATTCCCTGGCTTGAAATCTTAAGCTCCTGCATGTTCATGAAGTTGTGCTGAGTGTGAAACTTAATTAAAACTTTTCTGAGTCTCAGTTTCCCATCCATAAAATGGGGATAATAATAGTATGTACCTCTTGGCGTTGTTGGGAAGATTAATAGAGCTAAGACACATAAAACACTTAGAAGAGTGCATAGCTTATAGTAACCATTCAATAAACATTGATAGCTATACTATCATTACTATCTTTTTTTCCTTTGCTTTTTTTGAGTTTGTTTTCTTTTCCTAACTACCATGATTGAACTTCTGGTTTATTAATTTTCAACTGTTTTCTTTTTTTTTGAATATTTTAAGTAATTTCTGCACCCAATTGGGGGTGTGTGGGGGGGAATCAAGAGTTGCATGCTCTACTGTCTGAGCCAGCCAGGTACCTCTCCCTGCACAGTTTTGATACACAGCATTTTCATTCTTGTTTAAGTCTGTTTTCAATTTTCCATATGATCTCTTCTTTGACTCTGAGTTAATTAGAAATATCTTTTAAAAAATTCTAAAGGCAGGGGATCCCTGGGTGGCGCAGCGGTTTGGTGCCTGCCTTTGGCCCAGGGCGCGATCCTGGAGACCCGGGATCGAATCCCACGTCAGGCTCCCGGTGCATGGAGCCTGCTTCTCCCTCTACCTATGTCTCTGCCTCTCTCTCTCTCTGTGTGACTATCATAAATAAATAAAAATTAAAAAAAAAGACTTTAAAAAAAAAGAATCTTTAAAAAAAAATTCTAAAGGCATTATTTTTTGTGCAAGTTATCTTTTTGTTATTGACTTGTAGCTTCAATGCATTGTGGCCAGAGACTGTGGAAGGATACCTATTCTCTGAAATTTGTTGAGAGGTAAATGATTTAGAGCCTATAAGGTGATCAACTTCTGTAAACATTTCATGTGTACTCAAGAAGTATAAATTTTAATGGCATGTGCACAATTCAACACGTCTGCCAGATCAGGATTGTTTGCTGTGTTATTTAACTCTTTCATACCATACTATTTTTTTTTTAATCCATATGATTTATCCACCATGAGAGAAGTGTCCTGCAATCTTCCACCGTGTCGGTGAATTGGTCTTAGCTGCCTGTTATTTCCTTCTAGGACAGTGCATAGCAAGGCCAGCTTATTCTGGAGGTGAGTTGCTTTGCCTTGCTGTAAAACCACCCAAACACGGGATGCCTGGGTGGCTCAGCGATTGGGCAACCGCCTTCAGCTCAGGGCATGATTCTGGAATGCCTGGATCCAGTCCCATGTCGGGCTCCCTACGTGGACCTTGCTTCATCCTCTGCCTGTGTCTCTGTGTCTCTCATGAATAAATAAATGAAATCTTAAAAAAAAAAAACCCCACCCAAACACATGCATTTGTTCACATTTCAAAATCACTTTATTACCAAAATGAACAAAAGGAGAATGCTGTTTAAATTAAATAAATTACACAAATATCTCAAGTCCCGGGCTTCCCCGGGGATCCCATCGTCACAGGTCGGTATCACTAAGAACATTCAAAAGCATTGAAATTCTGGATTATTTCACTACCTTGCCCTCCTTTCCTGCCTCAGTCATGTCCAGAGAGTGGTCTGTTTAAATTTGCTTGTGTTCTTTTCAACATATTCCAACAGCGAGGTTTTCTTCAAAGTCTCCCTCTACCCCGTGTGTTTCCAATTTTACCTCCACTGTCTGGACACTTGGTTCAAAGGACACTTCTCCTTGGGATGTCTGAGGCTCCGTGACCTTGCCCTACCTCCTGGGCCTGAGTTGGGCTTTGGAGGAGGTGGAGTAGGAGAGGATGAGTTGTCATTGGCTAAAGTTCTTGTCCTCCTGGAATTTGGCACTTTGGGTGCTGGGCACAGTGAATCCCAGATAACATTGTCTTCTGCCTTCCAAGTTTTGAGTTCCATTGGCAGCCAGATGGCATAATGAAATCACAGAGAAGCAATGCTTGTAGGCCAAGAATCTGTTGGCTCTTTGCCAGCACTCTCTCCTTTAACTCTAAGAAGACTTGCTAGCGGATGGGCTCACTCAACACACAGACACACAACACAGGTCAGGCTGAAGTTAGGATTTGGGATGGTTTTTCTTCAGGCTGGGCCAGCCCAACCTGTCGGGCAGGGTCATTGAATTGAAGGAGCTTGGGAGGAGCAGTGGGGGAAGACCAAAAGGTTTTCTGTGTACTTCCATGGAAATTTCCCCAAATGCTTGCACATACAACCTATTTATTTTCAAGTCAGCAGTAGAGTTCCTCTATTACCCCCTCATGTACATGAAGAATATACCCCTCATCTCATCTGTCCTAGGAGAAGATGACTTCAGGTCCTGAGTTTGTTAAGGAAGCTCATGGAGGAAGCCCCAGTCTGAATCAGCCCTCTGCCACGTTCTGCACCCAGTCAGGAGATGTGGCTGGCCCTCGGGGGGCTTCTTCCCCTGCCGGGCTGAGGGATTCAGGCCCCAAGCTGATGAGGGAGAGTTAAAATCATTGGCTCTTTACCAAGTGAAAAAGCACAAGGCAGTCTTCCTAAGTGGGGGAGGCATTTCTGAAGTCAGGGGATCGGCAGGGCTCAGATCCCCCCTGTTGGCCCTAGCACCCCCTCCCCTTCCAAGTCTCTAGTACAAGGAAGGATTCCCAAAAGCTTTTATGCAGAATAACTGGCATCTGTTACTTGGTTGCCAGAGGATTCTGGTACCTACCCACCCTGTCCTTTTTGGATTCCTATCAGGTCTCAAGTAGGAGGGAGCAGCTCCTGAAGGCAGGGGGAGAGATCATGTTTCAGAGGCTGGGGCGGCTGCATTGGTGGGCTGCCCCTGGGAGGTAGCTCTGGTGGCCTTGAGGGCCTTGGCCACCCCCTAAGCTAGAGTCTCAAGTGCCGAATAGCAGTGGAGGTCCCAGCAGCCTTGAGATGAGGAGGAAGGAGTCACAGTCATCAAGACCGAGACTCCTGGGTTGTCAGGAGCACATGGTCCAAGGAGTGCACAGCTTCTTGCACAGTTGGGAAAGCTGGAGGGGGCAAGCCACAGAGTCCTAAGCAAGTTCATCCCTGTGTCCTGTGATGGCTTGACACCATCTGACACCAAGCTGTTCAGGCCCAAGGGCCTAGGCATGCTAGGTCAGCAGGGGCATACTTTTCCCTTCTGTTCTTGGCTCGCTCTTCAAGTCAGTGGTCGGGGCTGTGGGGGTCCCATCAGCTGCCTTGGGCAGGGCCTGGGTGGGAGCAGTGGGGTGAGCAGTAGGCTTTCTCATTCTGGCCAGGGCCCTGAGGGTCAGCAGGAGGGTGAAGAGGTGGCTTTCCTTGCTGCTGAGATTGGCTGGCTCTAGAGATGCCAGGAGGGAGGCAGAGGAAGGAGAAGAGGGTAGGGGAGGGAGGGGAAGGAGGAGCTGAGGTCTTGGTGGACATGTGGTCTCCTCTACGTGCCACTCCTCATGACCCCAGGCTCATTCTTCTTGGGGGTCCCAGAGGCCATGTACTCTGAAGGCAGCGTCGGGGCTGGCTGGGCCCTCACAGGGCAGTCAGGGTCTCTGCGTGAAACATACTCCCGAACATCTCCTGCAGGGCCATGGGAGGACAGGGGAGGTTAAGGCAGAGAGTTAGACTTGTCGAGTTGATGGTGGCTGTATCCATGAGGTGACCCTGTGAGCCCCTGGCCAGAGGGAGTTTCAAGAGTGTGTGTGAGTGGAGTGTGTGCACGAACAGGGGAGAGGTGGGGTCAGCCTAAGAGGTGAACTGGTACCGAGGTGACAAGAGAAGTTGCTTGGAATCTACTCCAGATCACCTCTACTAGGCACGTGAGCACGCGTCTGTCCTCCTTTTTGGCTTCATTCTCTTTGTTAGGTGACGTGAAGGGAGAGATCGGACAAGCTGTAAGGCCTTGCTTGCTCTGATAAGCTATTCTGAGCCTACCCCAGTTTTTTGGAGTGTGCTGGAGATGCCACAGGAGCACAGAAATGCATCTGCCAAATCTTCGTAGCTCCAGCTCTCCTTCCTAATGTCTCCCACACACCATCAGCACTCCCAGAGACATGTTCAGAGGACATGGAACTCAAGCCCAGAAGGAATGAGACGAGGTACAAAGTGAGATGTGATTTCTGGGCCCGAAGCCAGACTCCCCTCCACTTAGTCATCTGGGTTTCTTGTAATTCAGGGCATTGGGGTAGTGTGAGTTTTCCTTTCAGGACGACAGGGCCCTATGGGGTTACTAGCACATCCATTAGTGCTTAAGAGCTGTCTCGGTGCGATAATATTTGTACCCTTGGAATTCATCCGACCCTACCTGAACATGTAGTGTTCATATGTAGTATTCACATGCAGGAATATGTTGTATGCCCCACCTGGAACCGTGCCAGGTAAGCCGTCATTACCTATCTGTTGAATTGATGAAGGAACAAATGAATCCCTCACCTCTCCTGTGAGGTAGATGGGGCAGGTATCACCCAGACGTCCCCTATTTTACAATGAGAGAGACTGGGGCCCCATGTGTTCTGTTCTGTGTCTGTTGAAGACCATGTGTGGATGTGGCTCGGAGTTAAGAATAAATGTTAGTTCTCAAGAACCTCGTCCAGGGTCTTCCCGCCGTGATGCCTTTCGGAGAGTGAGAAGAATTAGGATCTGCTATTACAAGGAGACGAGAGAGAAACGTTGTTGCCTTCAAGGTGAGGACTCTGGCTTGGTGGGGAGAGAGCCCAGGGAGCACCTTGGGTTTGGGAGGGTCTCTTCCCGCTCCTGGCCCCCCACCTGTACCCCCACCCTTCAACTCACCTGCTCTAAGTCCCAGTAGCTGGGGCTGTCCTCCTCCAAATCATACAAGGACAGCTCGGGGTCCGATGGAGCCTGGAAAGGGTGCAGGAGGAGCTCCATAACTGAGTGACTCAGTCTGGTGCTATTGGCAGCTCCGGGTGGGCCCTGTGTTTTCTGCTGCGTGACTCACCATCTTGCTTCTTCCCTCCCCTCCCTCGTCTACCTCACAAAATGTAGCATGGGGTGGCCTGCCCCTTACAGCAGAGGGGTGCCTTAGGGTCTGCCCTCCTTTGCGGGCATCTTAGAGGCAGGGGAGGTCGGCCTAGCCAACAAGGATGATTGACTGGCCGCCTGACCTTGGGGAATCCACTTCCCTTCTCTGGGAATCTGTTTCCTCATCTGTAAAAGTAGGATAATCAAACTCACTTTGCAGGTTTTCTACCTCACCATGCTATTGAAAAGGGGTGTGTGTGTACTTTTATATATAGGAATGTAATTTGTAATAGGTAAACATAAATATATTCTATGTACACAAATTACTTTAAATATGTAACCATAATACCCAGGCATTATTTGTGCAATAACAAATAGCAAGGATTCTTCCAGAATCTCCTTCTTTTTGCTCGGTGGACAAGGCTTGTAAAGCCAGAATGCCTGTTGCTTCTGCACAGTTGTTCTCTCTAAGTGTGAAGGGCAGGCGCCAGGGCCCTGTGTTTTCCTGGGCAGTCTTTCAGCACTTAGAACAGATGGCTTCACCTTCATCAGCCTCTTATAGCAAAGAGCAAATGGTTGCTCCAGGGCCAGAGAAGCCTTTCTCATGACCCAGGGCAGGGGAGGTTTTATATATGAGGAGGGCTGGGGCACAAAGTCTTAGGAGGCCAAAGGCAGGGGCTGAGCTGGGAGGGGCCCTGGGAGTGGAGGGGGGGCATCCGGAGAGGCCTAGGCAGGGACCCTGGTGGGGGGTAGATTTTCTGCCTCTCCAGCTTTCTCTATTTGTAGCTCATTTGCATACACTTAGCGCTAGCAAATTAAATGTCAAGAAACTGAGACAAAACTTGGATGCAGCCCTCTTCATCCATCACCAGTCTGAAATCTCTGAGATCTGCTAAATTAAAACAGGCAGGCCTACTCCTCTCCCTTGCTCCTAGCCTCTTGTAGAAAGTGTGAAGGAGGAGGGCAGGTAAACCATGCCAGAGTACAGGGCATTCTCTAATATGCTTTGAGGGCTGGTGTGACTTGGAAATTAAGATTAAAGATTTTACAGTACGCAAAGAGCTTTCAAGTGACATAAAAGGCATAATTATCAGTCACTCTGCAAACAGAAGTAAAAGAAAAATGCCGTGAAGTAGGTGATGTTAACTTAGGGTGCTCGTTCCACAGACAACGGACTCTGTAATGACAGTTTCAGAAAAATTAAGTGACAGAATTGGTCTTAGAACCTACACCTTCCCCAGTGTTCTTTCTCATGCCTCTGGTCCTGCTATTTCAGTGCCCCGGGGACCTAAGGTGCAGGGACCTTACCCCTTGGAAGTCACGTCCTGGGGTCACTTCTCTGGCATTTGCCTGGGCAAAGAGGACAGCATCGTGTATGCTGGGAAAGACGTGACTGCGCTCTAGACACCCCTCTTCAAAGACACCACCGTGGCTGATGTCGTTGTACACCTGGGCTGGAGGGAGAAAAGCCTTTCAGAAAGATCACAGCCTTGAGGCCTGGAGCTGGGGGAGAGGGGAGGGTGAGAGGGAAGGGAGGGGAGGAGAGAGAGCCTGAGGGTTGGGCCCTTGGGGCATCCACAGGACAGGCCCAGCCTTGGGCCCTGCAGTATCAATCGTGGGCAGCAGAGGGCGACGTGAGCTCGGGGATGCGAAACCCTCAGCCCAGGGCAGAAGGAAGCAGTTTGAGTCGGGGAGTCGGTACTTTGTGGGGTTTGAGAGGGTAAAGCTAAACCATCCGTGAGGAGGCTGCTGTCAATTCTATTCTATCCCCGATGGGTCATTCTTCCTCTTGTTTCTCTAGACCTCTCCCTCAACCTCCAGCCTTACTTTTCCCAAATGCTAGAGATGATTTCCTGAGGACTGTGCGGTGAGGGCGGGAGCAGCCCACCGACTCTGCCTTCAGGTTCTCTCTGCGAGCAGAGTCCAGAGCTCGGGACCTGTTCAGGCTCCTACTGAAGCTGGGCAGGCCCCTGGGAGGGCTCTGTCTTTCTGCAGGAAGTGGGGTATATGTAGGCCTTCGCATTCTGTCATATGTCTGTGTGTCCATGTCCCCGGACTCTGCATATGTGTTAATGATGTGCCCTGTGGACATGCCTGCAGGGTGGGTATGTGCACCCCGTGGGGGTCTGAGTATATAAAACTGTGTGCCTGTGTGGTCCCCAGACGGTTATAGTGCGTGTGTGCTTCATGCTCATTTGTGGGCTTGCGGATTTGGAGGAAATCCCCAAAGACACCTAGTCAACCTCCTAATTTGACAGAAGTGGAACGTGACCCCTATCCATGAAGTGACTTGGCCAAGGATACAGGCAAATCAGTAGTGGGGCAATTGGAATCCCAGCTGGCCTTTTGAGATGCCAGCCCCTCACCCGACCCTGTTAGACCCTGTTACCGAGGCCGAGGCCGCTAGGGCGTTTACACAATCTGGCCACGGTCTCCTCTGACTTGTGCTTGAAGCACTTAGGAGCAGGCAGTGGCAGGGGCAGTTACAGGTGCTCTCATCTCCACCTTCCCATTCTGCCAACCTGTTCCTCCCCTCCCAACCCCGATCTTATGGTCCTCTACAGGTCCTCCTCTCACCGTGGATGTTCACCAAGAAGACGTTCACACCGATCTTGCCGTAGGTGGAGCTCAGCTGGAAGTGTTGAGGGAAGGGTATTGGGACAGGGAGACAAAAGGAAAGGAATGTTCTGACTGGGTCTCAAAAGTGATTCACAAAACGCACTTCAGAGGGGAAGCCAAACAAATAAGCAACCGCAAGAGCCCTGGCAGCCAAAGATAAAAATAGCAGCAAGGCACACCACTTCTCCCTGGAGTGTTGGCTGTCGGCTTTTCTGGAAAGCAGGACAGAAATGGGGCTATGCCAGTGAGCCGGGCACTTAAAGACCCTGTGGCCCCTTCTTATGGGGTCAGATCTTTCCTCTCAGTAGCTTAGATTCCCAGATTCCACCTCCTTCCTGACTTTGTGGCGTCAGGCCGAAGCAGTAGGGGAGGATAGAGGCCCACATGGACTCGGGGTCGAGGCCAGGGAAGCAGGCTGAGCCCGGGGTTGGGGATGCGGCCTTCGGGTACCCGGCTGATGCTCTCTGGATGATACCCAGCCTATATGCTCTCTGTACCTCTCGGTCTTCCTGGACTGCCTCTATCTGAGCCAGCTCTGAAGTTTGCTGACTCCCTACCATTGGAGGCGGTGCTGAAAAGTTATCAGATGGGCGGATACCTTTATTCAAGGTATAAATGGACTGCCTTGGTGTTATTTCTCCTTCTCTTCTCACTTGGCTGGTATTGGCTGATGGTGGAGTGTCTGGGTGAGCGTGGGAAGGAGCACGAACCAGGGCCAAGCTGGACTCTACTTGGAGGACCCTGGATGGGTTCCTGGTGGCCTGAGAGGGAACTTGGGATGGCCTCCGCCAGAGAGGGGTACTAAGGGAGGGTGGGACAGCGACTATCCCCCTGGTATCCCTGTCTGGCCACCCATCATCTTGGGCTGTCTGGGCCTGCTTTGCAGAGAGTAGCCTATCCTGGTCACATCTTGGGGAATGCTCCTTGGTGAGCTTCCTCCCTCATCTTGTCAAAACGAGGGCTCCAAGGAAAGGGAGTGTGGGAGAGCAGGGGTGAGGGTGTTGGGGTGGAGGGCGGGCCAGCCACTCCCTCTGCCTGGGGCCTCACCTTGCCTAGGGCTTTGATGCCCATCAAGTCCACAAAGCTGACCCCACTCATATCAAGGATGATGGTGTGGAAGGTGACAAAGGGTGGGACGCTGGCCAGCATCTCACTGGGCTCACTGGGGGTCTCAGCAGAGGCTGGTGCCTCACAATGCGCAGCTGGGGAGCTGTCAGGGCTGAAGGTGATGTAGGACACGCTGGCGCCATTAGCAGGAGTCTGGTTGTTGTTGGGGTCAGTCGGGGAGGCGTTCTCAAAGTCCTGCTGGAGCTCCTGGAGGGAGACAGTCTGGAGGGGGGTGGCAGGGAATTGTCAGGCTGAATCAAACTTTGCTATAGTTGAGGCAGGTGCAGGGAATGTGCAGGTGGAAATGGGCCATAACCTATATTAGCCAGAAAATGAGAAGGGGCCATGGGGCTCATTGGTTACCCCCAGCAGCTGGCATCCCCTCACCCAAGGAGAAGAACGCCCAGTGGCCACCAGGCAAGGGCTGCAGAGACTTTATGTCTTTGCCTCAAAGGGTGCTGGAAAGTGGGGCACCAGGGGGCAGGCACCGAGAGGGTAGGCTGTTCCTAGCATCACTTCACCTTGGTTTTCATAAACAGAGACTTCCTCTGTTGTGTGGGCATCAGCTTCCCCTTCTCCTGCTTCCTGAGGTATTTTTGCTTGGCCAGCAGTACTTTCTGAGGGTCTACACCTGTCTGTAGGGAGAGAACCAATAGCAGTTCGGACCTCCATACTCTTTGGAGGTGACCTGCCTCCCAGCCCCCTTTCTCCCATCTTCTGGTGACTCTCTGCTCAGCCCCTCTGGTCACCAAAGATCTGAGCCCTACCTTGGCAATGATCTTTTGCCTGAAGATCTCTGAGTTGGCAAAGTAGAGAGGGGAGCAGTAAGTGACAATCTTAACCCCCTCGATTTCCCGGACCTGTGGCAGGGAGACAGAACTCAGGTGGCAGCAACGTCTTTATTTTTAAAAAAGATCTTATTTATTTATTCATGAGAGACACAGAGAGAGACAGAGACACAGGCAGAGGGAGAAGCAGGCTCCCTACGGGGAACCTGATGCGGGACTCGATCCTGGGACCCCAGGATCATGCCCTGAGCCAAAGGCAGATGCTCAACCACTGAGCCACCCAGGTGCCCCAATGGCCTTGTCCTTTTTCAACCTTCTTTTATTTGGGGGTGGGAACAGGGCAAAAGAGAGTGATTGTAAGTTTGGATTACTTACCATATTATAGGTCTTGGGATTAACATAAATGTCAGTGTCCATGACCTGGGCCAAAGCATAGCCATTTCGACTGGATGAAAAAAGAAAAGAAAAAAAATAAGAGCATGCTAATAGCAAATGGGCCTAGGAGGATGACAGGGTGGGAGCTGGGGCAGAAGCAGAGTGGAATGGGGTCCTTTCTTTATCCCCAAGCATGTTGTGTTGGTCGTTCTGCACTGGACACACATGTCTGGTGGCCTGTGGCTGGGCTCGAACTAGAAGGATGACAGGCAGGCCCTTGACATAGCTCCCAGCCTGGGCCTCAGCACAGAGGAGAGGTGCGATACACAAGGCAGCAAGCTTAGGTGGCCCTGAAGTCACCACCTCCTGGTTATGAACTCTCAAGAAGAGAAGACAGGGCTTCCCTAACATAGATCATCCTCCCTGCCCCGGGCTGAACCCTCTTCCTCTGGTGCCCCTGGCCTGTATTCCTTAACCTTATAGGAAGGACATGGCATCTGTCTCTGGTTTGGTATTCCCCTGGGAGGGTCCCCCTTGGTCTGGGGACTGGCAATGCCTTTGGACAGACTCGGGGTCTTACCCTCCTCTTTTTCTCCTACTTTGGCCCCCAGCCCTCGGAGCCCATGAGGGCTTCTTCTGGGGATTTCAGGATATGGCGGTCTGTCGGCCCAGCCTGGGTGAGGGGCCCCACTGCTGTGCCTTGTGGGAAACTGCTACTTACAACTGAGTCTGGAAGACCACAACCAGGGCGGAGAAGGCAACGCCCACAGCCACCCCATATGGCAGGCTCAGGAAGAACGAGGAGAGGAAGCTCACCACCCAGACACACTGTGAGGAGAAAGAGATGTCAGGGCAGGCGTGGGGAGAAGGCTGCCTCTTTGGGGAGGACTTCCTGGAGTAGCCAAGGCCATTCTCTGTTTCCACAACCTCAGACTCACCCTCCCCCTTTCCATGGCATTTTTGCACTGTCTGACATATTGATGCTCTGGTTATGCTTGAGTATTTCCCTTAGGTTGAGTGTGGGTGGTGATCGTGCTTGGTTTTTAGCAGGCAACCCAACCCACACAGGGAGACAGCATGGCGCATGCTGAGGGCATGAGGGGTCGGATATGCCCAGGTTCAGACTTTCATTCTTCCACTTACTAGTTAAGTGAGCCAGGTTGCCTGATCCATAAAAGGGGAGTAATGACACCTGTTTCATGAAAGGATTAAAGAGCTAAGGCACCTAAAGGTCCTACTTAGCCTACTGATGGGCATCCAGTGGTCACTCAACAAACATGAGCTCCCTTCTCCACTAATGGGAGGCTGTGTGTTCCAGATGCATGCTCAGTGGTCTTCCCAGCCTGACAGCCTAGGGTCTGGTTGTGTGGGTCGAGGCAGGACTGGATGCAGTTTTCATAGTTTCCCCCTTGATTGTCCTTTATAGTCCCCCCCAGTTCCTCTAAAGGAAACAAATCTGCCCACGTTCCCGTAGAGAACTGTGAAGATCAGATGGGAGCCCAAAGCACGATGTAAATATCAGGATTTACATGGTGGGGGGATTATTGGGATGTGGTAAAAGCAGATCATTGGGGTGGGAATTGGAACATTGTTATTTTTCCCTATCCTCATCACTCACTGGGGGGACCCCAGATCTCTGGCTGTAAGGATTTCACTCGTGTACCATGCAGGGAACCCCAGGAGACAGTACCACCCAGAGGTTTGCCATCTAAGGTTTGGGTTGTAATCCCGGCTCTAACCACGTACTACCTTTGTGGCCTTTGACAAGTTACTTAACCTCTCTGATCCTTGGTTTCATTATCTTTTTTTTTTTTTAAGTTTTATTTGTCCAAGTCATCTCTATACCCAACGTGCAGCTTGAACTCACGACCCAGAGATCAAGAGTTGCTTGCTCTTCCCAAGCCCAGAGCTCCTTGGTTTCATCACCTTGAAAGAAGATCAGTAAATCCTCTCTCATAGGTCACGGTGGAGCTTAAATGGGCATTGTTGTCAGAGTCATCAGTGCCTGGTAGCCTTAATACTATTGTCCGATGCAAGATGTGTTGGGACTGTGACTAATCATAACAATCAGTCATGTTGCTGAGTGTTGTATGGTTGCACGGTGCTTTCCCAAATGATCTCATTTAATCCTCAGAACCAGTGTGTGATGAAGCCATGACTGTCATCCCCATTACAGAGGAGGAAATAGAACTCCAGAGAAATCTGGAAACTTACTCAAAATCCTGGTACGCTGGCTTTATGTGTTAAGGGTTTCGTGTTGTTGTTTTTAAAGTGATTTCTTTTTGCTTTTTTTTTTGGGAACTATAAATCATGAAAATAATCATCACTAAGTTTTACTGAACCTAGGACACAATTCAGACAACACGCTCCTTCCTTGTATTATCTATCCCATGTCTTCCTCATAAACAACCCTAGGGGGGTAAGGAGTATAAGAGACCTAGCTCTCAGCAGAGAAAGCCAAGACCCAGAGAAGTTAAGGGACTTGCTAGTTGGGGGCCAAGCCACACAGCCAGTGAACAGTTGGCTTAGGATGTGAACATAGGATGTCTCTCTCTAAAACCTGGGCTCTTAACAGCTGCTTGTGCTAATTAGGGAGCCGCAGAGCAGAGGCATCACCAACAGAAGAACTGACAGGGCTGTGGGGTTGGAGGACAGGGTAGGGGCAGGAAGGGGTCCCCAGAGGCCACTCAATACCTACACAGTCCAGCTTGCTCTTCTTCCACAGGTAGTAGGGGTCAGCGAGTTGCTTGAGAGAGTTCTTGAGGTTGACGGCTATCAGGGCTCCTAGCACAGACTGGGGAAGCAGAACATTGTTCTTTCTCACCTGCAGTGTCTCTTTCTCCCTCCCCTTCCTACACACCCCTGACCCTGGTGGCCAGCAGGACAGAGCTGCAGTTCCAGAACATCTCTGCTGGCAGAGTCCCCAGATCTCAGCACTCCATCTTAGGGCTGGAGAGTGCAGGCACGAGGCCATGATGCCCCTCCTGGCCCTTCTCTGGCCCTCCCCTCTTCCCTCAAACCACCGGTGCCCAGAGCCTTCCAAGTCAGGCCCTCACAAGCACTTGTCAATGCTGATGATGGGGGGATTGACCCTGAGGTCAGAAGGCTGGAGTCTGTGACCAGCCCTGCACTGGTGAGCTGTATTGCCACAGATCACTCAGACGTTCTCAGCCTCAGTTTCCCTCACCTGTAAACTGAGGAAAGTAAAACCTGTGTTGTCTACTTCACAGGTTGTGATTAGGACAAAGTGCGACAGTGTCAGCGCTTTGTTACCTGTAGAGGGTTACACAGCAGTTAGGGATTTTCTTGTCTTTAATTTTTTTTTTACGATTTTAATCATTTATTCATGAGACACAGAGAGAGAGGCACAGACATAGGTAGAGGGAGAAGCAGGTTCCCCGCAGGACTCGAGAAGCAGGTTCCCTGCAGGACCCCAGGATCACAACCGGAGCCAAAGGCTGATGCTGGACCACTGAGCTACCAGGCATCCCTTAGGGACTTTTCTTACTGGAGTCTCGCACTGCAATCTTACCTTGGGGAGAGGGTACAGATAGGACCCCAGGACCAGCATGGTGATCATCACTACCAGCGACACACACAGGCTTGCCACCTATTCAGAGAAAGAGTTGGGAACAGGGCACAGGTATGAAATTCTCGCTCTTGGTTGGTTTCCAATAGATGCGGAATGGAGGATCTGATGGCGGAATGGTGGAATGGAGACTCATGAGGGGAGAGGAAGGTTGGAGAAGCAGCTGGCCTGGCTTGCAGGTGCCCGGGCTTCGCTGGGCACCCTCTGCCCTCCTCCCCCATCCCCCTGGTATAGCACTTACCTGGGACTTGCCTCCAGCTCCATCTACAGCCAGAGTGACAGAGAGAGCACAGCAAATGACGTGGATTTTAAAGAAGGAGCCAAAGAAGTTGCTGCAGCCCAGGGCAATCATCTCCTGTGGGGACAGGGGCGGGATGGGAGGCTGGAGCACTGGGGGAAGGGCAGCAGGTATAGATCAAACCTCGTCCTCCATGCAAACTGGATCTTGATTGGGCCTAGGACTTGAGAATGACCCTAGCGTTTGCTAGCAAGCCAGACACTCCCAACCCAGCAGAATTCACCCTTCTGTGGTCAGAGCCCCTCCTCCTCACTGGCAGGCACCTTCCTCACCACAGCCCGAAGTGCCCCACGATAGTTCTTGCCAGGCCTCTGTGGGACCTGGCCCATTCTGCTTGGCCCTACCAGCTGTGGCTGGACCTACCTGGTTAGAATCCACATCATAGCCATGCTTGCTGGCCAGGGTCCGGCCTACAGCCAGGTTGATGACATAGCCCACGATGGCCAGTGAGAAGGCAGTGCCCATCATGTCCTTCCACTGTGAAACCACAGGCGACACCGGAGTGGGGAACCTGCCAGGGAGCCAGGGAGGAGGCAGGGCCCAAAAGTGTGAGAAGAGGCAGGGCAAGTCCTTCCTCAATGCACAGGGACCAACAAGGCCCCACTGTGTGCCAGGGTCTACAGGAACTACCCCTTATCATCTGAGCCCTTGGTACAGCACTGTGGGGCAGCTGCTGTCACTCCCATTGACAAAGCAGAAGCCAAGATATAGAATCTCACTTGTCCAAGGTCACAGGGTAAGTGGCAGGGCCTCGTTTGTTCATGTTCAGGTTCTGGACTCTATGGTCACTACAGATCCACAGCCACCACCGCTCCCTGACCTCGCCCCCGCCACTCCACTCCAACCCTGCACCGCCCAACCCCTCCCAGGGCCCAGTGTGGTGCCTGGTACAGAGTGGATGCTCCATACATGTTGTGGATGCTAATAGCTTCCTTTCCACAGGGATGAAAAGAGCCAACACATCAGAGCAAGGCAAAGAGCTGGAAAAAGGCTGCTCAGAGAGGCTTTGCTTTAGCAGCATCCAGTAAATGAGACTTTGGGGGGCGCGTGTGGCACTTCAGACTCACTGTTCCTGACACAGCTAGCATTGGCTGATGGCACGGCTCTCTTCCGTAATGAGTAATAGGAATCATTCACATTCAGTCAGTGTCACAGAGTCTACAATGCTCTTTCATAGAGGTTGGCTTATCTGGGTCTCTGAGCCCAGGCCTTCATGGGGGATGGCAGTAGGGGCAGCAGGTTTCTTGACCACCTGGACTCACCCATGTTGGATCTCTCCCACGATCTGCATGTGATACTTTTGAGGCATCTTACAGCCCCCAGAGATAGCTGTTGCCACCACCACCTGCAAATCCCCAAATGGAGAATGTGGATCAGCAGGGCAGCAGTCTCTCCCAAGACTCCCTTTTCTCTGGGGATCCCAAATCCCACTCCCCTGCCTCCTTGAAGGGGAGCAACCCAAGGAGCAAGAAGACTAGGAGCCATGTACAGGGAGATGGAATGGATTCACCCAACTTCTTGTTCTACAGGCTGCCAGTGGAGGGGGAGGTGAAGGTAGGTAGGGGTTCCCTTGGCTTTGACTGGAGCCGAATTCTATTTCTCATGATCTCTCCATCCTGGCCCCCAACACCCCAGCCCCAGGCAGGGTCCTTACCACAATCATCTCTGTAGGGATGGGAAAGCGGATCTTGTGCATGTAGCGAGCGTTGAGTTCCTTCACCAGCACCAGTAAGATGCCACTGATGATGGCAAAGATGAGCGAGGCGATGTTGGTTTGGGGGAGGTTTTTGCAAATGTCAATGAAGGTCTGGGGGAGAGAGCATCATGCTTGTGGCTCCCACCTCTTCTTCCCATACTCTCCCCAACCTTGGTTGTCTAACACAGTGGAAGGATGTCATCAATGGGAATGGAGGGACACCAAAGCAGAATTCGGGCCCTGGTCACCAACAGCACCCCTTCTTCCACCTCCCTCTCCCAAAGGGCAAGCTGAGAGCTCGTGCCCGGATGGAAATGCTGATTCTCTTTCTCTTGCTCTAGAAAGAATTTAAGTTCCAGGAGGAGGGAGGGAGATTGGACATAAGAAAGGACTTCCCAGGCAGGGAGGGGTTGAGGCGCTACATCAGGAAACTGATGGAGACTGTACATCTCCTTTCCTGCAGGGATTAACCGTAGAGAACCTCAGTGAGCCCTCAGGGCCATGTGTTTCACCCTCCCTCCCAAAGTGGGAAGCTCCTGGGAATCCTCTCCGAACAAAAGGTCAAGCAGCCCTTGTTTATGAGCATCTTGGAAGGAGGAGCTCATGACTTCTTACTACAGTAACCCCACTGGCTGTCTGCCTGAGCCCCTCCCCATTTGCAGGGGTGTGTTCCTAGACTCACAAAGACAATGGACCCCGGGCCTGCGTAGGAAGGAATGGTCAGTCCAAAGATGTACTTGAGCACTGAGATCAGGATCTGCAGGCCGGCTGCTGTCATGAAGCCCCGGATGAAGGACTCCGAGAGGTAGATGGCCACAAAGCCAAACTGCATGAAGCCCAGGCCCATCTGAAAGGAGAGAGGTGGGAGGGGGACCAAGAAGGGTCAGCGGCTTCCCCATCTGCCTGACCTACAATGGGCTGGAGCTTCATGCAGTTTGGCTCCCTGGGGAGGGGAGCCCTGTGTGACCTTGTCTGGCCCTCTACTGGGCTGACTTTGGGGCATGGGCCTCTTTGTCACTTCCTCTCTTGGCTTCAGTTTTCTTATCTGAAAACTAAACCTGGTCCTCTCCCCCAGTCTTTCCTCTCTCAGCAGATGACACCGCCGTCCACCCAACTGCCTAACCAAAAACTTGGGAGTCACCCTCCCTCACCCATACATCCAGTCTACCACCAAGCGCTTTGAGCTCCTGACCAATGTTCCGTCAGTCTACCCCATCTCGGTGCACCACCCTGGTGGCGGCCCTCGTGAGTCTTGCCTGGGCCTCTGCATAGTCTCCTGACAGGCCCCCTGGTTTGATTCCAATCTGCCTCCCACCTCTCTTCTCTCTGGACTGAGTGGTCCTTATAAACTTCCAATCACACCCAAAGCCGCTGTATATGGGACAGACCTGAGACTTCATTGTCTAGCCTCTGCCTGCCTTTCCAGCCCCTTCTCTGGCTCATTGCCCCCAAAGCCTCCTGCTATCCAGCCACACCAAACTTCTTGTCTTGTCATTCCCTGGTGAAGTCCCACTCTTGGGCCTCAGTGCTTTGGGGGCTCATCCCTTCCACCTGGACTGCCCTTCTGTGCCTCATTTGTTTGGTTCCTGGCCAACCTCTACTCATCCTTTAAGACTCAGGTCAAACGTCACCTCCTCTGTGAGGCGAGGCCTTCCCTGACTCTCCGGTGTTCCCACAGCCAGGTGAACATAGCTCTATTATGCTGCTTATCTCAGAGCCTACAGGTTTATCTGTTGACATGGCTACTTCCTCTGCGGGGCTGGGAGCTCCCGGGAACTAGGCCTCTTCTCTACTTATCTTTCCCCTAAGGCCTACCCAGTTCCTGGCATAGTGAAGCAATGAAAAACATTAACTGAATGAATGAACGAATTAAAGGTATCCTCTGGGGGATCCCTGGGTGGCTCAGCAGTTTAGCGCCTGCCTTCCGCCCCAGGCGGCCCGGGGCAAGATCCTGGAGTCCCAGGATGGAGTCCCCACGTTGGGCTCCCTGAGTGGAGCCTGCCTCTCCCTCTGCCTGTGTCTCTCTCCCCCCGCCCCGCCCCCGTGTCTCTCATGAATAAATAAATAAAATCTTAAAAAAAAAAAAAAAAAAAAGCAACCCCAGAGGGGTTGCTTCCCTCTCTTGTGTTCCCCTATGCAGTGTTTTCCTTCATCAACCTAGTGGAGGAGGACCTGGGTGGCTCAATCGTTGAGCGTCTGCCTTCAGCTCAGGTCATGATCCCAGGGTCCTGGGATCAAGTTCTGCATCAGGGTCTCTGCTCAGCGAGGAGTCTGCTCTTCCCTCTCCCTCTGCTCCTACCTTCTGCCCGTGCTCTCTCTCTTTCTCAAATAAATAAAATCTTAAAACAAAAATCAACCCCCCCCCCCGGGATCCCTGGGTGGCGCAGTGGTTTGGCGCCTGCCTTTGGCCCAGGGCGCGATCCTGGAGACCCGGGATCGAATCCCACGTCGGGCTCCCGGTGCATGGAGCCTGCTTCTCCCTCTGCCTGTGTCTCTGCCTCTCTCTCTTTCTCTCTCTCTCTCTCTCTCTCTGTATGACTAGCGTAAATAATAAATAAATAAAAAAAAAACAAAAATCAACCCCCCCCCAAAACGCCAGCAGAGTCCTTTGCAAATTGTGCAAGTGATGCAAAGCTGTGGCTTGGAGCAGAGGGGGCTGGAGGGGAAAAGGGATGTTGGAGAAATAGGAGGACTGTGCCGACAGAGGGATGGGCATTGGAGAGGGTGGTAGAGAGACACCGTGAGCCTTCCAGGCAGTCTTGAACTCAGGACAGTTTACCAGGTCTAATGACCCTGCTGGAAGTAGGTGAGGAGAGATGCTGATTTTTCAAGGTCTTTTGCGGCCCTGAAAGTGGGGAAGTGGGAGGAGGTAGAGGTTTCCATCAGCTTTTATGTCAGAACTGGGGTTATGATGTGGGGGCAGGATGGAAAGATGCTCTCCCGAGGCGGGGCCCTTGACAGGGACGCAGCCCTCCCTCACCTGGATGATGGCGGTCAGGCAGGCCAGCGTTGCTGACACATGCAGCCTTTCGGCCTCCATGGCCGCTGTGTCCACGTAGCTCTCGTTGGTGGCATTGTTGAAGATCGAGAATTTGGACTCTGGGGCCAGCTGCAGACAGATGTTACCCACCAGGATGCTGATAACGGCAAAGGTACCTGTGGTGCCCACCCAGTCAGCAAGAGTCAGAGGTTTGGACCACACCTATGGACAACAGAGAGGGGCCCAGGAGAGCCTCCCTGCCCCCAGAGGGATGGGTCCCCACACCCCCAACGTTCTTCTTCCGCAAAACAACAACCACTCATGGGTAACTATGACCTGGCCTTTCGGGGTGTTTTCATATCAGCTGTTAATATTATTTCATTGGACGCATCAGGAAATGAGCTTGGAAATGCAAGCAGTGCCAGGCCCAGAAACAGGCCTTGTGACCAGGCCCCTTCTCTCCACATCACTTAGCACCAGAGAGCTCCAAGTGTCCCTGCAGGGACCAGCCTGAGAGTGACTCGGTAATTCCTCACATCCGTTCAGCACTTTCTGGCACATAGCACATTCCATTCCACAGGATCCTCCCCACATTCCAAGGAGGGAGGCAGATCGGGAAAGGCTAACCTAACCGGGCTCACGGCTGCTAAGTGGTTTCTCTAAGGCCGCAGAAGACCTGGGGCAGATACTCATGGTGACAGTCCCTTTGGGACCAACTGGCACCAACTCCAGGAGAATGTAGATGGAAAACACCCAAAGCCCCTCTGCCACACCACCTGTCCCTGTGGTGCAGGTCACCTTGCCTGCTGAGAGGGGAGAGGCCTTACCTGGCACCATCTGGTGGATACCCCCCAGGAAGAAGTAGGTGAGGAGGGGGAAGAAAGAGGAGTAGAGACCGTTGACGGCAGGAAGGTTGGCCAGCAGAGCAAATGCCATGCCTGCAGATGACAAAGGGATTGTAGGCTCAGGGGCATGGTTGGGTTACGGAGGTCATAGGGGACCAGGAGAGGAAGAGGGGAGAGCAGAAGGCCAAGCCGACCAAGGACACTGACCCCCTCACCTTGTGGGACCTGGATGGATCCACCACTGAGTCCACCCAGCAGATCGGGGATAATGTAGTTTTTGATCTTATACTTGGGGAGCCAGGAGAGCACGGGAAGCAGCCCAAACACTGCAGCTTTGATCTTGGCTGAAGAACATCTGGAGGGGAAGAGGACAGGCTTCCAGCTGGCACTGCATGACTTGGAGACTCCGAGTTGGGGAGGAATTATAATATCTTGTTCTTGGTCATTCATTCATTCACTTATTCATTCACTCACTCACTCACTCATTCATTCAGAATTCAGTGAGCTCCCACATGGTGCAGTATGTGGGGGACACAGAAGAAAAGGCAAGGGCTTTCTTTAGAGAACCTTCCTCATGCTCTGGGCTTTAACTGGGGGTCTTCTGGAGTTGGCTGCTCATCTGGGATGTCCACAGGACCTGGCATAAAGGCATGGATTTTGTGGTCGCTTAGCCTTCCAAGCTGCCAGGTCCATCCCCCATCTCAGATGACCTTCCTCCCGTCTGATGGCAAACAGGCCTGGGAACCCAGGTCTGGGCTCCTGCAGCTTGGTGTGCACACTGGGTTGCAATTAGTTGCTCTTTATTGCTCTCACTGCACAGCAAACCCCACCATGGCCAAAAGTCTGGCTCTCTTGTTCATCTTGTATACCTGTACATTGCACTGGGGTGCTTAGTAAATATTTGCTGAATAAATGAATGAATGAATTAGTGCAAGAGTGGGCTGGTATTGAAACCCAGTCAGAGTAGAGGCTGCTGCCATCTTTCTTAGCACTTACCCCCAAAGAAGGCTCGATTGTCCCTGCCTCTGATGACCCACTGGCCTTCCTGTGTGAAGACTCCAATGCTGGAGTTCTTCCTACTGTTAATTCATCAGGATGGAAAGAATGGGGGAGCTGTTTGTTTGTCAATGTAGGGTGGGGAAAGTTGGTTCCTTCTCTGATTGTTGAACACCTGGAGGTCTTTTCATAGAAACTCAGGAGTGGTAGGAACAAGGGCCTACAAACTCTAGGGTGACAGCTCATGGATTAATGACTGGGAGGGGGTGGGGGGCATTTGCTTTTCTTCTCCCAGTTGAGGGAATTCAAATACTCTGGGGCCCATTTGGTGACTCACTGGCCTGTTCTGATTAGGCCTCCTTTCCTTGCCGGCACCAATTCCTGCTCTTTGCTGTTGTTCAACAATAGTTTCCCTGATACTGGGTCCCCTGGATGTCACCCAAGAGTAAAACTAACACAGACAATGCTTTGTACCCTGTAGAGCCTGGACAGATTTTTCTGTCCTAACCACCACTCTGGGGAAGGGTATTATCATCACCATTCTTGGGGGTGGAGGGGTGCCTCTCCCATCCTTGGGACGGTGGACAGGGCATTGGACTGGTGAGAAAAAGCTTAAAGCATCTCAAAAGCTTTGTCCTAAGGGAGAGCCAGCCCTGCAGGAACTTGCTCAGGTTTGTCTGTGTCAGGGGCTCGAGAACAGAGAGCTGACTAGGGGGAGACTAACAATCCTCCCGAGGGCTCATACCAGCCTTACCTGCAAGCCTGCCCTGTGTTGGGCAAGGCAATCTGAAGCCTGAGAGAAGAGCTGGAAACAGATGCCAAACACCTATACAGAGGCTCCAGAACCCAAGAGGGAAGTGGACAGAGGGATTAGCTTTCTAGCCATTCATTCATTTGTTGAACAAATATTTATTGAGGCACCTTCTGTGTGTCAGGCACCATTTAAGGCTCAATGCCAGCCTCATGGGAATTGTTAGTTCCCTCCATCACTTTACAGTTTTAATCTGTAATCTTTTAGGATGATAGCAGATACCCTCATCCCTCCAGTACAGAAACAATCCAAACTTAAACTGCTTGGAAACTAAGGCTGGCAGAGCTCACGGGCCAAGGAGCACAGCTGTGGGTACAGCATCTGGACACCAAATACCCAAGGCTTTGGTGTAACCTGGCAGAAATGGAGCCTCCCAGGAGGAGTAGGGTTGGACCAGGGCTTTTGGTGAAGACTCAAGTGGGTGATTCCCCCAACCTAAACCAGTTCCACCTGCAGCTCCACTTCAACCATTGCCAGTGACCTCAATCCAGGTAACTGAATCAGCTGTTTCCCCAGGGGAGTGAGGAAGAGCAGGCCAGCCCACAGCCAGGACTGAGCAAGGTCTGCCAGAAGTGTAGGAAGGGGCAAGGGGAAGCTCATAGCCTCAGGTTTCTGGAGTATGGATACAGATCACCTCATGAAGCCCCCTCGTTGGAGCTGAGGTTTCACTAGCCACCAGCACAGTCCCAGAGATCTGAGAGTGGAAAGATCCGGGGGCCTGACAGGACCGTATCTTGGTAGGTACCCTTTAGGAGAGCCCAGGAATTTAGGGGCTGCCTTTGATCAGTCTCTGGATCAGGAGAAGAAAGGAACATCTAGGAGGGAAAGAGGACAAAGTGCATGGAGTGGTGGTGGCTTCAGATTTTTCTTGATCAAGAGGGAACAGGGCATTGCAGTAGGAGCTCTGATGTTCCCACCTGCCCATGTGGTGGCATGCCCATCTAGCGTTCGCTTAAGAACCTAAGGGAGACTTGAGTGGACTGAGACTATGGCAAGACCTCCTGCAGGGGATTGGGGATGCCCTACAACTCTTGTGAAGCCGTGGCAGGTCCCTGCTGCCTCTCCCCACACCCACACTGGGTGATTGTCAGTACAGGAGAGGTTGTAGGATCTTAAAGTCAGGGGGTTCTGAGCCTCCCCTCCCCAGGGCTCCCCCCAGCCCTGTCTTAGTGGTACTAGTACAGGAACCATACCCTGGTGCGGAAAGGATTTTGGTGGGAAGCAGAGGAAAGAGATGTCTGGGCTCTGGGCCATGTTACCTGAAGGCATTGCGAAGTTTCTCTCCCAGTGGGTACGTCCGCTCCTTCTTCTCAAACTCATCATCAAAGAGGGTGAGAGAGTATGCAGCTCTGTCTACCACGTAGCGGGGCCTGGGCTGGCTCATGTCTGGGGCATTGACAAGCTTTGGGAGAGGCAGAGGAGGGGAAGATGAGGGGCATCTCTCGCCAGCCCAGCTCGGGCCTTCTCTCTCTAGCTCTGGCCACAGCAGGGTTTTATTCTGGTCTTCCCCGCCCCCACCCAGCAAGGTGCCTCCCTTCCCGCTTGCAGGTCTTTCCACCAGACTCACTTCTGGTGGCCTTCCTTCCCAGGCACTGATGATGCACACACTTGCCCTGGCTGTTTTGCTTGGCGCCCAGCACGTGGCTGACACACCATACCTGTGACATCACTGTCACCCCCGCCGAACACCAGGCAAAAAGGAGGTGGGAGTGCAAGGGCTGGAGTCACAGCTGGGGATCAGCACGTTGGTTCTGTCCCCTGCCCCTCTGCCCTGGCCCCTGTTGCCCCCACAAGCCGCTCGCCCTCCCCAGACCTCGGTTTCCCTGGCAGGAAGGCTCATACCATTCAGCCAGCCAGCTTGGAAGAAATGGAGAAAACTGTCTGCCCGGAGGCAGGGGGATGGCTGAGGTGACCTCAGGGGGACCCCTGTTGAAAGAGACACCTAGGACTTCACCAACCGGTTTTCCCAGGGGGATAATGGTGCATTTGGGGAAATGAGGATGGTCTGCACCGGCTGGCTCTCCCACGGCTTCCTGTGCCTAACCTTTCCCCCACCCTTGTGTACTGGCGTTTCTCTCCTCCTTGCTTTTTGCGCAACCTCGCTGATGTTCCAGGAGCTGAGCAGGGCAGAGCTGAGGGAGCGCCAGGTCCCCTGCGGCCCAGAGGAGCTCCCTGGGAGAACCATTCCCCCTCCCTCCTAAGCTACCAGCCCCTCCCCCATCCCCTGTCCCTGGCAGCTGGGAGGACCCCCAAGGAGGACCTTGGGGAACGCTAGGAGAGGGAAGAGGTGGGGTGTGTTTGAAGGACGCCGGTGAGGAGTGTGCGGTGGCTATGGCCAGTCTGGCAAGAGATTTGAGATGGGGCAGGAAGTGAGAAACCACTCAGGGGGCTAGGGATGTCCCTTGGCTTCCTGTGGGAGAACTTGGGTGCCTAGAGGTGATCAGGGGGAAGCAGGCTGGTCGATGCCTTTTGTGGAAGAGAACATGGCAGGGAGATGGAAAGTACATTAACTAAGGGACCAGAAGCCTGGCTGCTAGTCCTGGCTTGACTGGTGAGACGGGGCGACAGCATCACCTGTCTGAGTCTCAGATTCCCCGTCAGTACAATGGGAATAACGTATCTATCTCACAGGGTTGTTGTGAGCATCTGAGGAGTTATGAGCAAGAAAGGGACATTGAAAATGTACAAAAAGTGGGGATCCCTGGGTGGCGCAGCGGTTTGGCGCCTGCCTTTGGCCCAGGGCGCGATCCTGGAGACCCGGGATCGAATCCCACGTCGGGCTCCTGGTGCATGGAGCCTGCTTCTCCCTCTGCCTGTGTCTCTGCCTCTCTCTCTCTCTCTCTCTCTCTCTCTCTCTGTGACTATCATAAATAAAAAAAAAAAGAAAGAAAATGTACAAAAAGTGAGGCAAGTGTGAGTTGCTATTATCAGTAAGATGGTACCCAAGCTGATGAAGGTTGGGCTGGTGCATTCCACTCATTTGGTCGCGGGAACCCAAGGTCCCTCAGAACCTATAAGCAGGGACCCCTGGGGGCTCACTTGGTTAAGCATCTGCCTTTAGCTCAGGTCAGGATCCTGGGGTCCTGAGATGAAGCCCCATGTGGAGCTCCCAGCTCTCGGGGAGACTGCTTCTCCCTCTCCCTCTGCCCTTTCTCCTTGCTTGGGCCCGCACCCTCTCTCTCTTTCTCAAATAAATAAGATCTTACAAAAAAAAAAAAAAAAGAAGAAAAAGAAGAAGAACCTATAAGCAAGGGCTGGATGCCTAGCTAACCCCCAGTGTGATATCCAACTGAGTGGGGGGATGAACCTGCCCTCAGTGCCTGCGCCCAGCCCCTTGCCTGGTGCTTAGTACATACTCAACAAACGCTTGCGGAATGAATCGATAAATGGTGCTTCAGAGAAGACATGGGCAGAAGTGAGTAAGAGCAATGGCATGGGAGACATTTCAGTGGGAGAAGTGAGAGACAGAGCGGCGTAAGGAAAACCAGCACACGCTTTAGACCCAGAGTGACCTGGGTTCAAAGATTTCAGTTTCTTGGGGGCGCTGGGGTGCCTCAGTGGTTAAGCCTCTGCCTTTGGCTCAGGGTGTGATCCCGGGATCCTGGGATCGAGTTCTGCATCGGGCTCCCCACAAGGAGCCTGCTTCTCCCTCTGCCTATGTCTCTGCCTCTCTGTGTGTCTCTCATGAATAAATGAATAAAATCTTAAAAAAAAAAAAAGATTTCAGTTTCTTCATCTGTAAATGGGGATAGTGACAGTCCTGGATGGTTGCCATGAGGATGAAACTAGACTATGTGTATGTGTGAAGTGGCTGGGCTCCCCAGGCACCCAGTAAATGGTAACGGTGATGATTACTATTATTAAGATGGGTGGGTGCTTCCTTCCTCTTAGGAGAGGCTATTCAGAGGCTTGTAGCCCTTCATCCTCTTGTGAGGTGGGTGCCCTTGCGTTTTCTTCTCCTCCCCACCCTCTCCAGGGGCTACAAGGGTCTAGCTTTCCAGGTGGCTTCCCTGGATGGCCCTTTGGGAGCAACAAGTGGGGAGCATGACAATCCAGAGGGACCAGAGCTCTGGCCTAGCTTCAGAGAAAGATTTGTGGTTTGGAGGAAGGGATGTGTCCCTGGCTACCGAACAGAATGCCTGCAAAGGAACAGCCAAGATGTTCCAGGGGAGCTGAGCCTGAAAAGGGAGCCCCTTGGAAGAGCCCCTTGGAAGATGGGGTGATGGAAATCTTGCTTCTGTGCCCTGGCAGGTGGCAGATGGCCCCTGAAATCCTGTTCCCAGGCTGCTTTCAAAGACTCTTAAGTTTCTAATCGTGTGTCTGTGGGGACGGGGTAAATGTCTGGTTCCACAGAACCCTGCTAACCTGACTCCCCCTCATGTCCCCATTCCCTCAGTGGGATCTTCCTCTCCATCACCCAGGCCACCCACCCCCACATCTGTCCCTGCCCTTTCTCTCCCCACCCTGGCCTCCACCTTCAGCTGTTCATCAAGTCTCATTGCTATTTCTTTCCAGTGTCCCTCCTGTCCCTCACCCCCTCAGCTCTTATCTCACACCTGGACTATTGCATTAGTCTTCTGGTTGATATGCTGTCTCCAGCCTACACCCCCTGACCAGAAACCTTCGGCCTCCTCATTTCCAGGAGGATCGAGCCCCAACCCCTTATTTCGGCATGTGTGTCCTTTCACTATCAGGCCCTGTTTGGGTAAACTTGGGAAAAATCATTGGCTGGGGCCCCTGGCACCATCCAGCACCGCCAGACAGGCTGGGCGCAGTGTTACCCCTGGGCTCTCTCCACTTTCCTCCCTTACCTGCCATGCCCTGACTCATTCTGCCTTCCTAGACCTGCCCATCCATAAGACCTGCTTAAGTTCCTCCTCCTTCCCTCCTCTCCCTCTCCTCTTTGTCTTGCCCTCTTCCTCCTCCTTCCCATCCTCCTCCTCCTCCTCCTCTCCCTCTACTATGAAGCCTTTCCTGACCACCCTGGCCTAGGATCTCTTTTTCTCCTCTGACCTCCCTTTATTTGGGCCTCTCCAGCCTGCACACCAGTGGTGGCTTTGGTTATTCCCGGATGTCACTTCCAGGGAAGGGAGGGAGGCAAGGGGGTGGTGGTGGTGGAAATCCTTCTGGGAGGGGGGATGACTCAGGACTCTTTCTGCCTGGTGGCAGGCTTCCTACAGTTGGGGACCAGGTGCTAGGGAAGTTCCTGCTTACACAGACTAACTGAGGAGAAAAGGCTCCCTTGTTTTCCTGGAATGCAAAATCTATCCATTCCCATATGCCCTGCCGGTTTCATTCTAGAAATAGGGTGTTGAAGGAGAGAAGACTCTAAGAACTTTCCCAATCCTGCACTTGGACTACACAAAAGAAGGTGAATCCAGCAGCCAGCTAGACTCAGGAAGTTTTGTGTAGAAGGGAACTCATACTGGGCTGGTCTAATCCTCTCATTTTGTGGATAAGGAAACTGAGTCTTAGAGAGAGGTGGTATGGGGATTCGAACGGGGCCTTTGACTCCACTTTAAATGCTCCTGTTGGGTCCCAGACCTTCTAGGGATCATCTTGCTCCTGCTCTCTGGTGATCTTTTGGATCACCCTGGTGACCTTCTGCCCCAACTGATGAGACAGGACTTCTAGGTGCTGCATCTCCTCTCTAGATCTTTGCAGTGGCTCTGACTCCTCTTCTGGCCTTGGCTTTCCCAGGACAATGACAGACAGAGCGGCAAATCTGCAGCCATGGGAGCTGCCCCAGCTGCTGGTGAGGAGGTGCCCTGGTCACACTTCCTAATTCCAAGAATAGGATTGAGGTGGGGTGGGGCTTAGGAGGGGGGTTACTTCATCCTGGGCCAGTTGCGTAGGCTGAGGAGGAGAGGGGGATGGGAGAGGCCAGGTGGCAGGAGGCATCACCTCTTCTAGAAGACTCTGGGGTTCTCAGAGGGTTAAGGGCTCCCAGGGACCCCCGGAGAGGGCTCTTACAATGCTAGGTTCTGGGTGGGAAGGTGAAAGAGGGAGCAAGAAAGGGAGAGGTGTAGGGGACGTGAAGATTTGATCCCTAGTTAAACACACACAGCCCTGCCGAGTGATGTCAGCATCGCTGAAAAAAAGTCGAGTGCTCTATTGCCAAAGGTGTGTATCAAGGAGCCCTGCCTCTCATCAAACAGTGTCAGCCCCCTCCGCCTCCCATCCCCCACCGGATCAGGGATAAATAGCAGGTGCCATGTGACAATATTGAGGAACAAAAGGGTGCCCTGCCACCTCCCCTCTGCGGAGGGAAGGAGGGGCGGTCCCGATTTACTGGAGAGACCTGGTGAGGGTGTGTGTGGCTGTGGGGCTTAAGGGAAATAGAGGGCCAGAAGGAAAGAGCGTGCAGAGGGTAGGAGAGGTGGGTGTGTGGACAATTTCCAAGGCTTGGCAGGGAAATGGGGTCACATCTGGGGCAAGGGGGATTCAGGAGCTGAGGA